TTCACTATGTAACAGTTTAATGAAGTCTAAGTAAATCATGATAAACTAGAAAATGTAATATACATACATGGTGATAAGTTTTCCTAAATTTAAGATGCAATGAATTAGTTCCTTACAAAAAAATATGTTATACTTTCTTAACATGAAAGATGTGTAGTTCCAAACTGCAACATCAATTCATTTTAGAGCATTCTACACAGCATCAGCCATTTCCTTGTCTACCTAGATCTATCATTTTTCCTACTTCAAAGCTGTGAAATTTCAAAACATTTATGAAGGAGTCAGACTAGGAGGCTATTAAAAATACCTCTTAAGAGACAACAAAATAATACCCGTTGACCACCAGCTGCATAAATCTGGAAACCTGTCTAGACATAGAAAGCATGTTTCTTATCAGTTTGTACAAGAGGCACACCCATTTTTAACTTGCTGAATCCCTAAGTAAGCTTTGGCAAGGAACTGAAAGTGTTTCTTAACACCATAATGCATGAAAGGCTTTGCTGAAGAGGTAGACAATGCTTGCACTATTCCTTAACAAATGCACAGCTTAAAACTTAATAAATCATATCAATGTTTTTTTAAATAGGGAAATCATGAAATCATTAGTTAACCTTTGTGTTTAAGAACTATATTATATTTGTTGCCTATTTACAGCGAGGTCACATCTGAAGAAGATTGGGTGGTATTCTATCAACAAAGTTTCCGGGGAATTGTCCACACTTTCCATTACACTCTCCATACAGCCACTGATCATTCAGGCGAGCCAACACATGAACCACACTGCCTTCCTGTTTAAAAGGAAAAAATTCAGTTAGATGAATTTTATCTAGTTTTCAAGCAAATACTTGGGTATTATTAACCCTTTGACTGTCGAAAGGCCCAATCCTGAAGTGTCTCCTGGTGTCGCAAAATATTAAAAAAAAAAAAAAAAAAAAAATTATTTTTTCTTATGAAAATGTTTAGATTATTTTTCTGATTGTTTTAGTCCCAAAAAAAAAAAAATTTCCCATCAGTACTTACCCAGATATAGAGGCATGAAGTTTGCAGAAAATGAGCCGCGTATGGCAACAGCCGCGACTGCCGCTCACCCGGTAAACTTTAGTTTACTTGTATTTGAAGGTTTGTTGTTTTTTTCATTATTTTATTTTTTCACATAACTTATGTGGCCTGTGAGATCAAAGTAAGGTGTAATGTACATATATATACACTCGTTGTATACAACACAATAAGCACACAAACATAATTATCAATATATTGTTTACAAAACTTGTTTACAAAAACACAAAAAAATTTTTATTACTATTGTTCTATAATATATATACCAATATACAGTCACTGAACATATTCCTAGAAGTTCTGCAGCTTGTGGAACTCTTTGAAACATGGTGTCATACACAGTGGTGTTTTACACTCCTCACACATAAAACATGGTGTCATACACAATGGTGTTTTACACTCCTCACACATAAAACATGGTGTCATACACAATGGTGTTTTACACTCCTCACACATAAAACATGGTGTCATACACCTTCCTCCTCCTCCCTCCTTCCTCCTCCTCCCTCCTTCCTTCCTCCTCCCTCCTTCCTTCCTCCTCCCTCCTTCCTTCCTCCTCCCTCCTTCCTTCCTCCTCCCTCCTTCCTTCCTCTTCCTCCTTCCTTCCTCCTCCTCCTCTTCTTCCTTCTCCTCCTCTTCTTCTTCTTCTTCTTCTTCTTCCTCTTCTTCCTCCTCCTCTTCCTCCTCCTCCTCCTCTTCTTCCTCCTCCTCCTCCTCTTCTTCTTCCTCCTCCTCCTCCTCTTCTTCTTCCTCCTCCTCCTCCTCTTCCTCCTCCTCTTCTTCCTCCTCTTCTTCCTCCTCCTCCTCTTCTTCTTCCTCCTCCTCCTCCTCTTCCTCCTCCATTGCTTTTGGTCTCAAACTCCTCGAAATCATGAAATTGATCTTCACTGACACTTCCATCTGTGTTAGAGCATCACTTGGGAAGAGAAGAGTCCCAGATTTGCTGGGGAGTCACATATTTCTTACCTAGACATGCTGAAAAAGGACGACTGAAATGGTATTCCCACAATGCACCACTGGCTCCCCGATTTTTTTTATATGGTGCACACTGACCATGGAGACCCATTCTCTCACATGTGGGCCTACCAGCTTTCTCCTGCTTGATTTGAAGCCGCTAGAATTTATGCGTACAGATATGTCAAACACGGTATCTCCTATGACGTATATATACGACCACGACAGTCAAAGGGTTAAATAATATAAAATTTACTCTTCTCCATATAAAGAAAGTTGCAGCATTCACACACAACTTACACACCCACCCTTGTATCGAGTGCCAGCCATGACCCCACAACTCGTCTACAGTCATACTTAATCCTTGCCAATTTATATTATGTACAAATCTACCCACAGTTAAAAAAAAGTCATAAGTTTACTTAAAGGTAATATGTACAATAATCTAAAATGTGTTAAAGACAATGATACTCTACATTTATTTTGTACCAATGAAAATAAAATTTATGTACAGTAGATCCTATTTCACTGCAGGGTTTATGTAGCTCAAAATTTGTGAGCAGAATAGCAACTTTCCTAGGTAGTAGGTTGGTAGACAGCAACCGCCCAGAGGTACTACCGTCCTGCCAAGTGAGTGTAAAATGGAAGCCTGTAATTGTTTTACATGATGGTAGGATTGCTGGCATCCTTTTTTCTGTCTCAAACATGCGAGATTTCAGGTAACTCTTGCTACTTCTGCTTACACTTAGGTCACACTACATATACATGTACAAGCAGATATATACACACCCCTCTGGGTTTTCTATCTTCTTACTAGTTCTTGTTTATTTCCACTTATCTCCACGGGAAAGTGGAACAGAATTCTTCCTCCGTAAGCCATGTGTGTTGTAAGAGGAGACTAAAATGCCAGGAGCAAGGGGCTAGTAACCCCTTCTCCTCTATATATTACTAAATTTAAAAGGAGAATCTTTCGTTTTTCCTTCTGGGCCACCCTGCCTCTATGGAATACAGCTGGTTTGTTGAAAGAAGAAGAATAGCAACTTTATAAAATTGAGTAACACTGATGCAGTTATACTGCTGTTGCCAACGAGTGACCATTTTTCTCAAAATTCAACATGCCATAAAATCATAAGTTTGTAACAGATTCCACTAATTTAAGTTTTATTTGATTAATAAAAATGCTTTCTTACATTCTGTAAGATAAAATTATTTTTCAACGTCTTTTGCTGGGAAAGCCCATCTATGAATATCAAAGACTCTTCTATAATGATGTTCTTGAAGGGGTAAAAATACTTGCTAAATTTTTCCTTAGCCTTTTCACGTTGCACCCCAAAATAAAAAGTACTGACAATGTCACGATTTAAAAAAATGTAAATAAAATAATTTTATCTTTTGAATTGGTAGAGAATCTTTCTCTAAAAGTTATGACATTTAAAAAATGTGAAATTTGATGGAAAACTAACAGAATTATGCAGGCACAAAGTTGGTGGTCTGTGCATAATTTTCACAGGCATTTTTTGCACATAATCCTGTTTTAAGCTAATTCCAATACTCAATTCAACCCAATTCTTAGTTATTTCACTAGTATGCCTTCCATTCTATCAGGTGAGAGCAAGAATATGTTCTATAAAATGCAGAGAAGTCAGTAAATTTATCAACACAAAATTAAATAAATTCCAATTAAAAAACATTTAAAAAAATCAAAGTTATACCCTATTTCTCAGATAATAAAATACAACCAAGAATGAGTGGTCATAGTTTAGGCCATCCCAATAACTGAAGCAGACTACTTTGAGGCCCATCTCAAGCTACATCTGGTCTAAAACCGACCAAAATCACCTTTATGTCACTACGAAGTCTTCCAGTCTATCAACCGATATCAAGAAAGCCAATACAACCATAAAAACCACCCTAAAAAACCCAGCTCAAAGTTGCTATTTGAAACCAAACACACAGTCAAAGTCAGAGGCTTGCTTTTCTCATCATGCATTGCATGAGACAAGAGTTTTTTTTTTTTATGTTGTGCACATCCACTGCCCAGACCCATTTTCTTTTGTCAAGCCCAAAATTTACTGCTCACAGAATATTCGAGGGTTTTATACTTAAAATGTAGATCTATACAAGTGACACTGGTTTCAATAACAGATCTGTGGGGAAACTGAAAGGGTTAAAGTACATAATCATGTCTTATTTTGTACAACAAATTCTGTGGGAATTACTTGTCAGTAATGCAACATATAAACTAACAAAAATTGATCAACTGTCATGATTTCACTGAAAGCTTATGTTGCTACAAGTTTATATGTACTCCACTATTTTGATAAATTCTTTTTTTGAGTATGTGGCATTAGTGTTGCAAAGAACAAGTACATCTATGCAACAGTAGTATCTTTCCACTTTTGAAGTTGAGATTTCACTGAAACTCATGTATGTATCACTGTGTACTTGTACCAGTTCATCATTTGCATTGTACTAATACAAGTGCATCACCAAAGAATAATTTGAAGTAATCATATTCATTAGAATTGTTATTGTAAGACACACTGGGACAAATGACTTATCTTCCTGCAAGTTCAACACCTGGTTTACCTGTTTTATAATACTTGGTGATTATATATCTTATGGTGCCATTTGTAGTGAATGTGATGCAGCCGCTATTGTGGGGGTAGAGGGTTGTGATATCGCATGCTGTGTTTATAACAAAGGATAATTCCTCTTTGGAGCTCCACCTCTCGTTATTATTGGTGTCTCCAGCCCATAATATCTTTTGGATTTTACTCCAAATCAAGCCTTAGTATTACCCCAAATGCCCTAGGATTTACCATGTGACCAGTGATTTTTCCCTTGGCATCAGGTGGCAGCAAGGGACAAGCAATTGGGCTAGGCCTAAGATGGCAAATCTGAAGGCAGAAAACAAAAATCAGGCACATGATGTAAATCAGATGCAGCCTGGTCCAGACATACAGCATAGTATATCATACACAGTTTATGGGCTAGTCACCTCAAAAACTAATACAAGTCAGCCGTCAGTAATCTGGTTCCATCAGTAATCCGGCACTAATTTTGGCTAGCATAATTTCAAATTTCATCATTATACTGACTCAGAAATTGTCCAGATAGTTGTAAATCCACAGCAGCAAGCCAGTGGAGGAGAAAGCAATGAAGAAAATGAGGAAAATATAGCAGAAAGTCTCTGCTAAGTGTAAGTTAAGTGTATTCTAACCACTCTGTAATCCGGCAAACTCACTAATCCGGCACACTACAGGTCCCAATGATGCCGGATTAGTGATGGCCAACCTGTGTAGATTTATACATGGGATATATAAAAAATTAAGGTATTTTTGGTTTGACAGGTTGATCTATACATGCCAGTGGGCTATACTAAGGTACAAATACAGTGGACCCCCGCATAGCGAACGCCTTGCATAGCGAACAATCCGCATAGCGAACGCTTTGTTCGCTAAAATTTTGCCCCGCATAGTGGACAAAAACCCGCTCAGCGACCTTCGTCCGAGACGCGTCCAATGTGCGCCCTCAGCCAGCCTCACATGTGCCGCCCGTCCCATTGTTTACCAGCCAGCCTCCGCGGTAACATTCAAGCATACACTCGGAATATTTCGTATTATTACAGTGTTTTCGGTGCTGTTTGTGGAAAATAAGTGACCATGGGCCCCAAGAAAGCTTCTAGTGCCAACCCTACACCTCAAAGGGTAAGAATACCCATTGAAATGAAGAAAGAGATCATTGATAAGTATGAAAGTGGAGTACGTATCACCGACCTGGTCAGGTTGTACAAGAAACCAAAATCAACCATCGCTTCTATTGTGGGCAAGAAAACGGCAATCAAGGAAGCTGTTGTTGCCAAAGGTTTAACTGTGTTTTCGAAACAAAGATCGCAAGTGATGGAAGATGTTGAGAGACTCTTATTGGTGTGGATAAATGAAAAACAGCTAGCAGGAGATAGCGTCTCTCAAGCGATCATATGTGAAAAGGCTAGGAAGTTGCATGACGATTTAATTAAAAAAATGCCTGCAACTAGTGATGATGCGAGTGAATTTAAGGCCAGCAAAGGTTGGTTTGAGAGATTTAAGAAGCGTAGTGGCATCCATAGTGTGATACGGCATGGTGAGGCTGCCAGTTCGGACCACAAAGCGGCTGAAAAATATGTGCAGGAATTCAAGGAGTACATAGAAACTGAAGGACTGGAACCTGAACAAGTGTTTAATTGTGATGAAACAGGCCTGTTCTGGAAGAAAATGCCAAGCAGGACCTACATTACTCAGGAGGAAAAGGCACTCCCAGGACATAAGCCTATGAAAGACAGGCTTACTTTGTTGATGTGTGCCAATGCTAGTGGTGATTGCAAAGTTAAGCCTTTATTAGTGTATCACTCTGAAACTCCCAGAGCGTTCAGGCAAAAGAATGTCCTCAAGGATAATTTGTGTGTGCTGTGGAGGGCAAACAGTAAGGCATGGGTCACTAGGGAATTTTTCTATAACTGGTTACACCATGCATTTGCCCCCAATGTGAAAGATTACCTAACTGAAAAGAAATTAGACCTTAAGTGCCTCCTGGTGTTAGACAATGCCCCTGGTCATCCTACAGACGTGGCAGAGCGACTTTATGGGGACATGAGCTTCATTAAGGTGAAGTTTTTGCCTCCTAATACCACTCCTCTCCTGCAGCCCATGGACCAGCAGGTCATTTCCAACTTCAAGAAACTGTACACAAAAGCTCTGTTTCAAAAGTGCTTTGAAGTGACCACAGACACTGGATTGACTCTAAAAGAGTTTTGGAAGGATCACTTTAATATCCTCAGTTGTGTAAACCTTATAGGTAAGGCTTGGGAGGGAGTGACTAAGAGAACCTTGAACTCTGCTTGGAAGAAACTGTGGCCAGAATGTGTAGACAAAAGGGATTTTGAAGGGTTTGAGGCTAACCCTGAGAGGAGTAGTATACCAGTTGAGGAATCAATTGTGGAATTGGGGAAGTCCTTGGGGTTGGAGGTTAGTGGGGAGGATGTGGAAGAGTTGGTGGAGGAGGACAATGAAGAACTAACCACTGATGAGCTGATAGATCAACTTCAAGAGCAAGAGGCCAGACCTGGGGAAACTGGTTCAAAGGAGGGGAGAGAGAAATTGAAGGAATTGCCTACTTCAAAGATTAAGGAAATGTGTGCAAAATGGCTTGAAGTGCAAACCTTTTTTGATGAAAATCACCCTCACACAGCTATTGCAAGCCGTGCTGGTGACTGTTACAATGACACTGTTGTGAACCACTTTAGACCAAATCATAAAGGAACGAGAGGTACAGGCCACTATGGACAGATATGTTGTGCGAAAGAAGTCCAGTGACTCTGAAGCTGGTCCTAGTGGCATTAAAAGAAGAAGGGAAGTAACCCCAGAAAAGGACTTGCTACCTCAAGTCCTAATGGAAGGGGATTCCCCTTCTAAACACTAACACTCTCTCTCCCCTCCTCCCATCCCATCAATCATCACCAGATCTTCAATAAAAGTAAGTGTCATGTAATTGTGCATGCCTTTTTCAGTTTGTGTGTACTAAAATTAACATTTTTTTGTGGTAAAAAATTTTTTTTTCATACTTTTGGGTGTCTTGCACGGATTAATTTTATTTCCATTATTTCTTATGGGGAAAATTAATTCGCATAGCGAACATTTCGCATAACGACCAGCCCTCTTGCACGGATTAAGTTCGCTATGCGGGGGTCCACTGTAGTGTATTTGTCCTGGTATCTCCAGTACCACTAGTGTTCTTGGGTACCATTGTTAATATCCAAGAGATAAGGAGTGATAACAATAATCAAAACTGTCCATGTCTCGTGGTCCATTTGGTAATGCACTCAGCTCACATACTGAAGGTCCGTGGTTTGATCCTTGGCATGGGTGGAAACAATAGGCAAGTTACCTTACACCTACTGCCCGTTCACCTAGCAGTAAGCAGGTACCTGGGTGTCACTCTACTGTTGTGGGTTGCAGCCCAAGGGGTAGTTGTATATTATAGATAGAGCAGGGCTTTGAAATGAGCTAAAGTAGGATAACAGCTGTTAGCCTGTAAAACTGATCTATGGAAAAAAAAAGTAGCAGCATATGATGTGTAACAGTAGATGTCCCATAGCTAGATTGCTAGAGCACTCGGCTCACACACTGAGGTCCATGGTTCGATCCCAGTTTCAGAGGTGGAAACACTAAGGATGCGTTTCCTTAAGACACCTGCTGTCCCTGTTCACCTATCAGTAAAATAGGTACCTGGGTGTTAGTTGAACGGTGTGGGTTGCATCCTGGGGCTAAAGTTTACCTAACTTGCCTAAAATGCTCTGCATAACAAGGGGCTCTCTATATAGTAGTATGTCACTGATGTCACAGATCTGCATACGTTGTACATGTACTTGTAGAAATTCAATAATTGTTATTATTATAGTTAGTATGAAGTGGACAGTTAAAATTCCTACTGTATGTTCTAATGAGATCTTGATTTTTTTTTAAATTATACACATTTTTCTTTTGAAATGTGCAACTGTACTGGATATAAAAAAAAAAGCACAGACCAGTCACAGTAAATAACGATCTATTTTTACTTCCTGAGATCAGTTCCTTTTTGATTGAAGTCATTTTAAGATATATACTATGGCTCCTTTCTCCAGTTTCAAATTCCATCTCTTTCTTTAGATATGGCTTAAGCTACAAAAATATTGATAAATGTGTAGAAAAAATGAGAAAATTGGGCGAAGGAAAGCCAATGAGCACATACTTAACAAAATCCTAAGATTGGCTTTAATTTAGAGGTTGTTTGTCAAGGTATATGCTTGTAATTTGTATTCCCAATAGTAGATATCTGTCTACATGAATAAATCAATCCTGAGCACAGATTGTAATCTGGATATTTACAACCTCAGGACCTACTGTACATCTTTGGCAATTTTTCAAAATAATCTCAATTATCTGTAACTGTTTGAAAATTCATGAAAGGTGCATCTGAACCTTTTCAAAAATTATTCTGTACCATAATTGTCAAACAAATGAGTAAATAAAAAAAGATGAACACATTACAAGGGCATTAAATGCATAACACACTTAAGGAATGGCATGTTAACTTTACTTTGCTACTTATTATGTGTTATATTTTAAAAAATTTTTTAGCTAGCTTCACCTTTCATGATTTTGTATGTTTTTTCCAACTACACAAGTTACTGAAATACCGCACTATCAAGATATACAATAAATAGGATTAACATTGGCAAAGAATAAAATTACTCACTCAATAACATGTTGAAAACTAAAAAACAGACTTTCATAAAAAATAATAGGTGCACATACATGTATCGTGAGGTCCTCTGGTGCTTCAGCCTGGAATGTATATAAAACTTTAACAGCTTGAGAAGATGCGCTGTTGGCACTGGAGATTCCAAACCAAGGTGCGTTAGCTGCTTCTATCACACTTACAGGAGCCGACTGACTAGATGAATCTGCTGGGGGGTCTTCACCAGCAAGGGGTACTATTATCTACAAACAAAAGGCATTATGAATCTAAACAACTGAAGAAAGTTAAGAAATCCACTTATTTTTTCATACATTTTCAATCAAACAAAACACAAGTACTATCCGACTTACGACCTGCTCAACGTATGACCACTCGTACTTACAGCCGTACGTCTGGCAGCTTATACAGTAGTAAAAAGTAACATACGATACTATGTAGGTACTTTATATAGCAAAGGTTTGACATTATGCCCTACCCAGTATGTCGGCAATTTTCTAAGGTTCGACTTTCGTCCATTTAGACTTGCAACCGGTTGGTGAGAACCAAGCTTGGTCGTAAGTTGGATGGTACTTGTATTGAACTCCAAGTCTCACCTTAACAAAAGCCTGTGGGAACATGCCCTCCTTGAGTCCACACCGCCCAAAAAGCCACTCTTCATTAATCCGGTAAAGAAGCTGGATCACATCACCGATCTGTGGGTGTAAATGCAATATTAAATAATGCAAGTTTCACCGAGGCAAATGCATGTTTACATAAGTGAATTACAAGTTTATGTACCATACATTAGTACTGTGATGACAGTTTTACTGATGGCGAACTTGTACGAAAGAAAAATGCATGTAGAAATTAGAAGACATCTCTGGAAAATGTTATCAGAGAAGTTCCACAAGGATCAGCACTTGCGTTAATATTTTTAATTTATATGAAGTTCATCCCTGCAATGGGGTGTCTTGATACAAATGAAATGCTCATGACCCAAGGAATGGGTGCTGCCCACTATTTCATCAGAGCAAACCAGATCATTTCCTACCACCTCTCCCAGATGTAGTATGACCCTAATGGGTTTAACGCTTACCCCAGGTATATACAGGGACAAATACATGAGGCTTTCAAGTTCTAGGAGCATGAATATCCAACAGGCCTGTGTGAACATATTAAGTGTGAATGGAAATGTATGGTTTTAAATGGCTGTGCTGTTGGAGTATGAGCAGGGTGACTCTTATGAAGTGATTCAGGGAAACTGGTTAGCCGAAGCTGAAACCTGGAGGTGGGAAGGGCAGTGTCTGAATTCTGAGGAAGTGGAGGTGAGGTTGCAGTAAGATAGGGTAATCGTATTATGATATCATCACACTTCTGTAAAGACAGCCAGTGATTATAAGTCAATGTGTTTTCTTCTCTGTGTCACCCTGATTTGGTATTAGTCAGAGGGCTGAAGAGGGGTTGTTGAGGTGGTTTGGTCATTTAGAGAGAATGGATCAAAGTAGAATGACATGGAGAGCATATAAATCTGTAGAGGAAGGAAGGCGGGGTAGGGGTCGTCCTCAAAAAGGTTGGAAGGAAGGGAGTAAGGGAGGTTTTGTGGGCGAAGGGCTTGGACTTCCAGCAGGCGTGCATGAGCGTGTTCGATAGGAGTGAATGGAGACAAATGGTATTTGGGACCTGATGATCTGTTGGAGTGTGAGCAGGTTAATATTTAGTGAAGGGATTCAGGGAAAAAGGTAGCTTATGAGAGGTTTTTACAAAGCAGAAGTGTTATAAGAAGAGCAGAGTATATGGAGAGTAAAAGAAAGGTAAAGAGAGAGGTGAGAGAGTGCAAAAGGAGAGCAGATGATAGAGTGGGAGAGGCACTGTCAAGAAATTTTAATGAAAATAAGAAAAAATTTTGGAGTGAGTTAAACAAGTTAAGAAAGCCTAGGGAAAGACTGGATTTGTCAGTTAAAAACAGAGTAGGGGAGTTAGTAGATGGGGAGATGGAGGTATTAGGTAGATGGTGAGAATATTTTGAGGAACTTTTAAATGTTAAGGAAGAAAGAGGCAGTAATTTCATGCACTGGTCAGGGAGGTATACCATCTTTTAGGAGTGAAGAAGAGCAGAATGTAAGTGTGGTGGAGGTACGTGAGGCATTACGTAGAATGAAAGGGGGTAAAGCAGCTGGAACTGATGGGATCATGACAGAAATGTTAAAAGCAGGGGGGGATATAGTGTTGGAGTGGTTGGTACTTTTGTTTAATAAATGTATGAAAGAGGGGAAGGTACCTAGGGATTGGCAGAGAGCATGTATAGTCCCTTTATATAAAGGGAAAGGGGACAAGAGATTGTAAAAATTATAGAGGAATAAGTTTACTGAGTATACCAGGAAAAGTATACGGTAGAGTTATAATTGAAAGAATTAGAGGTAAGACAGAATGTAGAATTGCGGATGAGCAAGGAGGCTTCAGAGTGGGTAGGGGATGTGTAGATCAAGTGTTTACATTGAAGCATATATGTGAACAGTATTTGGATAAAGGTAGGGAAGTTTTTATTGCATTTATGGATTTAGAAAAGGCATATGATAGAGTGGATAGAGGAGCAATGTGGCAGAAGTTGCAAGTTTATGGAATAGGTGGTAAGTTACTAAATGCTGTAAAGAGCTTTTATGAGGATAGTGAGGCTCAGGTTATGGTGTGTAGAAGAGAGGGAGACTACTTCTCGGTAAAAGTAGGTCTTAGACAGGGATGTGTAATGTCACCATGGTTGTTTAATATATTTATAGATGGGGTTGTAAAGGAAGTAAATGCTAGGGTGTTCGGGAGAGGGGTGGGATTAAATTATGGGGAATCAAATTCAAAATGGGAATTGACACAGTTACTTTTTGCAGATGATACTGTGCTTATGGGAGATTCTAAAGAAAAATTGCAAAGGTTAGTGGATGAGTTTGAGAATGTGTGTAAAGGTAGAAAGTTGAAAGTGAACATAGAAAAGATTAAGGTGATGAGGGTATCAAATGATTTAGATAAAGAAAAATTGGATATCAAATTGGGGAGGAGGAGTATGGAAGAAGTGAATGTTTTCAGATACTTGGGAGTTGACGTGTCGGCGGATGGATTTATGAAGGATGAGGTTAATCATAGAATTGATGAGGAAAAAAAGGCGAGTGGTGCATTGAGGTATATGTGGAGTCAAAAAACGTTATCTATGGAGGCAAAGAAGGGAATGTATGAAAGTATAGTAGTACCAACACAATTATATGGATGTGAAGCTTGGGTAGTAAATGCAGCAGCGAGGAGACGGTTGGAGGCAGTGGAGATGTCCTGTCTAAGGGCAATGTGTGGTGTAAATATTATGCAGAAAATTCGGAGTGTGGAAATTAGGAGAAGGTGTGGAGTTAATAAAAGCATTAGTCAGAGGGCAGAAGAGGGGTTGTTGAGGTGGTTTGGTCATTTAGAGAGAATGGATCAAAGTAGAATGACTTGGAAAGCATATAAATCTATAGGGGAAGGAAAGAGGGTTAGGGGTCGTCCTCGAAAGGGTTGGAAAGAGGGGGTAAAGGAGGTTTTGTGGGCGAGGGGCTTGGACTTCCAGCAAGCGTGCATGAGCGTGTTAGATAGGAGTGAATGGAGACGAATGATACTTGGGACCTGACGATCTGTTGGAGTGTGAGCAGGGTAATATTTAGTGAAGGGATTCAGGGAAACCGGTTATTTTCTTATAGTCGGACTTGAGTCCTGGAAATGGGAAGTACAATGCCTGCACTTTAAAGGAGGGGTTTGGGATATTGGCAGTTTGGAGGGATATGTTGTGTATCTTTATATGTATATGCTTCTAAACTGTTGTATTCTGAGCACCTCTGCAAAAGCAGTGATAATGTGTGAGTGTGGTGAAAGTGTTGAATGATGATGAAAGTATTTTCTTTTTGGGGATTTTCTTTCTTTTTTTGGGTCACCCTGCCTCGGTGGGAGACGACCGACTTGTTGAAAAAAAAAATATATATATATATATTTATTTATTTATTTATTTATTATAAATTTGTGCACACATACAGAGGTACAAAAAATACAGATAAGAGCAGTATGCCAAAGCCACTTATACTATGCATAGCATTACGGGCTGGCTTAAAATTAACTTAAGATTAATTAAGCAATGATGAAGTCAGTGATAAAACATTAATGTAAACAGATTACTATAAAGCACAAGTGAGTATTACAAAGACAGGTCATATGAAGGATTCTGTTAGGTAGTGTATTTAAAAAATAATAAAGTTAGATTGGGTTTTAGGTTTAACATTTATGTGATATAATTGTGAGAAACATTTAAGATATACAATTTATAAGGTTCAGTTATTCAGTATTTATTTGGTTTTGGGTGAGTAAGTGATCTTTGAGTAGAGACTTGAATTTATAAACAGGTAGTGTTTCTTTTATATTTACAGGTAATGAATTCCAGATTTTAGGGCCTTTTATGTGCATTGAGTTTTTGCATAGTGTGAGATGAACACGAGGAACATCAAAGAGTGATCTGTGCCTTGTGTTATGGTCATGTGTTCTGTTGAGGTTGGCAAGGAGATGTTTGAGGGGAGGGTTAATATCAGAGTTAAGTGTTCTATGTATGTAATAGGTGCAGTAATAAGTATGGATGTTTTGTATGGTGAGTAGGTTTAGTGTATTGAATATTGGTGGAGTGTGCTGGCTTCAGAGTGGGTAGGGGATGTGTAGATCAAGTGTTTACATTGAAGCATATATGTGAACAGTATTTAGATGAAGGTAGGGAAGTTTTTATTGCATTTATGGATTTAGAAAAGGCATATGATAGTGGATAGAGGCAGGGTGACCCAAAAAAGAAAGAAAATCCCCAAAAAGAAAATACTTTCATCATCATTCAACACTTTCACCACACTCACACATTATCACTGCTTTTGCAGAGGTGCTCAGAATACAACAGTTTAGAAGCATATACATATAAAGATACACAACATATCCCTCCAAACTGCCAATATCCCAAACCCCTCCTTTAAAGTGCAGGCATTGTACTTCCCATTTCCAGGACTCAAGTCCGACTATAAGAAAATAACCGGTTTCCCTGAATCCCTTCACTAAATATTACCCTGCTCACACTCCAACAGATCGTCAGGTCCCAAGTATCATTCGTCTCCATTCACTCCTATCTCACACGCTCATGCACGCTTGCTGGAAGTCCAAGCCCCTCGCCCACAAAACCTCCTTTACCCCCTCTTTCCAACCCTTTCGAGGACGACCCCTACCCCTCTTTCCTTCCCGTATAGATTTATATGCTTTCCATGTCATTCTACTTTGATCCATTCTCTCTAAATGACCAAACCACCTCAACAACCCCTCTTCTGCCCTCTGACTAATGCTTTTATTAACTCCACACCTTCTCCTAATTTCCACACTCCAAATTTTCTGCATAATATTTACACCACACACTGCCCTTAGACAGGACATCTCCACTGCCTCCAACCGTCTCCTCGCTGCTGCATTTACCACCCAAGCTTCACATCCATATAAGAGTGTTGGTACTACTATACTTTCATACATTCCCTTCTTTGCCTCCATAGATAACGTTTTTTGACTCCACATATACCTCAACGCACCACTCACCTTTTTTCCCTCATCAATTCTATGATTACCTCATCCTTCATAAATCCATCCGCCGACACGTCAACTCCCAAGTATCTGAAAACATTCACTTCTTCCATACTCCTCCTCCCCAATTTGATATCCAATTTTTCTTTATCTAAATCATTTGATACCCTCATCACCTTACTCTTTTCTATGTTCACTTTCAACTTTCTACCTTTACACACATTCTCAACTCATCCACTAACCTTTGCAATTTTTCTTTAGAATCTCCCATAAGCACAGTATCATCAGCAAAAAGTAACTGTCAATTCCCATTTTGAATTTGATTCCGCATAATTTAATCCCACCCCTCTCCCGAACACCCTAGCATTTACTTCTTTTACAACCCCATCTATAAATATATTAAACAACCATGGTGACATTACACATCCCTGTCTAAGACCTACTTTTACCGGGAAGTATTCTCCCTCTCTTCTACACACCCTAACCTGAGCCTTACTATCCTCATAAAAGTTCTTTACAGCATTTAGTAACTTACCACCTATTCCATAAACTTGCAACATCTGCCACATTGCTCCTCTATCCACTATCATATGCCTTTTCTAAATCCATAAATGCAATAAAAACTTCCCTACCTTCATCTAAATACTGTTCACATATATGCTTCAATGTAAACACTTGATCTACACATCCCCTACCCACTCTGAAGCCTCCTTGCTCATCCGCAATTCTACATTCTGTCTTACCTCTAATTCTTTCAATTATAACTCTACCGTATACTTTTCCTGGTATACTCAGTAAACTTATTCCTCTATAATTTTTACAATCTCTTTTTTCCCCTTTCCCTTTATATAAAGGGACTATACATGCTCTCTGCCAATCCCTAGGTACCTTCCCCTCTTTCATACACTTATTAAACAAAAGTACCAACCACTCCAACACTATATCCCCCCCTGCTTTTAACATTTCTGTCACGATCCCATCAGTTCCAGCTGCTTTACCCCTTTTCATTCTACGTAATGCCTCACGTACCTCCACCACACTTACATTCTGCTCTTCTTCACTCCTAAAAGATGGTATACCTCCCTGGCCAGTGCATGAAATTACCGCCTCCCTTTCTTCCTCAACATTTAAAAGTTCCTCAAAATATTCTCGCCATCTACCTAATACCTCCCTCTCCCCATCTACTAACTCCCCTACTCTATTTTTAACTGACGAATCCATACTTTCCCTAGGCTTTCTTAACTTGTTTAACTCACTCCAAAATTTTTTCTTATTTTCATTAAAATTTCTTGACAGTGCCTCTCCCACTCTTTCATCTGCTCTCCTTTTGCACTCTCACACCACTGTCTTCACCTTTCTTTTACTCTCCATATACTCTGCTCTTCTTATAACACTTCTGCTTTGTAAAAACCTCTCGTAAGCTACCTTTTTCTCTTTTATCACACCCTTTACTTCATCATTCCACCAATCACTCTTCTTTCCTCCTGCCCCCACCCTCCTATAACCACAAACTTCTGCCCCACATTCTAATACTGCATTTTTAAAACTATTCCAACCCTCTTCAACCCCCCCACTACTCATCTTTGCACTAGCCCACCTTTCTGCCAATAGTCGCTTATATCTCGCCTGAAACTTCCTCCTCCCTTAGTTTATACACTTTCACCTCCCTCTTACTTGTTGCCACCACCTTCCTCTTTTCCCATCTACCTCTTATTCTAACTGTAGCTACAACTAAATAATGATCTGATATATCAGTTGCCCCTCTATAAACATGTACATCCTGGAGCCTACCCATCAACCTTTTATCCACCAATACATAATCTAACAAACTACTTTCATTATGTGCTACATCATACCTTGTATATTTATTTATCCTCTTTTTCATAAAATATGTATTACTTATTACCAAATTTCTTTCTACATATAGCTCAATTAAAGGCTCCCCATTTACATTTACCCCTGGCACCCCAAATTTACCTACTACTCCCTCCATAACATTTTTACCCACTTTAGCATTGAAATCCCCAACCACCATTACTCTCACACTTGATTCAAAACTCCCCACGCATTCACTCAACATTTCCCAGAATCTCTCTCTCTCCTCTACACTTCTCTCTTCTCCAGGTGCATATACGCTTACTATAACCCACTTTTCACATCCAATCTTTATTTTACTCCACATAATCCTTGAATTTATGCATTTGTAGTCCCTCTTTTCCTGCCATAGCTTATCCTTCAACATTATTGCTACTCCTTCTTTAGCTCTAACTATTTGAAACCCCTGACCTAATCCCATTTATTCCTCTCCATTGAAACTCTCCCACCCCCTTGAGCTTTGTTTCACTTAAAGCCAGGACATCCAGTTTCTTCTCATTCATAACATCCACAATCATCTCTTATCATTTGCACAACATCCACGCACATTCAGACTTCCCACTTGGACAATTTTCTTCTTCTTATTCTTTTTAGTAATCTTTACAGGAAAAGGGGTTACTAGCCCATTGTTCCCGGCATTTTAGTTGACTTTTACAACACGCATGGCTTACGGAGGAAAGATTCTTATTCCACTTCCCCATGGATATAAAAGGAAAAGTAATAAGACCAAGAACTATTAAGATAAAATCAAAGAAAACTCAGATGAGTGTGTATAAATAAACATGTACATGTATGTGTAGTGTGACCTAAGTGTAAGTAGAAGTATGTATGTATGTATATATACATATACAGTGGTACCCAGAGTTTCATACAGCTACCAACTCGAACAATTATGTAAGTGTATTATTGTAAGTGCTTTTTTAAGTGTATTTTTGGGGGTCTGAAATGGACTAATCTAATTTACATTATTCCTTATGGGAGCAAATTCATTCGGTAAAGGCACTCGAACAGCCTTCTGGAATGAATTATGGCCGAAACTCGAGGTACCACTGTATATACATAATTTTTTTTTATTTTCAACAAGTCGGCCGTCTCCCACCGAGGCAGGGTAACCCAAAAAGAAAATACTTTCATCATCATTAAACACTTTCACCTCACTCACACACAATCACTGCATGTCAGAGGGTTGAAGAGGGGTTGGTGAGGTGGTTTGGTCATATAGAGAGACTGGATCAAATTAGAATGACTTGGAGAGCGTATAAATCTGTATGGGAAGGAAGGCGGAGTAGGGGTCGTCCTCGAAAAGGTTGGAGGGAGGGGGTAAAGGAGGTTTTGTGGACGAGGGGCTTTGACTTCCAGCAAGCGTGCGTGAGCATGTTAGATAGGAGTGAATGGTGACTAATGGTTTTTGGGACATGATGAGCTGTTGGAGTGTAAGCAGTGTAGTATTTAGTGAAGGGATTCAGGGAAACCGGTTATTTTTATATAGCCAGACTAGAGTACTGGAAATGGGAAGTACAATGCCTGCACTTTAAAGGAGGGGTTTGGGATACTGGAAGTTTGGAGGGATATGTTATATATCTTTATATATGCTTCTAAACTGTTGTATCTGGGTGCCTCTACAAAGACAGTGATTATGCATGAGTGAGGTGAAAGTGTTGAATAATGAAAGTATTTTCTTTTGGGGGATTTTCTTTATATTTGGGTCACTCTGCCTCAGTGGGAGACAGCCGACTTGTGAAAACATTTCGGTACAACTTGGACCATTAACAGGTTATAGAGAAAAGTGAAGGGAAAGTAGCTAGAATATACAACAGATGGGGGCAGTGACTGGGAGTGGTAACACAAAACAACAAGCAACCAATGACCATTATAAATGCCTAGTACCAAATCTTTTGAATCTGCTGACTAGATGTTGGCAGATGGGTCTCAAAGACACGTAGGTGGGTCTTTCAGAGAAGGTAGATGGTGGTGAGGAGAGAGGGTAGATGGTGGCGAGGAGAGAAGGTAGACGGTGGTGAGGAGAAATGGTAAATGGTGGTGAGGAGAGATGGTAGATGGTGGCGAGGAGAGAAGGTAGATGGTGGTGAGGAGAGACGGTAGATGGTGGCGAGGAGAGACGGTAGATGGTGGCGAGGAGACACGGTAGATGGTGGCGAGGAGAGAAGGTAGATGGTAAGTTGAGGCACCTGTGGAAAGAAAAGAATCTATGGAAGCAAAAAAAGGGGAAATATGGCAAAAAGAGGGAATACACCAGAGAATAATGGTAATAACACTTTATTGAAGGCAAAGCATGGTCTTTAAATGTTGAAGCAATGAAGGGGTAGGGCAGAAGTTGTGGAGATGTCCTGTTTGAAAGAAATGTGTGGTGATTTTTTTTTTTGGAGGGGGGGGGGGGGGACCCTACCTCACTGAGAGATGACTAGTGTTCAACAAAATCTTTTGAGACTACTAATTACCATATAGCAGATGGTTTTTGTATAAGTATACATGTTATTTTTTTTGTAAAGAAGTCTTACAGAGTTCCCCATACCTAGACATGCACAGTAACTATCATCAATAAAGTTCATCAAAGAAGGAAGAGGAACAATGCATTAAAGATAAAAATTAATATTTAACTATAAATAAGAGTGAATGTGTAAGACTGGTAAAAGATAACATTGCTTAAAAAAAAAAAAAGTATTGCTTTTAAAATTATTAAGTCATACCTTAAAATCCAGATCACCTGACTGGGAAGCAACAAAATCAAACTCAGCAATGCCATGTGGTCTGTCTTCATCCTCATCCTGTAAGGCAGGCATATTTATTAAATAATAAAGAGTAAGACTTGTGCACATACAAAAAATATATTTCCTATTTTTGATTTACTGCATATTCTAGAAAAAAATTCTAGACATACTACATAATAACTTCAGGAGCTAAGAAAAAAATATGTTACTAAGAAAGGCTGAAAATACTAAAAATAAAATTGTTGGCTGAAGGAAGAAAAAACAGACATGATAACTATTTAAGATTATATAATGATAGGAGAAGAGAGATGACTATTATTTAGCGTTAACAAAACAAGATACAGTGGAACCTAGAGTTTCGGCCGTTTTGAGTTTCAGTCACTTTTTTGGGCTAAATTTTGTCTTGAGTTTCGAGCAGAACCTTGAGTTTCAGCCGCAAAGTACGAAAGTGGAGCAGGGAGAGAGAGGGGAGAATGTGCCTTCTTCAGCGATTCAGTGATTCTACAATATGTATGATACTAAAGCAACAGGAGTCGATAAAGGCTATAGCGCAGCCAGCTATAAAGTGTAGCATTAAGAGTGTAGCAAGTAAGTTAAGCGATTAAGCGATAGAAAAAGGACATGAAACTAATTCCTCCAATGTTATTGGAGGCATAAAAGGCCACTGACAACATCTCTGAAGCCATCACCACCAGTGGCCCTATAAATCCCAACAACCACCACCACCACCACCACTCATGACATATGTAATGACGTACTTTATTCATTTTAGAGTATATACGTATCATGTTTCTATGTTATTAATACTGTTTATTAGGTCATATTAGATCAATTGTGATAGACAAATAAGCCATAGAGTTGATATTAGCATCATGCTGAAGGAGTATCTTGTCCTGTTTCCAAACAAACTCTCCTCCCTGTCTTCCATAAGCCAATAAGAGTCTTCAATAAAGGTATGTAATGTTTATATTTACGTATTTGAGGTAGTAGGTTGTAGACAGCAACCACCCAGGGAGGTACTACCATCCTGCCAAGTGAATGTAAAACGGAAACCTGTAATTGTTTTACATGATGGTAGGACTGCTGGTGTCTTTTTTCTGTCTCATAAACATGCAAGATTTCAGGTATGTCTTGCTACTTCTTCTTACACTTAGGTCATACTACACATACATGTACAAGCATATTTGTATATACACACCCCTCTGGGTTTTCTTTTATTTTCTTTCTAGTTCTTGTTTATTTCCTCTTATCTCCATGAGGAAGTGGAACAGAATTCTTCCTCCGTAAGCCATGCGTGTTGTAAGAGGCGACTTAAATGCCGGGAGCAAGGGGCTAGTAACCATTTCTCCTGTACAAATTACTAAATTTAAAAAGAAAAACTTTCGTTTTTCGGCCACCCTGCCTTGGTGGGATACGGCCGGTTTGTTGAAAAAAAAAATTATATTTATTTCTCATTGTTTTCTGTATGCAAACTATATTTATTCTTAAAAAAAAAAAATTTTTTTGTGAATATTTTTGGGTGTCTGAAACAGATTAATTGGATTTACATTATTTCTTATGGGAAATGTTGCTTTGACTTTTGAACAATTTGAGTTTCGGCAGAGCTTCTAGAATGGATTACGGCCGAAACTAGAGGGTCCACTGTACCATCATTTTTAACCAAGAAAAAACTGTTGCAAAAGGATATCAAAAAGTGGTAGAAAAATGAAAATGAATCTAGAGTAAAGTAGCAAGTGCTACAAACACCAGAAACTACAAAAATTGTGTGACAAATTAAACACTAAAGACAAAACAATGTGAGCATATCTCTGCTCTTGAACTACGAACAGATAATGACAAAACACTAGTCCTACAGATATACTTTGTGGTTTCAGTCTAGAAAACAAGATTAATTATAATGACTAGAAAACTGGTGTTCAATATTCAAAACTAAGTTTATTATGAATGCTATATTTTTACAACTGAATTTAACTAAAAAAATTTATGAGGATAAAAGTCTATGCCAGATATTAAAAGAATATGAAGACTAGAGCATACAAGTAAAAAATCTTGAAAAATACTATAAAATTTAAAATAATCAAACAGATCTGATTATGAACTTCACCATACTCTTATCCATTTTAAAAGTGTAAATACACAAGAATTTAGCATTGTCACCTCAGCTTCTGGTCGTGGAGGTAGAGGTGGAGGTTCTTCAGGAATAGTCTGTGCTATTATACTGGTGGTGCCAGCATCCCATCCACTGGAGGACTTCACATTTGTACTTGAACCTTTGGATGCAGCACTCCAGTCAATACTTCCCAAATCTGAATACTGACTGATCATACTAATGCTACTGTCGCCTGCACTTTCAACCTGACTACTTGAAACTGGTGCCTTTGGACGGATAATTGTAGGTCTGAAGTTCTTTTGTTCTGATTTACTGTAATTATTTTGAGTAGCTGATTGTCTTAATGAACTAATAAATGTAGATGAATGTGAAGTATTCTGTGTTGGCATAGCCGAAACTTGAGGTTTGTGTGTTTGAACATTGTTTAGGTCTGCCCTGCGAGCCAACATATCAAATGGATCTTGGTTTTCATTTATCTCTGTTCCAGTATGAGCTGCTGGAGCACTAGAATAAAAAGAGGATCCCCCCACCCTTACGGGTGGTATAAAAGCATTGGGTTCTTGAATAGAGCCAAAAGGATCAAAAATGTCATCAAAGCCTGAGCTCTGGTTTCCTGTAGAGGATTCACTACCAAAACTGTTAACACTGAGACCATCACTGCCAGATCTTGTTGTGGGTGAGCCAGGTGGTGATGAAAAGTCTATTAAGGAAGCTTCACACACAGGTGTGCTTGGGGCAGACACTGTGTTGTGGACAGGAGAAGGTCTGGGACGGGAGGGTGGAGGACCACGCAATTTGCCAAACATGCCTCCAACAACATTGCTACTCTTGGATGAATTATTTGGCTCTAACTGATGATGGGTTTTCTGTACAAGAAATGAGCAGATTATATTTACTTAATGGCTTTAGATTATAAATAGATTATTATTTATACAGTCTCTCCTCACTTAACGATGGAGTTCCATTCCTAAGACAACACTGGTAAACGAATTTGTAGCTACGCAAGGAGCATACCATAATGGTAGTGGGTTTGTATCAACCATCTTTGATATTGTTGTAATGTACCTTTGCACCATATATAACATTTTTGGTATATTTTTAAATGTTTATACAGTAGTGTACTGTATACTGTAATAAAAAGAATAGAGGAAATGAGCTCTATTATATATTACTTAGGTATGCATACTCATCAGAGAGCCCGTCGTAAGTCTGAGTCGTCGGTAAATGAGTCCGTCGCTAAGTGGGGAGAGGCTGTATATAGCAATGTATCAAATAACCTAGCAATATACACTTGCTAGTAAAATTTGCCTTAGATTAAAATTCATTATTTTACTTTATGCTCACTAATTGGAAAATAAACTACATTTCAGAAATAAATTGCATTACTCAACAATTAGAATACATTAAAGTCTAATACCAAAAGTTAACTTACACACTATGATGACAGTTGCCTAAAGCAGTCCAACTTTCTAAAATTAAAAATTAACCAAATACAAAAGTCAAAAAGAAATTGTCTAATCACTTAACCCTTTCACGGTCTCCCAAGTAGGCCTACATTATTGATGCCAGTGTCGTTCACATAGATCTACGTTTTAAATGCAGCACACTCAAATATGTTGCAAGGGGTAAATTTTACCTAGACACGAGAGGATGGGTCTGTGCAGTGAATGTTCAGTGAATATGTACAGTATAAAAATAAATCTTGCCCCATGCAATGCATGATGGGAAGAGCAAACCTCTGACCTTGTGTTTGGTTTAAAATAGCAAACTTTAAGGAGGTTTTTATAGTTTTGTTGTTTATTTCTTGGTATGAACTGATAGAATGGAAGACATACTAGTTATATGGAGATGACTTTTGGTAAGTTTGCAACTAAATACCTTGAAATATGACAAACTGGAGGAAACATTAGATTTTTGGCAATTTTCACAAGGGAAGAAGTGTCCCCTAGTCTGTTTTATGGATTTTCACTAGGTCTGCTTCAATTACTGGGACAGCATAAACCATGACCAATCATTCTTGGCTATATTTTTCCTTATCTGAGATCACTAACTTCAGTTTTTTTTTGTGATGAAGGATTCAAAACTGGAGAGAATTATACAGGAGAGGCCTGGGTTGCTTTTTTAAAATTGAAGAATTGAGACACTTATGCAACACATGGGAATCTTTATTGAAGAAACGTTTCGCCACACAGTGGCTTCATCAGTCCAATACAAAGTAGAAATGGGTAAGGAGAGTAGAAGTTTGAGGTAATCAGTCCCTCAACCTGGAATCGATGTGTTCAGTCCATCACTCTTGTAGGAAGTGCAGCACAGGGCCAGAGAGGTGGCTTATATACTGCCACCTCTCTGGCCCTGTGCTGCACTTCCTACAAGGGTGATGGACTGAACACATCGATTCCAGGTTGAGGGACTGATTACCTCAAACTTCTACTCTCCTTACCCATTTCTACTTTGTATTGGACTGATGAAGCCACTGTGTGGCAAAACGTTTCTTCAATAAAGATTCCCATGTGTTGCATAAGTGTCTCAATTCTTCAACTTGTCGGTTTTCAAAACCATTCACTTTTTAAAATTGAAATTTGTTTCAAATTTGCAAAGTTACTAACTTCTGTGCACATTATAGGGTAGTTCTGATAGATAAATGGGCAGTCAACTGATAGAACAGAAGGCACATTAGTTAAATAATTTGGAATTGGCTTAAAAGATGGTTCAAATTGGGTAAATTTGCCTATGCATAAACTGTGTCCACACTGCCAACTTTGTGACTGCATAATTCCCCGTTTTCCATCAAATTTCACATTTTTGGTATCATTATTTTCAGAAATGGAGTCTTTATCGTTTCAGATTTTTTAAATTATGAGTATCGGCACTTTTAATTTTGGGGGATTGCAACAGCGAAAGGGTTAATACTGTCATTTTTTATCAATCTACTGCATAGTATTTAACTGCAATAATCTTGCATTGCATATTCACTGTTACAGAAATTAACAATCTGGAGACTTTATAAGATATATACAGAGCAGACATTACAATAAACAAAAGCACTTTAACATGTCAAGGGAAATGATAAACTGAATATCTTTTCTAAAGAGATCAGACAACCAGGAGGTGGCTATCAGATAGTTAATACTGTATGAATCAAAATCTACTTATGATGTATAATATTTAATTAAAGGCAGAGTAGCAACACATTCCTTCACATGACACAATAATGGATTTTTAAAGCACTGATACTAGGGTAAAAGAGGGGAAGGGGGTATTGGGGGTGGACCACTGCAGAAAATTGTAAAAGTTAAAGCACGCAAGAGGAACAGTACTCACCTGCACACCATCATACACAAGCTAACTTGCTCTCCAAAAGTGAAAAGTATCTTAATCTTGGGCAAAATAATAAAATTTCAAGCAAGAAGGGAAACCATACCACTTGCAAGAATATCTACTGACCTTTCTAACTGAAAACTTATGCAATCTCTGAAAAATTGGGTGTGGTCTTTCCAGGGTGGGCTGCAGGAAACAAGCAAGGCATGTTATTGGTGAGCAAGAAGAGTGTCCTCTGTCTTGAGCCACACACACATTACTAATGCTAACTACATTTTCAAACTTGCAAGACTCAAGAACCATATCTCATGAAAGTTAAATTCTGCACTACAATCAGAGGGCAGTGTCAAAAACATACCATTAACTATGAGAGTGTACAGTTAAATGATTCCAGCATAACTGACTGAAGTCAATAACAAATTTTCCTATTAATGCTCCCACAACAATATAATAACTCTGAATCAGAATAATTCTGCACTTCCAAAGCAAAATTTTAATAATTATGTTCTGGTATAAAAAATGTCAAAAAAAAAAAAAAAAAAAAAAAGTACATGGCAGTATATTTTTTCTTAATTTTACAAAATGGACTGACAAGTTTGTAAAATACTTTACTAATGGATTATAAAATATATACTGTACTATTCAAACGATCAGTAATGCATTAAATGCATCACACTAAGCATAAATCTTTACAGTATTTATAAATATACTCCAACTTGTTACAGACTTTCATTCTGGCTGCTTGAATATTGTGTTTCATCTCCCAGGAATACATACGTAGTACAATTTTGTTTAATTTTTGTAATCAGTTAATTTTTTTGTAACTTTTGTACAGAATTTTGATCAATTTTATTCAGTCAATTTATCCACTAATAGAGAATGAGCATCATGCTGTCAAAGCCAACAGGAAATGGCCAGTCAGCCATGCTGGGAGAGCAGAGAGAGGTACTACAAATGACACTCCTTGTTTAATGTTTTTGTTAACTAAACATTATTTACACCAATGATATTCTGCATGTAACTGTCAAATTATACCTTGTCTACATACTGAAGCTTGGTAATGCACATACTAACTAGTGAATGAATAATATTTTGACAGTTAACCTCAAACTCTCTTTGATCTAATGCTGAGTATTGATGAATGGAGGAAGTTTTGATGTTTGAAGAGCACACTGACTTTGGTGATCATTTAACATTCTAGGCAATAAAAATAAATACAACACAAAATAACATTCAAAGTAAAATTAGCAAACAATAAAAAATTACCAGTATAAAAAAAAAACAAATACTATTACATCAAACTAAAATAACCAGCATCAGTTAAAAATCTGATTAAACTGTTAATCTCAGAAGACTTGGTACCCCAAGATCCCTATGGGCACCCCACTAATTATAAAAACCACAATGAAAGCAAAAATGTCCAAGGCAAGGGCAGCCAAAATGTGTTCTAATCAGCTGCATGCCACAAATGATTGGAACAAGGGCACCAGCAAACAGGTGACTGTGGGAGAAATTTGTATGTCCAATCATCAATCAACAATCTTTTCCAACTGATAATTTCTGTTCAAATGACCCACCAAACTGCAACAATCTCACCACTTCTGAATATAGGCACTGTTCTTCCCAATTCTAGGGGTCAAGTCTGGCTAACCGATTTCTTAGAATCCCTTAGCAAATGTTACTTTGGTCTCACTCTAGTCAGTCAAGCCATAAAAAGCACTTCTCCATTCACTCAGCTTTAACATGCTCTCACAAACCTGCTGGATGCTTCAAGCCCCTAGCACTCAAACCACCTTCAACCCCTCCCTCTACAACCATTCCTGGAATAATCCCTAACCCTCCCTCCCTATCTCCTTCCTTCCTTAGATTTACAAGATTCATAGTCATCCTATCCCACTTCATTATCTCTACATGCCCAAATCACCTCAACAACCCCTCCCTCAGTCCTTTGAATTATACCTTTGCTAACTACACCCTCTCATAATTTATAGGCTCTGAATTCTATGCATAATGTCCACACCATACATTGTTCTCAAATATGAGATCTCACTGCCTCCAACCTTCTCCTCACTAATGCTGAAAACCTTTACCACTTTATGCTGGTACACTTTCCTTTTTGCCTCCACAGATAAATTTCTTTTTTCCAGAGATGCTTCAAAACACCACCTACCTTTTTCCTATCATCTATTCTATGGTTCACCTCTTCTTTCACTGGACCCATCTGCTGACATATCCTCCCAAATATCTGAATAGTGCTACACTCACTTCCTACTCCCTCCCTCCAGTCTGATATACATTCATTCATTATTTTGCTCTTTATATATTCACTTTTAATAGCCTCCTTTTACATAACCTCCCAAATTTTTCCACCAACCTTTATCAACATTGCACTGCACTTAATATTCATTTATTCCACTTGGATCCCTTTAAACACAGACATTTAAATACGTGTATACTGTTTAATAAAAGAAATAAGAACATCTTGCCTTTGACACTAGTACAGCTGACACTGAAATCCAAAATTTGTGGTTTTCCTATTTTGTGTATTTCAGTTATTCACTTTTGCTGAATAGCATCCAGCAAATGCCTACAATTATTCACAGTGTCCAACTATATGGACTTGGCAAATATCCTCTAAGCTGAAAAACCACAATTTCATTTAAAATGTGCCCAATGGTTCTCCTACACCCAAATTTCTGTCTGTATTAAACAGATCCCAGCAATTTTTGATAGATTATGCCCTCAGAATTTACATAGAGCGCTGCCTGGGAATCTTGCCTGTCTCGGTAGCAGTATCGAGTCCTGCTGACTGCTATTTTTCTCTGTATATACCTGCTCGTTTCTGCGTGGTGCACTGATTACACTCACTCTCACTCTCTCACACACACATAAGAACATAAGAAAGAAGGCACACTGCAACACGTCTACTGACCCATGCGGAGCAGGTCCATGTTCCCCTCCCCCCCGGATTAGCCCAATGACCCCCCCCCCAGATTAGCCCAATGACCCACCCCCCTGGATTAGCCCAATGACCCACCCCACTGGATTAGCCCAATGACCCACCCCACTGGATTAGCCCAATGACCCACCCAGTTTGGTCACCTCCACTCAAGGAAGGAGCACGGCACCAGACCCAGCAGCACAAGCTAGTCAGGTCCAACTCGCACCCACCCACACCCACTCATGTATTTCTTCTTCTTACTTTCAACACAGCGGCCGTATCCCACCGAGGCATTTTATCTAACCTATTTTTAAAACTACACAACGTTTTAGCCTCAATAACTGTACTCGGGAGTTTGTTCCACTCATCCACAACTTATTACCAAACCAGTGCTTTCCTATATCCTTCCTGAATCTGAATTTTTCCAACTTGAAACAATTGCTGCGAGTCCTGTCTTGGTTGGAAATTTTCAGCACGCTATTTACATCCCCTTTATTTATTCCTGTTTTCCATTTATACACCTCGATCACATCCCCCCTAATTCTACGCCTTTTGAGAGAGTGCAGATTCAGGGCCCTCAGTCTATCCTCAAAGGGAAGATTTCTGATACATGGGATCATCTTTGTCATCCTCCTCTGTACGTTTTCCAGAGCATTTATGTCCATTCTGTAATACGGTGACCAGAACTGAGCAGCATAGTCTAAATGAGGGCTAACCAAGGATATATAGAGTTGAAGAACAACCTGAGGACTTCTATTATTTATATTTCAAGATATGAAGCCAAGAATTCTGTTAGCTTTATTGCGAACACACACACACACAATACACGCGGCTTCAGTAATTTGCGGATTTTTTCCTTAGAACCTAACTAATAATTGTTTGCAGAAATCCCCGCAAATTCGCGAATTTTTTTTGGCTTTTTCGTGGCAATATATAATTTTTAATGCATTTTAATGCTAAATATTAAGAAAAATATAATATAATAATTTTGCAACATAAATATTAATGTAAATTCAGCAAAATTTCCATATAAAATATGTTGTATAAATTTTTTAGTGCTGTAGAGTGGTGGTGAGTACCCATACATTTAACTTCACTTTTACTAAATTAAATTATTACAGCAGATTTACCGTACGTATACCTAAGAAAATGGGGTTGCATGAATTACAGTATACCAAAAGAAAACAGGCTTGCATAAATTACAGTACATATGGGGTTAACATCGGTATTTTACATTCTAGCACTATGGGAGACATAGCAGTACAGTACTGTATATGGGTTCATCTTTACTTTTTTTTTTAAGGGTGATATATGAAGCTGAGTTTGAAATTAAAGTGTTTTGGGGACATATTTTTGGTTTAAACGATAAAAATGGGCATTTATAGGCATTTTTTTTAACCGTGTCCAGAATTTGCAGTTTTTCTAAATTCGTGGGTGGTCTTGGAACATAACCCCCACAAATCTGGGGGTACTACTGTATATACAAATATGTGGACAATTTTTGGCACCCGTGGATCCCAGACTTACAGAACCTATAGGAATGTTATTCCCATGAATTAATAGGTTCAACTAAAGTAGCTATTACTGAACAGGTTTATACAGTACATGGTACACACAATATAGATGACAGTATATTTTTTCTAACTCCTACTTGACTTCCTTATTTGACCTTTCAAAGTGCATTTTTTCCACCCTCACTTTAAAATGACAATGATCTAATAAACATATGCTATCTGCTTTTCTGTTATCCAAGCTTCTAAAAATCATCCCAGTCAGGGCTTAAAAGGCCTCTAGCTATTTTCTGTCCCCTTTGATTTTTTTTAAATCAGTAAATAAATGAAAATGATGAAAGTAGTGTGTCTCAAAAGTAAAGTTGAACAGTGTTTTATATATAATATTACAAAGCTTTCAAACACAACTGAAGAATAGTGCAGCACTATGAACTTTAAACTAACCTGTGATTGATTAAATTTAGGTGGTGGCGGTCTTGGTGGTGGTGGCTTCTTTTGTATACCATTGGTGAGAGGCAATGAGGCAGATCTGGGTAAACCATTATGACTGGTTCTCTGTGATGGGAATTTCATTGATGCTCTTGGGACTGGTCGGGGACCCGTATTTTCCTCAGATTGTATGACTAGCAGAGCATCATTCCTGTGTAATTGCAAGCAGAGATTTTCACAACACAGCTTCACAAGCTTATAATTATGTAGCAGCCACAAGCCAACAAACAACTGAATTACTGTACAAGTTTTTTCATAAAAGAATTCTATACATTCAACTAATACCTTTACAAGCACAGGTTAGTTTTCCCAACAATGCTATACATAATTACATTTTTTCTAATTATACACAAGTAAACTGTAAACCCAATATTTCATCACCGTTACATTCCTTGAATTAAATTTGATTTACAGCATTTATGTCCAACAAATGGTTGCAAAATTTGAAAGCCAAAAACTGAAAATAAAAGTCTTGTAACTCAGGGACTGGGTAATGGAGGGAATTTAAATGCTTTTGACCAGAGCATTTACAAAGGAGCTTAAATGCAATACTCAACCTTCCCTTCTCTTTCCCTAAGTATATAACAATGTTTATTTCTTTGAGCTGTACAAAAAAAAGTAGTTAAATGTACAATAGTAGGCACATATATAAAATAGCCACCACCTATGCAAAGTACTATTTTGGGCAACTAATCATAAGGCTTACATGCTATTTAAGAACTAGACACAGCCTATTATATAGGATGTCTCATGCCATTAACTACAATTACAAGCATAAGGTCAATTACAAGTGTGTTTGTTTTTCTACACACTGGTCGTATCCCACCGAGGCAGGGTAAACTCGGAAGAAAAACAAAAGGTTTTCTTTTTAAATTTAATAATTTATACAGGAGAATGGGTTACTTGCCCCTTGCTCCAGGCATTTTAGTTGCCTCTTACAACACGCATGGTTTACAGAGGAAGAATTCTTTTCCATTTCCCCATGGAAATTACAAAAGAACTGCATATTAAAGTAGCTCAATGATATTCAGTTTTGTGGAATGATTGAATAGATGATAAAGATACAGCAAGTTACTTAGATTACAATACAAATAAAATGGGACAAGATATGTTGCCAATTATGTATGAGAGTTGAAGGAAGGCTAGAATAAGAACAAGGGCAGAATTGGACGAAAGCATGAAGCTATGGCTGGGGATACTTTCAGTAAGGATTACTTGTATTGTACAGTATGGTATTTTTTTTTTTTAACATGTGGGCCATTTCCCAGTGAGGCAGGATGACCCAAAAAGAAAGAAAACTTTCAGCATTCAGAGGTGCTCAGATACGACAGCTTGGACATCCCTCCAAACTGCCAATATCCCAAATGCCACCATTAAAGTGCAGGCATTGTAGTTCCCATTTCCAGGACTCAAGTTCAACTAACTGGTTTCCTTGAATCCCTTTACAAAATATTACCCTGCTCACACTCCAACAGCTCATTGGGTCCCAAAAACCTTTCGTCTCCATTCACTCCTATCTAATATGTTCATGCATGCTTGCTGGAAGTCCAAGCCCCTTGCCCACAAAAACCTCTTTTACCCCCTCCCTCGAACCTTTTCGGGGACAACTCCTACCCCGCCTTTGTTCCCCAACAGATTTATACACTCTTCAAGTCATTCTTTGTTCCATTTTCTCTCAATGACCAAACCACATCAACAGCCCCTCTTCAGCCCTCCGACTAATACTTTTAGTAACTCCACACCTCCTAATTTTCACACTACAAATTCTCTACATAATATTTACACCACACACTGCCCTTAAGCACGACATCTCCACTGCCTCCAGCCGCCTCCTTGCTGCACCATTTACAATCCATACCTCACACCCATACAAGTGTTGGTACCACTACACTCTCATACATTCCCTTATTTGCCTCCATGGATAACGTTCTTTGTTTTCACAGATACCTCAACACACCACTCAGCTTTTTAGCTTCATCAATTCTATGGTTAATCTCATCCTTCATAAACCCATCTGCTGACAAGTCAACTCCCAAATATCTGAAAACATTCACTTCTTCTATACTCCCTCCCTCCAAAGTGATATCCAACTTTTCTTAAACTAAATCGTTTGATACACTCATCGCCTTACTCTTTTCTTTGTTCACTTTCAACTTTCTACCTTTACACACCCTCCCAAACTCATCCACTAACCTCTGCAACTACTTTAGAATCCCCCAAAAACACAGTATCATCAGCAAAAATTAAATGTGTCAACTCCCATTTTGGACTGCTTCAATTCTTGTTTTTCATATAAAATCCCTAAATGGAAGGTGACAGGACTTCATTCAAAATGGGCTCACTCAAAATTATGCACATTAAGGTAGTACATTGGACCCTTGACATTTGATGGCATCGACATTCGATAAATCTGACATTCGATGCATTTTAACGCAAAAATTTCGCCTCGACATTCGATGGAAAACCCGATATTCGATACGATTCGTATGAGACGTGTCCACGTGTGGCCTGAACTGCCCCGTGTGTGCCAGCGTTTACAAGCCAGCCAGTGTGAGCGCATCTAAGGATACATTCGGTACATTCCATATTATCCATATTATCACTGTTTTTGGTGCTTGTTTCTGCAAAATAAGTAACCATGGGCCCCAAGAAAGCTTCTAGTGCCAACCCTGTGGTAAAAAGGGTGAGAATTAGTATGGAAATTAAGAAAGATTTTGAAGGGTTTCGTGCTAACCCTGAGAAGCCTATGCCAGTTGTGGAATCCATTGTGCCTACTTCAAAAATTAAGGAAATGTGTGCAAAGTGGGTTGAACTGCAAATCTTTATGGATGAAAATCACCCTAACACAGCTATTGCAAGCCGTGCTGGTGACTATTACAATGACAATGTTGTGGCCCATTTTAGACAAATCGTAAAGGAACGGGAGGTACAGAGCTCTATGGACAGATCTGTTGTGCGACAGAGGTCCAGTGACTCTCAAGCTGGTCCTAGTGGCATTAAAAGAAGGGAAGTAACCCCGGAAAAGGACTTGGTACCTCAAGTCCTAATGGAAGGGGATTCCCCTTCTAAACACTAACACCATCCACACTCTCCCCTCCTCCCATCCCATCAATCATCACCAGATCTTCATTAAAGGTTAAGTGTCAATTATTCTATTGTTATTGTAATTATTCTATTGCATTAAACTTAATATTTCATGTGGTAAATTATTTTTTTTCATATTTTTGGGTGTCTTGCACGGATTAATTTGATTTCCATTATTTCTTATGGGAAAATTAATTTGACTTTCAATATTTTCGACATTCGATGAGCTCTCAGGAACGGATTAATATTGAATGTCGGGTGTCCACTGTACTACTTAAAGGGATGGCCCCCAAAAGAAAAAATAAACATGAATAAAATACTGTGCTTTTGTTTTACTTTTTAGGTCACCCCGCCTTGGTGGGATTTGGCTAGTCTCTTGGAAAGAAAAAATAGTGTACTTTATTGAATTTCATTCACTTTTCAATTGTTATATTTATTATACACATATTTATTAGAGTAGGTAATAGGCCTTAAGGCTTAATAAACTTTAGAGTTATATGTACAGTGGAACCTCAAAAATCAAACTGCTCCCAACACAACCAATTATGTAAGTGTATTTTTGTAAGTATTTTTATAAGTGTATTTTTGAGGGTCTGAAATGGACTAATCTAATTTACATTATTCCTGATGGGAATAAATTAATTCGGTAAAGGCACTCAAACAGCCTTCTGGACCAAAGAAAGTTCGATATTTGAGGTTCCACTGGATTACAAAAAGTAATGCCATATTACTGGAGGCAATTCCAAGCTGTACAAAAAATTATACAATGTTTATAAGTAAGATTGCATTTTTTAACCTATACTCATCAAGAGAGGAAAGGAATCTGGAGTGCCTTGAAGCTGGTGAAGGGCTCTTGATTCTAGGAACTGGACCTCTCTTCCTCTTCCCTTCTATCTTATTCTAACCTGATTACTCCCAGACCTCTACTATCCAGCATATAGTGTCTACTCTCATGAGTTTCAATTTGAAATTTGAGTCAGTCAGTCAGTCCAGTATAGTTACTTTGTTTGACTATACTGGATTATCCTAAGTTAAATCTACCTAGTGTGGTTTTTGGCTGAATTCCATTGTTAGTACAGTATCATGCAATTGTAATGAATTTTTCCTGTAAGGAAGCTAGTGGTGGAACAGCAGGTCTTGATTTCATTGCTTACTTATACTAGTTATGCAGGTACCCCATGATGCACCTCATGAACACATCTGGTCACAGAGCTTTTCAAGATTTTTTCCAAAATCAAAAACATCTGCTAGTGACATATTTTAAGCCACAAAAATACTGTACATACAGCCTCTCTTCACTTAATGATAGTTCCGTTCCTAAGACCACGTTGGTAAATGAATTTGCCTCTAAGCAAGGAGCATATAGCCTCTCCTCACTTACCGAGGTACTCGTTTACCGATGCCATTTTTCATTTTCAAATGCATATAAAAGCCTGATAACATGTTTACACTATCATATATTAAGTGAGCAATAGAACTAGGCCTAAAAACTTCATATACAGTGCACACATTACTTTAAAATATTTTGTCCTTAGCCTATAGTGAGTGATGAATACATTTCTTGAAGGAAGTCTGAATAAATGAAGAATGGGCATAATTGAAAACTGCTGTATTAGCAAAACACCATAAAGCAAATTGCTGTAAAGAAGGGCCCTCCTGTATTTTGGACACAGTTAACCCTCTCACTGTCCAAAGCCCTGAAATAAAGTGCTCACAGTGTTCATATTTAAAAAGAAAAATCTGAAATGGTAGTGAACCTTTTCCTGAAGGCAGTGACACCAAAATTACATAAAATGATGGAAAACTTAAAGAATAACATGGGCACAAAGTTAGCAATGTGGGTGCATTTTATGCACTGATGATTTTGCCCAATGAGTCCAATTCCATTGCTCAATTCAATAAAATTTGATTGAGCACAAAGCAACTGCCCATTCAATGTTCAAACTGCATTATAAAGTGTACAGAAGTCAGTAATTTGACCAATTTTTACACACACACACACACACACACACACACACACACACACACACACACACACACACACACACACACACACACACACACACACACACACACACAGGAGACAGAAAAGAGGCACTAAACTATAGACCTGTGTCATTGACGTGTATAGTATGCAAAATTATGGAGAAGATTATCAGGAGGAGAGTGGTGGAGCACCTGGAACGGAACAAGAGTATAAATGCCAACCAGCATGGATTCACGGAAGGCAAATCCTGTGTCACAAACCTTCTGGAGTTTTATGATAAAATAACAGAAGTAAGACACAAGAGAGAGGGGTAGGTTGATTGCATCTTCTTGGACTGCAAGAAGGCCTTTGACACAGTTCCTCACAAGAGATTAGTGCAGAAGCTAGAGCATCAGGCGCATATAACAGGAAGGGCACTGCAATGGATCAGAGAATACCTGACAGGGAGGCAACAACGAGTCATGGTACGTAATGATGTATCACAGTGGGCACCTGTGACGAGCGGGGTCCCACAGGGGTCGGTCCTAGGACCAGTGTTATTTTTGGTATATGTGAACGACATGATGGAAGGGTTAGACTCAGAAGTGTCCCTGTTTGCAGATGATGTGAAGTTAATGAGGAGAATTAAATCTGATGAGGACCAGGCAGGACTTCAAAGAGACCTGGACAGACTGGACACCTGGTCCAGCAAATGGCTTCTCGAATTTAATCCTGCCAAATGCAAAGTCATGAAGATAGGGGAAGGGCACAGAAGACCACAGACAGAGTATAGGCTAGGTGGCCAAAGACTGCAAACCTCACTCAAGGAGAAAGATCTTGGGGTGAGTATAACACCGAGCATGTCTCCGGAAGCACACATCAATCAGATAACTGCTGCAGCATATGGGCGCCTGGCAAACCTGAGAACAGCATTCCGATACCTTAGTAAGGAATCGTTCAAGACACTGTACACCGTGTATGTCAGGCCCATACTGGAGTATGCAGCACCTGTTTGGAACCCGCACTTGATAAAGCACGTCAAGAAACTAGAGAAAGTACAAAGGTTTGCGACAAGGTTAGTTCCAGAGCTAAGGGGAATGTCCTATGAAGAAAGATTAAGGGAAATCGGCCTGACGACACTGGAGGACAGGAGGGTCAGGGGAGACATGATAACGACATATAAAATACTGTGTGGAATAGACAAGGTGGACAAAGACAGGATGTTCCAGGGAGGGGACACAGAAACAAGAGGGCACAATTGGAAGTTGAAGACACAAATGAGTCAGAGAGATATTAGGAAGTATTTCTTCAGTCATCGAGTTGTAAGGCAGTGGAATAGCCTAGAAAATGACGTAGTGGAGGCAGGAACCATACACAGTTTTAAGACGAGGTTTGATGAAGCTCATGGAGCGGGGAGAGGGCCCAGTAGCAACCGGTGAAGAGGCAGGGCCAAGAGCTAAGACTCGACCCCTGCAACCACAAATAGGTGAGTGCAAATAGGTGAGTATACACACACCACAACACACACACACCACACACACAACACACACACACACACACACACACACACACACACACACACACACACACACACACACACACACACACACACACACACACGTCATTCCAGCATTTCCTCTGTTCATTAATCACATCCAGAGGCCTCTCCTATATTACACTTGCTTTTCATTTTGAATTCATCATAATACCCCCCCCCCAAAAAAAAAAAAAAAATTACCCTATTTCTTGGATAATATATTATAACCATGAATGATTGGTCATGGTTTACAGTCTCAATAATGGATCATACATAGTAAAAACCCATACAATAGATTGGAAGGGGCATTACCTGTCCTCAGAAAAATTGACAAAAATTTAATATGTCCACTAATGAAGCCAATTTCAAGCTACTTCCAGTCCTGGAAACAACCAAAGACATCTCTGTTTTAGAAGTATGTCTTCCATTCTCTCAAATGATACCAAGAAACAACCAATAAAACCATAAAAACCATCCTAGAAAACACTATTTTCAACCAAACACAAGGGCATGCCCCATGCACTGCATTGGCAGATTTTTTTACTGTGCATTCACATATCTTGGCCAAAATTTACCACTCTCAGCTTATCAAAGTGAGTTGAGCTCAAGACAGATCTACCTGATGAACAGTGAAAAGGTTAATAAAATTATTAAATGTCAAAATGGGTAGGCTTTTATGAAGTTACATTACTGAGGCAACACTGTACTTATACACAAAGCACTTGCAATAAAGTACAGTAACTTCTCTTATTACAACCTCTATTTGAGAAGAATATTAGGAATGCTTCCAAATTAAAAATAAATTATTTTGAATTAGGAAAGATCTCCAAATTTCCAAAACAGAAAACTTGGAAATTTAGTTAAAATAATGCGTCATCTCTAATTCTTATTTTTTTTTTCCAAAATTTGAGGGATATATCAAATTTCTATTACAGTACAGTACTGTATTCAAACTTTTATATAAATTTGATAACATTCATTATTCTAAATAAGAGAGGGCCTGTATTACCAATATCACCAAATAGGTGAAGATAACAAGCATACAGCCAAGCAATTTATAGCGAGTCCCCGCTTTACAATAAACTGGTTTAACAAGTTTGAGGAACCAGGGAACACAGCTGTACTAGGGAATGAAACACTGTTTAGCAAACATCAATGCATCATCCATTATGCTAAGGGTGACAAGGCTTTTGGCTAATCACTTTCATCATGACCAGTTTATTCCACCACGTCCAAGTTTAGCTACAAAAGGCCGTCGAGTAATAAATGCAGTAATGTTAAGGCTAAGAGAAGGAAGATTACCTTTATCCTCCAAGTAAAACTACAATTCCACCAAATTTGGTAACTAAGCCTTGATAGTGTTTGACCCATCTCTGGTGAGCATATCCATTAACGTACTATTTTATATACTGTACTACAGAAGTACCTCAGTACTCGAACAGCTCCCAACTCGAACAATTCGGTATTCAAATGCTGTTCGGTAAAAAAAAAAAAAAATGTTTGGTAATCGACCGTTTGCTCAGCACTCGACCAAACAAACTCTTGTTTCTTTGCATCTTTTGGTGTTTTATTATATTTGTATAAATAAGTCACCATGGGGTCTAAGAAGATTAGTGATAACAGCCAACCAAAAAGAAAATTGGGTAGTCACAACAGAGATGAAAAAAAGAACTCAGAGTGAAATATGAAAGTGGTGCCAGTGTGTCTGATTTTGCTACCGAGTTTCGTATGGTGAAACGTATGATCACTACGATACTAAAAAATAAAGAGGCCATTAAAAAGGCTGATGTTGCAAAAGGAGTGAAACCAGTTACGAAACAAAGACCAAAGAGAAGTGGCATACACTGTGTAGTGAAGTATGGGAAGGCTGCTGGTTCTGACGAAGATGCTGCCGAGAAATATGTCAGTGAGTTTAGCGACTATGTAGAGGCTAAGGGTTTTATTCCCTAACAAGTGTTCAATTGTGATGAGAAGGTTTATTTTGAACAAAAATGCCAAACAGAACATATATCACTTGAGAGAAGTCATGCTAGGCTTGTAAACCATGTTAAAATGCTTTTGTAAGTATTTTTGGGGGTCTGAAACAGATTAATCTAATTTACATTATTCCTCATGGGAAAATTTTGTTCAGTACTAGAGTAGTCCTTTGGAATGAATTAAGTTCAAGTACCGAGGTACTACTGTACTTTGGTTCATGTTTCACTGGTGCTGATATTTTAGGTCTGAATTATTCTTCTGCAGCATTCAACTTGTATAACCAAGTCTATGGGAATATGATATGCTTTATGAGAACCCTTGCAAGCACCCAATCGTTAAGCGGGGACTGCCTATACTGTACACAAGTACGAATACAACAGCCAATTATGAATTAGGTGTGAAAATTAAACTCACCACATATAAATTCTTAGAAAGACATGTAAACAAATCAGAAAATATGAATAAGGTCCCATAGTACCTCTTCTCAGTACAGTATAGACTCCATACATATATGGGGTAAGGATATAAATAACCAGAAAATTTTGGGGGGCATAAGAATGATGCTAATACCAAGGTGTTTTAATTTTCTAAAATTACTTTACTCACTCTTTACAGGTTGAAGACAAAGGCTTGCTATGCTATCTCTGTTTGAAATGAGCTTTTCTATTAAAAAATTAGCTTATCCATTTACAGTTATTTTAATGAAGTTGATAACTGGGAAAACTGAGTTTCAAGTGACTGGCAGGCATTACTACACAATTTGAAGCCAATTAAAAGCCTACCTGAGAGCAGTTTCTTCACCCATTCTTAATTCTATTTGCAGTAATTTAAAGCTATGAAAGATAACTGGACGCCTATGAATAGCAAGTAAAAAATAAAAATCTACAGACAAAAAAGGGTCAAGATAATTGACATGCTTTATGTATATATGGTACAAAGTTTTATGGAAATTACTTAAACTATAGCATTATCTACAATTCAAAATAATTAAATTCTGAAAAGTTTTAAATGTTACAATTCACAGAGCATACTGGTATGACAAGAAATAGGTTTCTGATTTGATGAGGACACGAAAAATCCCAACAATTAAATTTTACCGTGGCTGTGGGCCCACTGGCCGGTATTTAGGGGGAGGGGGAGCACGTCTCACTGGTCGAATATCTGAAAAAAAAAATCTTAATGTAACTTTTCTAGTGATGATGAAGATTTCATATTAATAAATTTGTACAATGGTTCTGATAGCACATGAATGCTGCAGTTATACATATTTAGTACAGTAATCTATATAATCTATATTAGACCTGTACTACAGTACAGTGGACCCTCACCTAACGATATTAATTGGTACCTGAGAACGAATATCGTTAGGCGAGTTTTTTAGCATTAGCCGAGGCAAAATGTTAGTGTTAAAATGTATCATTAGGCGAATTTAACGTTATGCGATGCGTTCGTTAGGCGAGGGTCCACTGTATATATAAAAATCACTCTATACAAATATTAACCCAGTCCTAAAACTTTTCAAGAGCTACAACAGAATTTAAGAGAAAATACAAGAAACAAATACAGAATCTTTTTGGTAGTCAGGAGTTCGGTTAGGCAAAAGAAGGATTATGACAATGGTTTAACTATACAGCTTATAACAAGAGCAATAGAAAAGAGAGGTGAGAGGAACTGTAAAGACAAGAGCAGTAGAAAAGAGAGGCAAGAGGAATTTGTAAAGATAAGAGCAGTAGAAAAGAGAGGTGAAAGGAATCTGTAAAGATAATAAACATAAGAATGAAGAACACTACAGCAGGCCTACTAGCCTATACTAGGCAATTTCAACCCACACCCACTCGTGTACCTGTCCAACTTATATTAAAAACCATCCAATGTTCCTGACTCAATGATGCTACCTGAGAGCTTGTTCCACCCATCTATGTGTCTGCTGCCAAACCAGTAATTCCTAATATCCTTTCTAAACCTAACTTTCTCTAATTTTAATCTATTGTTGCAAGTGCTGTCTTGGTTAGATATTTTCAACATTACTTATATCCCCTTTAATTATTCCTCTTTTCCAGTTGTACACTTAATCATATATCTCCTAATTCTACACTTTAACCAAAGAGTGCAAGTTCAATGCCTTCAGCCTCTTTTCGTAGAAAAGGTTTCTAATACATGAAATCAACTTCATCATACTTCTTTGTATATTTCTGGGTGCATATATGTCCATCCTGTAATATGGAGACAAGAACCGAGCAGCATAATCTAAATGAGGTCAAAGCAAAATTACATAAAGTATGAACTTAGGACTATTATACTTTTTGACATAAAACCAAGAATTTTATTAGCTTCATTGTGAACATTTATATACTGTTGTTTTTGCTTTAAATTTCTGCTAACGAGAAGTCCTAGATCTTTATTAGCATTCACTTTTACGAAGATCTACACTATTTAGCTAATAAATGCCATAGTTATTTTCCTAGGAATAGAATCTTACACCTGTCTGCATTGAACTGTATTTGCCACTTCTCTGACCACGACATTCAACCTATCCAGGTTATCCTGTAGCCTTCTAGAGTCCACATGAGAAATTTGACAGCCTATTTTGTCGTCATCGGCAAACTTACGTCGCTATTTATTCCCTAATCAATGTCATTTATGTAGATTGCTGAACAGCAAAGGTCCCAACACTGACTCCTGTGGCACACCTCTCACATAGGTCTCCATTCCAATTTCTCACCCACTAATACAAACTGTTACAATCTATCAGTCACCCAGGAGATATTTCTTATTCCATGTGCTGCTACTTTCTTAATCAGTCTCCTGTGTGGAACTTTATCAAGGGCCCTTACTGAAGTCCAAATACATAAGTAAGTTTATTCAGGTACAGGTACACATACAATTACATAAATTATCATACATAGCAGCATGTGTACATTACTTATAACTCAAAAAAAGTCAAAGTGACTTATTTCCATTGGGGTCCTTGCAATATCAGTCTTCACCTTTGTCTACCACCTCGAATTACTATTATTATAATCAAAAAGTGCTAAAAACTACCAGGGTCATACAGCACTGCTACCGCCTTGAATACCTATATAATATATTCATTTCTCTTTCTACATATACAAAGGTGATATCAATGACATACTACTATATAGAAAGCCACTTGCTAAGCAGAGCATTTCGGGCAAATTAGGTCAGTTTTTGTACCAGTATGTGACCCACGCCAGTCGACTAACACCCAGGTACCCACTTTGCTGATGGGGAACATAGACAACCGGTGTTAGGAAACATGCCCAATGTTTCAACCCTCACTGGGAATTGAACCCAGACCCTCACTGTGTGATGTGAAGAGCTTTTGCCACCAGGCCACAGCGAAGAAATTGGTAAGGAAAGCACACCCAGGTATAAGGGCTGAGATTAAGGAAGTTAATTTAGGCACAGGTACACAAATTCAATTATTATACATGGTGTATATTATCTAGGATAACCCAAAAGTCAAAATGACTTATTTCCATCGATCCAGGAGCTTTATAAACAAATTATACACCCCATGCTTGATCCATATGTTAACCTGGTGTAGCCAAGCTCGAAGATAATGAAAGCTCGCGAATACAAGTAGCAATGAGGTTAAAAAAAAAAAAAGTTACAACCTCCCACTTGCTAGGAAAACACTAGATAAGTGACAGCTAAACTACCCCTCTCACCTTACACACAGTTTACATACACTACTGCCAGTCCCAGATACACACACAATGGTGTCCAGCTTTCTCTCAAGCACGGACTGGGGGACATTCCCTAGCTGTGACTCACAAATAGATGACGAAAACATTTACCTCCTGTCAGAAGGTCGTCCATAGTTACAACCCACTTCCTCCCAGTGACGTCACGCACTACCCGTACCTGATTGGCTAAGACAAGCGACCATTGGCCAATCATGTGTTAGGATATCCACAACCTGCCTCGTGATTGGTCAATCTTCCATCACCCTCTTAGCGGTACATTTAAACATGATTCCATAAACAAAGTTCATTGTGACTTTTTTTGCCCTTGTGAATAATTTATTTAAAATTTACACTCTTATATGTGTAAGACTGATGCATATTGTTTGCCTCATTTAGATAATATTGTGGTTGATGTATGTGAAGAAGATGAACTGGTGTTTGTTTACTATGAGTCAGCTGATCGAGGCCTGGATCACACTCCAGTTGTAAACACAGGTGGGTCTCCACCTGTCTTAAGGTGGTCTCCACCTGTGGTCTGGTGGCCTCCACCAGTGGTTAGCTGGTCTCAAACCTGCAGTCTGATGGTTTGGATCAGTAGTCTTGCTCAGTCGTCTCAGCTAGCAGTCACGTGGTTTCGACCTGTGGTCGGGTGGTCTCGACCTGCAGTCAGGTCGTTTCGAACAATGGTTATGTGACCTCGACAAGTAGTCAGGTAGTTCTGACCTGTAGTCAGGTGGTTTCGACAAGCACAAATTCATCAGTGGTCAATTGATTAGTGGTCAGGTGGTTTCGACTAGCAGTCAGTGGTTCTTGACCAGTTTCCAGACCTCAACTAGCAATCAGGTGTTCTTAACCAGTCATCAGGTGGTCTTAGCTGACAATCAGATGTTCTTGATTAGTGGTCAGGTGGTCTCAATTAGCAATCAGGTGTTCTTGACCATTGGTCAGGTGATTTCAACTTAAAGTCTGATGGTTTTGACCAGTGGTCTTAACTAGCGGTCAGATGGTGTTGGTCACTAGGTCTGGTGGTCCTGTCCTTGGGTAGGGTGATCATACATTGTGTAAATTACATATAACCTAAAAAGGTCATAGGCCTTGGTCTTTGCCATTAGTTAATAGGCTTTATGGCAGTTTTGTAGGCCCAGCCAATGTGAACCCTATCTGAAGAGGCATTCTTCAATTATTAATTGAAAATAATGCACCATTTTAAAATAAAATTGGTACCTACACTCTCAAATAAGTCTCATTGGAAATAAGCCTTTTTTACTTTTTTGGGTTATCCTAGGTAATTTACACACATGTTACTATGCATGATAATTTATGCACCTTATTTTTGTACCTGTGCCTAAATAAACATACTAAATGACCCTTGTGAGTTTCATGCTTAGTTATGATAATAAGAATAATAATAGTATATAAAAATAGCCTTTTTCTAATTAGGATACAGTAGTGGTGAAAGTCTGAAGTCCACCAGAAAATGCTTTCTCAAAGTATCGTATGAAATAAATGTCAGGAATGGTCTACATATGTCTGGTCTGCCAGGCATGTGAATGCTTTATTCGGGTTTGTACATGCATGGTTTGAAATCAGCTTTGAAAATCACTGCAACAGACATACTGTCACATGCTGTGCAGGCCCAGTTCACCCACCATTCTCACTCATGCCTAAAACTTGTGTCCTTTGTATGAATTTGTGCTATAGTCTATAAAATATTTGTAGATTTTCCTGACTAAAGCTTAGCTTTTCTGAAACATGTAGTGTAGTGGCAGGTACCTCATAGCTTAGTAGTAGTGTACTCGGTTCACATTCAAGAGAACCCAGGTTTGAACCCTGGATGAGGCAAAACATATGGACATCTGGATTAACACCTGCAGCCTGTGTTACCTTTGGACTAAATAGATATTGTACCTAAGGGTAGAATAGACTTTTGTGGATTAAATCTTGTAGGAGGACCTAAAGATTAGCCCAGTAGAAATAAACCTCTTGGATTGTCCTGGGTTATTAACCCTCTTGGATTACTGATCTGAGTAACACCTTTTTTTTCTAGCTAGATGTGGGTCACATCCAGGGGACAAGGACCAAAGAACGCAATGGAAATAAGCCACATCAGTTGACTTTCTTGGGTTACCCAGAGTTAATAATCCTTCATGGTTAATAATCCCAAGAAGCAAACAATGTAAGTTACAAATTTTAAAAAAGCCAGTTATGGAATTTATTTTAAATACATAATTCTTATGGTACTATACTGCATTATCTTCAACTGCTTCTTATGTGTTTACCACTTGATTAAAAACAGTCCAGTATTTAGTTTTGCAGAGCCTTGTAGGTTTAGCACTTCTTTTTTATAATAATTTAGTTTTACTCAACCGAATTAATTTGCCTATATGTACAGCAGTTTTAAAATTGTTGTTTGATTGATCACTGTTACTTCTCCCAACCAAAATTAACATCTTAATATCATATTCTATTCCTCTGAATTTCTACCCCTTTCTTTATCACTTACTACTTGATAATGAACCACAGTGGACAGAGACACTGTTCAGTTTTCATTTCCATTTTGGGGATTAGTGATTAATTTCTCAAGCTACAGTATTATGACTTATTGAGCTAACATTGTTCATTACTTTGCACTTATTGATATGGGAATTCATTAGACAGTTATTAGTCCAATTCACAAAGTTGGCTGGCACCCTTTGATGCTAAAATAGTGATGTAACTTTTCTCTCTAATTTTGTGTCATTTCCAGATAAAAATGAGTGGAACCTCAGTACACAAAAACCTCCATACTCTAACAATTTGGCATTCAAACATTTTGTTCGGTAAACAAATTGCTCAGTAGTTGACTGTTTGCTCGGCACTCGACCAAACAAACATGACCTGCCAGAACTTCGCTGTAAACTATTTCATGTTTCTTCGCAATTTTTGGTGTTTTTTTTATATTATTTGTTTAAATAAGTCACCATGGGGCCTAAGAGGGTTAGTGATAACAGCCAACCAAAAAGAAAATTGGTTGGGAAACATTTGTTTGGAACTCGGACAGATTGGCACTCAAACAGCCTTCTGGAATGAATTAAGTTCGAGTGCCAAGGTTCCACTGTATTGTACATACAAAATACATTATTGACATCATTTATATCAATTACACTGAGAAATTAACCAGTTCTACTGTGGGTGTTTTGAGCCGGATAATTACCTGAATCCCTTGTCAGTGTCAAGGGCCCTTTTATTTACCCCAGTAGCAGATACTGTAGCCATATAAGGGATGAGAGGTGAAGGATCATCTGTCACTGGGGGCCACAAAGGGTTCCCTGCTCACTTGAGCAGAGGACATATCAACAAATTAGGATTGGTCATAAAGGAACTACTCCCTGATAGGAAGCACTGTAGAAAGCCAAGATAGACACAAAAGGAGTGGGAAATGATGAAGGAAAGCCTGAGAGGCAAACAACTGGACAGAAGACAGGTTTGTTACCAGCAGCAGGCAACCCAAGAGCTTTGAGGAAATGCATTTACACTCCACCAACACTGTTTCTGAAGTCTGGATTCTACTCTTGTGGAACCTCTAAGAATGTAAACTCCATGAATTTGTATGGAAGACTATACTGTAGTATGAATAAAAAAGTACAGTATGTGTAGAGAAATTGTAAAAAATCTGTAGTTTTACAGTAGATTGAGTTTTTGTTACCCAGGTTTATTAAAGTTTGATTTTCTTTGTTTTTAATTTTGTTCAATTCAGGTTTTAGTCTCCTGAAGGAAAAATGTAATATGAGCCATTTTAAAAGTCTAAAAATGTACCAGAAATTCATGAAGAAGGTACGGTAGCTTCAGTTACCTTACCTTGTTATGTAATGGCGCAAAATTATTTTTTTTTTTAGTGACAATGGGTCAAGTTCGACGAAGAGACTACTTAAGGCTGTTGATTGTCCCAGCAGTATTTGCAGTGTCATCGTTTTTCCTGTGGTTTCTCTTTGTCAACAGGCCAGCATTGAAAAATGGACTCAGTCCGGTATGTACTGGCATCACATTTGCAGGACTATTATTTAATTTTTAATTAATTACTTGCAGCATAAATTATTTTTAGCTCCACACTGAAGGATGTGTATTAATGTTTTAACCCTAGAGTCATTTTGAATTGTGATGTTTGTGCATTTCTGGCAGAATAGCTGTTGAATGAGCATTGGTGAAAGTGTGTTGTTTTTTGGGTCACCCTGCCTAAGTGGGAAATAGTCAATGTAAGAAAAACTTTCCAGTGAATGCTGATATCCACATATAAAGTATGTATATAATAATTCAAGTTTTCCAGACACTTTAGAAAGCATAACTCTCTACACATAATGCCTTGCAGTCACTTGATCTGAACCATAGTATCCCACATGCTGGCGAGAAAACACACCATTTTCTTTTGATAGCCATTGGTGTTGTATAGCCAAAATGACTAATTTTAATGATAAATGAACATTACATACCTTTATTAAAGACTCTTGTTGGTGAGAAGTACATGAATTTATTTGTTGTCCCAGGCGGACTACATCCCAGTGTATACCTACCGGCTACATACACTTCGGCCTACAGCCATATTATTACCATCAACATACCATGTTCACTGAGTTTAATCATTTCTAATAACAACCTTTAGATGTCATCATAAACAAAGGGAGAAATAATGAATAATTCATGCTGAGAATTGTAAACAAAAGCTTATGTATAAAGAACAGTTACTGGGGCAATGCAGATTCATACAGTTTTTTCTAACGCTGGACCAGAGGAAACGTAATGTTTACCCTCCACTACATATAAACATTGCGTGTTTATATGCTATGTAATGTGTTTCTTACATAATTTTGAAGAAAATATCATAGATAGATTAATGAAAATACCTATATTAATCCAAAATAAGGCATTTAATGTGCCCAAGATTGATTATTATTACATACTGTTAGTATTACTATGACGTTAAGACTAGAGGGACACTCTAAGTGAGCGAATAACAAAGGCATGTTTACATGCTATGTAACATGTTTCTTACAGAATTTTAAGAAAATATCATAGATGGATTAATGAAAATGTCTATATTAACCTAAAATAAGACATTTAATGTGCCCAAGAATGAGTCATGAACGTATGAGTGGCCCGGCACATGCGTCTGGTACCAGTGATTTCCAAGGGGATGTACAAAACCCGGGGGAAATTTCACCAAAAAAAGTGCTCGAAATCCAAATTGTACGATTTCCACACTGGCCGAAAGCTGGGGGTCCACTGTATTCTTATATGTTACATATTGTGGATGCATTAATAAAATTTACTACCATCAGTGCTTCAGAATTCTTTTATAAACAATTAAATTTGTACATACTGTACTATATTATTATTATTTTTATTTTCATTTTGTCATCGTCATTGTTAATGTATAGTACGTATTGTTTCAAATAAACACTGTTGTGTTGTGATTTGCAAGAGGTATACATACCCTCACTGACACACCTTGACTCTCAGTATGCCTGATGTTCACTATGTGACTTCAGGTGCAAACTCTATAGAATAAACCCTCCACATAAGCTCAGGTAAAATAACCCAAGCCCAGGATACGTATGCCTTTTCACCAAAAAAAATCCAAACTTAGAAAAGGAACCTTGTGACTTGACATTGTCCTCCACCACCACCACCACTCCCTTCTTTCCCTGCCCTCTAGCATACTGTCTTCTGGCTTTCTCCACTTTTCTTTCTCCAGTTGTGACTTGACAATGGTCCAGGACAAACTGAGGAATCATCATGAGGTTCTATTCCTAAGTGTGGGTTTTTGGTGAAGTGTTCCAGCCATGGTATTGTGAATTTTAAAGTGCCTTCATCTTCACTGCTATCTGTACTATTAATTACATTGCTTCCTTCACTGTTGGTGTTTAAAGTTGTCATATAGTCGGTTCACTTTCTCATACATGTAGTATATGATTGGGTCTCTCAGGTGACTTTCATTTTGACTCTAATTAAAAATTCATTAATTATTTTAACTTTTATAAACTTACATCAAATATGTGCAATTTCAGTACCTTACATGCCTTAGCAGCTACTGAAGCACTAGATTATAAACTTTCCTGAGTCTCCTCACTATTATTAATGTAGCACATGGTTGTTCTATTTACCCTAAAATTTGGTACATATTCATAATTTTCTTTTGCATGTGACTAGCAGACTACCCTTCACTACTTATTTTACACTGTAAAGTCATAATAAAGGGCAATAAAACAAATGTGACAATTTCACATTAGCGAGTACAGAAATGCATGAAGGTTGAGAGCAAAGCAAAGAAGGATGAAGGATGCTTTCAAGAGTTGCTTAACATGATGGCAGCATAGCAGGGATGCTGATTCTATAAATAATAAGAAATAAATATTTATTTTCCAGGAAGATGCATTTATGTTACAGAGATGGATATACATTAGTTATTTCTTGTACAGAAAAGCTCATTATTAAGAAAAGCATTTTTAGCAGAGTAATACTAGAACTTAAAATTACTTGACATAGAATATAGTTAGATTATTCGAATGCTAAGTTTAACATAAAATTGTCTAAAGGTAAGTTTATTAGTACTCTCCAAGCTTCTCTGGCTGACTGGCTGACTTGGGGTGAATGAAAAAAGGTGTGGTGTGCTTGGTAACTCACATATAATAGTCAGTAGGTCACATATGTAAAAGTGTTATACATATACCTAATAGTGAGTAGCAGGATAAATTAGCAAATTTGGAGTATCTTATGTCTGCTAATTACAGCCAGTTTCTGACTAAAGATTGTGCTTTCCCAAATTTGCTTATCCTGACTCATGTGTAGTAAACCATCAGCATAATTAACTTTTTCTTAACCCTTTCAGGGTTTCCGACATACTAGTACGGCTTATGCACCAGGGTTATTGACGTACTAGTACAGTGGAACCTCAAAAATCGAACGTATCACATATCGAACGTTTCGAAAATAGGACCATTTTTTCGGACAAACTGTGTCCCTATTATCGAACGCGCCCCTATTTTTGGACCGCCGGGTACAGGACCTGTTTGCCGGCCCGCTCTGTCCGCGTCCCCGCGCAGGCGCCGTGAGCAGTCTAGCTTTGTTATGCTTGAGTGAACACTAACCTGCGCTCTCATTCACGCATTTTATGATTAGATCTACCATCCGACTTACTACCGAGTTCAGTTCCGAGAAACCGGTTGTAAGTCAAAATTGTCGTATGTCGAACTTTACTACTGAATATCAACAAAACATTTTTGTAATGACTTTATTTTATTGTTTTATTTTGGTATTTCATGTTTTACTTTACTTTTTATGCTGTTAGTACTGTATTTTATACTGTAAGGTTTAGGATAAACACTGTGTACAACACAAACAGTTGTTTATTTCCCAGAAATTTGGCATAAAAAACACGGTCGTAAGCCGAGTGGTCGTAAGTTGAGCAGGTCATAAGTCGGATGGTAGGTGTATTTCGTTGTGTTTAGTGCTTTTGGGACTGTGAAATAAGCTGCCATGGGCCCAAAGAAACTTGCTAGTGGTACCCCTGTGGTAAAGAAAGTGAGAAACACCATAGATGTGAAGAAGGAAATAATACAGAAGTATGAGAGTGGTGTAAGACTCGTTGAGCTTGCCAGGATGTATGGGAAAAACAAGTCGACCATTGGTTCTATCCTGTCAAAGAAAGAATAAATCAAGGAAGCTGATGTTGCGAAAGGTGTTAATATGCTAACCAAAAAAAGACCACAAATAGTTAAAGAGGTTGAGAAGTTGTTGCTGGTGTGGATCAAGGATAAAGAGATTGCAGGTGATAGTGTTTCAGAGACGATTATTTGCGAAAAGGCAAGGAAGTTGCATGCCGATCTGGTACAGAAAACTCCTGGAACCAGTGCTGATAGTGAATTTAAGGCCAGCAGAGGCTGGTTTGACAGATTCAAGAAGCGTAGTGGCATACACAATGTTGTAAGACATGGTGAGGGCTTTACCTGAAGTCCTCTCTCCTCCTCCCTATCTTCTAGATGCCATCACCAATCTTCAATAAAGGTAAGTAAAAATGTTATGTTATATGTATTACTATACATAATTAAAAACTATAGTATTTGTTGTATGTAAAACTGTAATTAATCTCTATAAAACGTATTTTTTGTGTGAATATTTTTGGGTTTCTGGAACGAATTAATTGTATTTCCATTATTTCTTATGGGAAATATTGCTTCGAATTTCAGACTTTTCGAATTTAGAACTAGCTCCTGGAACGGATTAAGTTTGGTTTTTCAGGTTCCACTGTATGCCTAAATTCTAGCACCTTCAAATCTAGCAAGAGAAAGCTGGTAGGCCTACATATGAAAGAATGGGTCTATGTGGTCAGTGTGCACAGTATAAAAAAAACCCTGCAGCACACAATGCATAATGAGAAAAAAAAAAACGTCGATCGTGTTTTTGGTTTAAAACAGCGACTTTGCACTGTATTTTCGTATGGTATTTATGGTTCTATTCTAGTTTTCCTGGTTTCATTTTATAGAATGGAAGACATATTACAGAAATTGAGATGATTTTGGTTGGTTTCACAATGAAAAGTACCTTGAAATTGAGCTCAAAATAGCAGAAATAGTCGAGTTTTGCCAGAGTTCAAAAGTTAACAAATCATGCCATGCGTCCAATACACATCAACTGGTGAGTCTGATATTCTTTCACGAGTGTGCTGATGTTATTTGTACCATTTCTACACTAATGCAGTAGTCTGCATAACAATAAATCTTCTATTTTTTGTGAGAATAAAAATTCAAAGTGGAAAGCAAAAGAAATGTAAGAGGGGCCTGGGGATGTGACTAATGAACAGAGGAAATGTTATTTTAGTGCCAGGAATGTCTGTATTGTTTATTCTGGACCCTTTTTGGAAATTGACATCTTTTGAAATTTGTGTGAAATTGGCAAAATTGCTAATTTCTGACCACTTTATTGGATAGTTTAAATCAGTAAATGGGTGGTTTCTTGTACTCATTCAGTAGAAAAAATGGGCGAAATCGCTGTTGCGTAAACATCGTTGAGACTGCTAAATTTGCGAGAGCATAATTCCGTAAGTTTTCCATCAAATTTCAAACTTTTGGTGTCATTATGATCGGGAAAAGATTCTCTTATCTTTTCATAAGAAAAAATCATTTTTTTTTTTCCAAAAAATTTTTGTCCCTGAGAACAAGTTTAGGAGAGGGCCTCTCGACCCTGAAAGGGTTAAACTGTTGGAGTCTAAACATTTAATTATACAGTACAGGTACAAGACTAACATTTGTCACACTTCCCTACTTTGAGAAGCTGCTTTATTCCATAAAATTTATTCTGTATATTAATTTATTATGGGATGCTCTTATTCTGTCTGCTCTCCTTTTCTTTTATGATTTCTTAATCTACTCCAATTTGTCACATCACCTGTAAATTTGCCTCCTATTTTATTTTCTAATTGTCTTTCCCTCAGCACCTCCATCTTTTCTCTGCTATCTCTCACATCTGCTGGTGGCACTGCATGATCCTTAGAGTTTAGTACTTTCCATGCATATAATAATATTCCTACCAGGTTACTAAATTGCAATCATTGGTTTTTTAGTTGGAAGTGAAAAACCTAGCTCTGGTAAGTCAGCAGATTCTTAACCATTGATATATAGCTCTGGTGTGCCAATAGTTGCTTAATCACTAACACCTAGCACTGAGATACCAGCAATTGTTGAATCACTAAGAGGGTCACATTTTGACAGAGACCCACATTAAGAGACTACCACCATCTACTTTGTACTGTGTTCACATTCTCTTTGTATTATTTTTGTTGTATGCAGTATATACATAATGTTCTGTTTAAGATACAGTATCATACTTTATTTTTATTTCTTATGCAGTACTTAGCAGAGATATGGTGCAAGTAGGAAATTAAGCTATGCTTAGCTTAATCTTCATTATGATAAATATTTAGAATTATTATATCTGCTTTTATTATTTATTAATTTATAACTTTACAATATTAAAATTTTATATATTTTAAAATGTAAGCAAATGCATGCTTTAAGTCTTAATAATACCAGTATTGTACTGGATATAATTTTTCTCCATTTTATAATTCAAATGCTTTCAAAATGCAATTGAACTGATAAAATTTGATTTTTCTTTATGCTTCTTTTGTTTTAGGATCTTCATTTTCCTAAATCTCTTGAAGATTTACGAGAGCTTGTGCGTGTATCAAGTGTTTACAGACAAGACCACTGGTATTATGTTCTTCTGTTATTCACATCAGCTTACGTCTATAAACAGACTTTTGCTATCCCCGGCTCTGCACTTTTGGTATGTAATTTGCACCTGCGACTTTCTTACATTTAAAATAGTATTCTAGGTGCTGTAGGTCATGCTGTCCCATTTCCAACGCTAAGTCTATTGTGTAATTTTTTAAATTTGTTTTTTGTTGTAGCACACATCATTATTTTTTTTAATGCATCAGTAATCTCCTACCAAGAGAAGAAATACTTTCACTGTCATTCATTCAGTTATTGCCTTGCCAGAAGTATGCAGATGTCATGACTCAGATAACTCTCTGAACTGCAGCATCCCTACCCCTCCTTTGGAGTGCAGGCACTGTACTTCTCACCTCCAGGATACATGTCCGGCTTACTGGTGTTCCCTGAATCCCTTCATATATGTTACCTTGTTCACACTTAAGTAGCACATCAAATCTTAAAAGCCACCTGCCTCCACTCACTCCTATCTAACACCCTCACACAAGCCCATTAGATGTCCAAGCTTTAATACTCAAAACCTCCATCACCCCCTCCCTCCAACTCTTCCAGGGATGACCCCTACCCATTCTTCCCTGTACCGCCTTGATTATATACAGTAGACCGTTATATTACACGGTTGTTACGTTTCTGAAGTGGACTTGCTTCTCTTTTTTTTTTTCATCAACATTTAACAATTCAAAATATTTTCTCCATCTTCCCATTACCTCCACCTCCCCATCTAATAACTCTCCACTTTGTTTTTTGCATACTAAATACACTTGATCCCTGGGTTTTCTTAACTTAGTACTCTCACACCAAAATGTTTACTTATTCTCCACAAAATTTGTTGATAGAATCTCACCTACTCTATCACTGGCTTCTTTTTGGACTCCCTCACCATTCTTTTAACCTCTAGTTTACTCTCCATATGCTCTGCCCTTCGTATATCACTTGTACATTGCAAAAATCTCATATGTGCTAACTTTTTCTCCCTTACCACCCTTTTTACTGCCTTCCATTAATTGTTCCTCTTTCCTCCAGCACCAACCCTTCTATATACACAAACTTCTGGTGAATACTGACATACTTCTTCAACCCTCTCTGGATCACTTTTCTCTTAATAGTTGCTTATATTTTACACTTACTATCTCCTCCTTTAAGTTACTAACTTATGCTTTGATGACATTTTACTTGTTTCCCATCTACAGTAGACCATTGATTAACATGCGATCTATTAACACTGTTTGGTTAACACCATCTCTTCCAACCCCTTTCAAATTCATTGACATACATCAGCAACCAGAATATATGGTAATAAATATTGATTTTATTTATTAACACATCAACCATTTCCCACCAAGGCAGGGTGGCCTGAAAAAGAAGAACTTTCGTCATCATGCACTCCATCACTGTCTTGCCAGAGGTGCACTTACACTACAGTTATAAAACTGCAACATTAACAACCCTCCTTCAGAGTGTAGACACTGTACTTCCTATCTCCAGGACTCAAGTCTGGCCTGCTGGTTTCCCTGAATCCCTTCATAAGTGTTACCTTGCTCACACTCCAATAGCATGTTAAATCCTAAAGACCATTTGTCTCCATTCGCTCCTATCTAACATGCTCACTCATGCTTGCTGGAAGTCAAAGCCCCTCGCACACAAAACCTCCTTTACCCCCATCCCTCCAACCTACCCCACCTTCCCTCCACTAGAGAGTTATACACTCTCGAAGTCATTCTATTTTATTCCAACCTCTCTACATGTCCGAACCACTTCAACAACACCTCCTCAGCCTTCTGGATAATAGTTTTGGTAACCCTGCACCTCCTAATTTCCAAACTATGAATTCTCTGCATTATATTCACACCACACATTGCTCTCAGACATAGCATCTCCACTGCTTCCAGTCTTCTTGTTGCAACATTCACTACCCATGTTTGACACCCATATAAGAGCGTTGGTATAACTGCACTCTCATACATTTCCCTCTTTGCTTCCATGGACAAGTTCTTTGCCTCCACAGACTCCTAAGTGCACCACTCACCTTTTTTTCCTCATCAGTTCTATGATTCACCTCATGTTTCTTAAACCCATCTGCTGACACGTCCACTCCTAAATAACTGAATACATTCACCTCCTCCATACTCTCTCCCTCCAATCTGCTATCTAATCTTTCATCACCTAAATTTTTTGTCATCCTCATCACCTTACTCTTTCCTATATACGCTTCTAATTTTCTTCTTTTACATACCCTACCAGATTCATTCACCACCCTCTGCAACTTCTCTTCAGAATCTCCTAAAAGCACAGTGTCATCAGCAAAAAGGAACTGTGACAACTCCCACTTTGTGTTAAATTCTTTATCTTTTAACCCACACCTCTTGCCAACACCCGAGCATTCACTTCTCTTACAACCCCATCTTTAAATATATTGAACAACCATGGTGACATCATACATCCTTGTCTAAGGAATACTTTTACTGGGAAATAATCTCCCTCTCTCCTACATATTCTAACCTGAGCCTCACTACCCTCTTAATAGTTCTTGAGAAGAAGAAAAACTTTATAAGAAATATTATTTATCAGAGTTCTTCCTCTGTAAGCCATGCGTGTTGTAAGAGGCGAGCAAGGGGCTAGTAGCCCCTTCTCCTGTATGCATTACTAAATTTAAAAAGAGAAACTTTCATTTTTCTTTTTAGTTCACCCTGCCTTAGTGGGATGTGGCTAGTTCATTAAAAAAAAAATGATTTATGTAAGCTTTGTTTTTTAACTTCAGTTAATTTTACAGGATTTTTATATTTACATGCCCTTTTCAAGAATGGTTAACTACCATATTAATCAATGGTCAGTTGTACCTCTTACTCTCACTGTAGCTACCACCAAATAATGATCTGACATCTGTTGCTCCTCTAAACACATATACATCCTGAAGTTTCCCCATCAATGTTTTATCTACCAATACAGAGTCTAACAAACTGCTGTCATTACTTCCTAAATTGTAGATCATACACTCATTTTCTTTTTCTTTACATATGTATTATGTATTGCCAAAATTCTTTCTATTTAGAGGCCACTCATTATTAGTTACCCCTGACATGAAAAACTGTTGTAGAGGGTGTAGTAGCATTTAGGTCCCCCACAGCAATTATTTTCTCGCTTGGTTCAAAACTTCCTAAATACTCTTTGGTTTACACTTATTCAGCATGATGGTACTACCTCAATAGGTGGTTCCTGTCTACCATCCTGCTGCCTATCATAGTGTATTATGGTATCCTGTGGCTTGGTAGGCAACACACTTGCTTCATGCACTGAGTGTCCGTGGTTCAGTCCATGGCACAGGTGGAATGTTGGTCATGTTTCCTTACACCTGCTGTCCCTGTTCACCTAGCAGTAAGTAGGTACCTGGGTGTTAGTTGCCTTGTGTAGGTCGTATCCTGGGGAACAAGATTGAAGGACCCCCAATGGAAAAAAGACAGACAGTCCCCAATGACCCACTACTTTCTTGGGCTATCCTGGGTGGTTAACCCTCCAGGTTAAAAATCTGAATTTTTTTTTTTGTTATTTTACCATGATATTGATGGTATACAGTACCAACAAGTTGATGAGTAAAACACATGTGTAACACTTGAATATCTTTATTGGTGAAATTTTTGGCCTGTGCAACAGGCTTCTTCAGTCAAATACAGGTGAATGTAATACTGGAGACAGTAGAATTGATGCTGTAGTTTTGAGGTGATTAGTCCCTCATTTTTTGTAGGTTGTGGTCTGCCCCTCAAGTCTGACTACTGCCTACTAAGGCTGAAGGACTGATGCCCTCAACATTGCTTCTATTTTCTTCAGTAATGTAGCATTTATTACCAGCTCTTGTAACCTATCCAATTGTTCTACTGTAGTGCTCTTTGAAGATGAATTTTCTAGGGGTCTTTCAGCACTGCAATTTCTTGTTCTCCATGTTTGTGGCACTAGGGAAATCTTATCTATATATGTCTTTTTAAATCTTTATGACATATGTAGCTATCATTTCTCTTCTTTTTTTTTTCTTATCAACTAACAGTGTCATCACTGCATATTCAAATGTTGGTGTAACATTCATTGTCAACATCTTTTGTAGCATTACCCATCCATATCTGTACTGGTGATTTTTAATCTAGCCATTGTTGGATAGGAGTTTCTCATAGTTTCATTAATATGATCTTTTGACAACAATCTTTTGTCATTGATGACTGGGATTGCCCTCTGGTTCTGATGGTTTTAATATTTTAGGACAATCTTTCTGTGGCAGGTTTTTATTTTCTTCTAGTTCCATTACATAACATTTATCCATATTAAATTCTTTTATGCATTTATCATGTCACTTGCTCAATCTATACAGAACTTTCTGGAGAGATACAGTCATTTTTATAGGTTATATTGAATGCAGTAGTAGTGTTTCCTTCTCATTTATTTTTATTTATAGTCACATAAATTAGCTAAAAATTACATATTGGTAATTCAGTATTTAGTAGAATTATGACCTAATTTTGACTGTAGCCACAATTATTTTTCTTACACTTCAGTTACTGGGAATGCTTGAAGTTCTTAAACCTGTACTCCCTAGAATGTAGGGGGAGAGATACATGATTATATACACCTGGAAAATCCTATAGGGACTAATACCAAACTTGCACACGAAAATCACTCCCTCCGAAAGCAAAAGACTCAGCAGACAGTGCAACATCCCCCCAATGAAAAGCAGGGGTGCCGTTAGCACGATAAGAGACAACACAGTAAGTGTCAGGGGCCCAAGACTGTTCAACTGCCTCCCAGCATACATCAGGGGGATTACCAATAGAGCCCTGGCTGTCTTCAAGCAGGCACTGGACAGGAACTTAAAGTCAATACCTGACCAGCCGGGCTGTAGTTCGTACGTTGGATTATGTGCAGCCAGCAGTAACAGCCTGGTTGATCAGGCCCTGATGCACCATGAGACCTGGTCACAGACTGGGCCGTGGGGGCATTGATCCCCGGAACTCTCTCCAGGTATACACCGAAATGTATACAAATAGATATGTATACAAATATGTATACAAATAGATATAGATATAAGGTGAGATATAAGCGACTATTGGCAGAAAGGTGGGCTAGTGCAAAGATGAATAGTGGGGAGATTGAAGAGGGTTGGAATAGTTTTAAAAATGTAGTATTAGAATGTGGGGCAGAAGTTTGTGGTTATAGGAGGGTGGGAGCAGGAGGAAAGAGGAGTCATTGGTGGAATGATGAAGTAAAGGGTGTGATAAAAGAGAAAAAGGTAGCTTATGAGAGGTTTTTACAAAGCAGAAGTGTTATAAGAAGAGCAGAGTATATGGAGAGTAAAAGAAAGGTGAAGAGAGTGGTGAGAGAGTGCAAAAGGAGAGCAGATGATAGAGTGGGAGAGGCACTGTCAAGAAATTTTAATGAAAATAAGAAAAAATTTTGGAGTGAGTTAAACAAGTTAAGAAAGCCTAGGGATTTGTCAGTTAAAAACAGAGTAGGGGAGTTAGTAGATGGGGAGATGGAGGTATTAGGTAGATGGCGAGAATATTTTGAGGAACTTTTAAATGTTAAGGTAGAAAGGGAGGCAGTAATTTCATGCACTGTTCAGGGAGGTATACCATCTTTTAGGAGTGAAGAAGAGCAGAATGTAAGTGTGGGGGAGGTACGTGAGGCATTACGTAGAATGAAAGGGGGTAAAGCAGCTGGAACTGATGAGATCATGACAGAAATGTTAAAAGCAGGGGGGGGGATATAGTGTTGGAGTGGTTGGTACTTTTGTTTAATAAATGTATGAAAGAGGGGAAGGTACCTAGGGATTGGCGGAGAGCATGTATAGTCCCTTTATATAAAGGGAAAGGGGACAAAAGAGACTGTAAAAATTATAGAGGAATAAGTTTACTGAGTATACCAGGAAAAGTGTACGGTAGGGTTATAATTGAAAGAATTAGAGGTAAGACAGAATGTAGGATTGCGGATGAGCAAGGAGGTTTTAGAGTGAGTAGGGGATGTGTAGATCAAGTGTTTACATTGAAGCATATATGTGAACAGTATTTAGATAAAGGTAGGGAAGTTTTTATTGCATTTATGGATTTAGAAAAGGCATATGATAGAGTGGATAGAGGTGCAATGTGGCAGATGTTGCAAGTATGTGGAATAGGTGGTAAGTTACTAAATGCTGTAAAGAGTTTTTATGAGGATAGTGAGGCTCAGGTTAGGGTGTGTAGAAGAGAGGGAAACTACTTCCCGGTAAAAGTAGGTCTTAGACAGGGATGTGTAATGTCACCATGGTTGTTTAATATATTTATAGATGGGGTTGTAAAAGAAGTAAATGCTAGGGTGTTTGGGAGAGGGGTGGGATTAAATTATGGGGAATCAAATTCAAAATGGGAATTAACACAGTTACTTTTTGCTGATGATACTGTGCTTATGGGAGATTCTAAAGAAAAATTGCAAAGGTTAGTGGATGAGTTTGGGAATGTGTGTAAAAGTAGAAAGTTGAAAGTGAAATTAGAAAAGAGTAAGGTGATGAGGGTATCAAATGATTTAGATAAAGAAAAATTGGATATCAAATTGGGGAGGAGGAGTATGGAAGAAGTGAATGTTTTCAGATACTTGGGAGTTGACGTGTCGGCGGATGGATTTATGAAGGATGAGGTTAATCATAGAATTGATGAGGGAAAAAGGTGAGTGGTGCGTTGAGGTATATGTGGAGTCAAAAAACGTTATCTATGGAGGCAAAGAAGGGAATGTATGAAAGTATAGTAGTACCAACACTCTTATATGGATGTGAAGCTTGGGTGGTAAATGCAGCAGCGAGGAGATGGTTGGAGGCAGTGGAGATGTCCTGTCTAAGGGCAATGTGTGGTGTAAATATTATGCAGAAAATTCGGAGTGTGGAAATTAGGAAAAGGTGTGGAGTTAATAAAAGTATTAGTCAGAGGGCAGAAGAGGGGTTGTTGAGGTGGTTTGGTCATTTAGAGAGAATGGATCAAAGTAGAATGACATGGAAAGCATATAAATCTATAGGGGAAGGAAGGCGAGGTAGGAGTTGTCCTCGAAAGGGTTGGAGAGAGGGGGTAAAGGAGGTTTTGTGGGCGAGGGGCTTGGACTTCCAGCAAGCGTGCGTGAGTGTGTTAGGAGTGAATGGAGACGAATGGTACTTGGGACCTGACGATCTGTTGGAGTGTGAGCAGGGTAATATTTAGTGAAGGGATTCAGGGAAACCGGTTATTTTCATATAGTCGGACTTGAGTTCTGGAAATGGATAGTACAATGCCTGCACTTTAAAGGAGGGGTTTGGGATATTGGCAGTTTGGAGGGATATGTTGTGTATCTTTATACGTATATGCTTCTAAACTGTTGTATTCTGAGCACCTCTGCAAAAACAGTGATAATGTGTGAGTGTGGTGAAAGTGTTGAATGATGATGAAAGTATTTTCTTTTTGGGGATTTTCTTTCTTTTTTGGGTCACCCTGCCTCGGTGGGAGACGGCCGACTTGTTGAAAAAAAACAAAATTAATATTTTTTCCTTCAATTATACATCTGCTTTGCAAAGTCCGAATTGATTTTCTTTCTTAAATTTCAATATAAAACTCAGTTCGATTTGGGGGTAAATGTGTCAGAGTATCGGCATAACAGTGAAAAAGCATAATTTTAGATTCCACTTAAATTAATCAGTTCGTGGAAAGGCATCTTCACTTCTTTCTGGCTTTTGTCATGTATCACTCCTCTGTTAAAAGGAAGAGGATTGGTTAAGGAAATGGTTGGTTTATGGTTTGACAGTATGTGGCATACTGTATCATATAAATTTTTAGATTATGGTGCATCATCAGGAATGAAGGATTTTTTTTTTTTTTTAATACACCAGCCATATCCCACTGAGGCAGGGCGACCTAAAAGAAAAACAAAAGTAATGAAGGATTTATTAAAATTCATCTTTGGTTGATTGCCCATCAGCAGTTGAAGTTAACTAATATACTAATTTTTGTGCATAAATAAAAATATGGAAAAAAAAAATTGACTATTTTGTCTTTTACAGAACTTATTTTGTGGAGCTCTGCTTGGATGCTGGCCTTTAGGATTTCCCCTCTGTTGTATTCTGACTGCTGTTGGGGCCTCTAACTGCTTCCTGTTGTCTCGCTTTGTGGGAAAAGCAATAATTCAAGAGATGTTTGCTAATAAGATTGCAAAGCTACAGGAAAAGGTAATCTTTGTTTATGTTAACAAATAACCAGTATTATTGTACCATCTCACATGGCCTTTTCATATGGAACTTGAAAGGTACATGTCATCACCAGCAAAAGATGGGACCTGACCTCCACTAATCTGACTGACACAGTAACTTGATTGCCAAGCACTTGATAGTATAATTTATGCATTATCTTGGTTTATTGCTAATAGTGATTTTTCTGTTGTGTGAGCCTATCTTTTGATGCCTTAAATCATGATATGCTCCTTTCCTCCCTGGAAATAAATGGCCTGTTGGCATTTGTTTTAGGTTTTATCTGTAATGAAGATTTGCTTAGGAGAATATCCATCAACCTCAGTTGTTGCAGCCAATTTATTTTTGAGTTTTTAGTTGCATCAATATTAGCACTAGCTGCTTCCCTATTTATTTAATATTTAATAATACTTTCTGCTGCACATCCTACACCTGTCGCCTGTATATAAGCGCCAAGTTCCATGACTGTGCTTCAGTTCCTTCAAGACTTCGGTGCTCTTCACCAACTCCAAGGCTGAGGGACTGATTACCTCATCGTTTGTATATAATTCTTCACATTATGGCCTTGTATTGTAATGATAAAGCCACTGGCTGGCAAAACATCTACAAATAAAGATATCCAGATGTTGCACATGTGTCTAATTCTTCATCTTCATGGTTAAAAGAGTTCAGTAAGAATCACACAGCATGTAAATAACACAGGACAGCACAGCCCTTAAACAAGCAGTTTTGTGAGCAGATGAAGACCTAAAAAGTTGAGGACATGTCCAGAGAGGTGTATAAAAGAGATGGAGTGAGTGTATTGTGTAGCAGTGAGTGTGTGAGAAATTAGTGAAGCATAAATCAAGATTTTAATGGTTGATCAGTGTTACATGAAGCAGTCTAACTCAAAGATTTACTTTTTTTTTTTGGAACACACTGGCTGTATCTCACCAAGGCAGGGTGATCTGAAAAGAAAAACAAAAATTTTCTTTTTAAATTTAGTAATTTATACAGGAAAATAGGTTACTAGCCTCCTGCTCCCAGCATTTTAGTTGCCTCTTACAATACACATGGCTTATGGAAGAAGAATTTTGCTCAACTTCCCCATGGAGAGATTTACTGTTATCTATAGATATTAAAGAGAATTTCACAATTTTATTTATTGTTACACTGGCTGTATCTCACCAAGGCAGGGTGATCTGAAAAGAAAAACAAAATTTTTCTTTTTAAATTTAGTAATTTATACAGGAAAATAGGTTACTAGCCTCCTGCTCCCAGCATTTTAGTTGCCTCTTACAATACACATGGCTTATGGAAGAAGAATTTTGTTCCACTTCCCCATGGAGAGATTTACTGTTATCTATAGATATTAAAGAGAATTTCACAATTTTATTTATTGTTACTTCTCCAGTTATCTTACTAATTTTAAAGCAAATTGGTTGCTTTTTTATTGATTTTGCAGATTTTATTATAACCTATTCTACATATCACCCAGTTGTTTTATTTTCCAAAGAAAAAATTAAAAGTCTGCCTAATATTTTTGCCTTCCATTTTATACCTGTTATTGGTGCTTTGTGTGTTTTTTCTGTTCTTTGCAGTTGCTGGAGAATGAGCATCAATTGTTCTTCTTTTTAATCAGTTTACGAGTGTTCCCCATGACACCTAACTGGTTTCTTAATGTGACGGCACCCTACATTAATATACCACTACCAATCTTCTTTTTCTCTGTCCTAATTGGTAAGTATTTTCAAGTGTTGGAGTGTGAAGCTTCATATCATGTCATAGCGTTAGGACTAGTCATGCATGCTTAGTGTAGCTCAGTTAGCATATTTGCTACAGCCACCTTCCAGTATCAAGGGGTGGGTCTTAATGTGTAAGACAGGTTAAATTAATTTTGGGTCCTAAATGAGAACTACTCTATGTACTTCTTTCTTTCTTTCAACACACTGGCCGTATCCCACCGAGGCGGGGTGGCCCAAAAAGAAAAACGAAAGTTTCTCTTTTTAAATTTAGTAATTTATACGGGAGAAGGGGGCTACTAGCCCCTTGCTCCCGGCATTTTAGTCGCTTCTTACAACACGCATGGCTTACAGAGGAAGAATTCTGTTCCACTTCCCCATGGAGAAAAGAGGAAATAAACAAGAACAAGAACTAGAAAGAAAATAGAAGAAAACCCAGAGGGGTGTGTATATATATGCTTGTATATGTATGAGTAGTGTGACCTAAGTATAAGTAGAAGTAGCAAGACATACCTGAAATCTTGCATATTTATGAGACAGAAAACACCAGCAATTCTACCATCATGTAAAACAATTACAGGCTTTCGTTTTACACTCACTTGGCAGGACGGTAGTACCTCCCTGGGTGGTTGCTGTCTACCAACCTACTACCTAGGACTCTATGTACTTTTTTTTTTTTTTTTTTTCAACAAGTCGGCCGTCTCCCACCGAGGCAGGGTGTTTACCTGGAGTTTACCTGGAGAGAGTTCCGGGGGTCAACGCCCCCGCGGCCTGGTCTGTGACCAGGCCTCCTGGTGGATCAGAGCCTGATCAACCAGGCTGTGGCTGCTGGCTGCACGCAAACCAACGTACGAGCCACAGCCCGGCTGGTCAGGAACCGACCCAAAGAGAAAGAAAATCCCCAAAAAGAAAATACTTATGTAAGAATATTTGAGTAATCAAGACTACTTTCTGTTAGGAATTGTTACTAAAATGAGTGAAAAACATATTGAGAGAAAATAAAATTAATACCATATGTATGGGGTATGGAGAACACAAACATATCAAGTTACAGAAATTCCTTGCTTAGCCATAATTTACTTATTGTAATTTTACATACTGACTTTCATATTCCTGCTCAGTGACCTCTTGTAATAACTACCAGTTTTCAAAAAGTGTAATCAAAACATTTACATTTCATGACCAATTTTTGGTTTAAAAATTATGAGCCCACTACATCTGCAGCATCCAGTCATGTACAAGAAAATCAGCAAATATTATATAGAAATAAATGAGGAAAATGTAATCGATAAATCTGCAGGTGGGAGAATATAATTGAAATTGAAATATATAGCTGGAAAATAGGAATAGATAAAGGAGTTATTAACAGTGCTCAGAATACTTAATCCAGACACAACTTGCAAGAATAAATTCAAACTAAATAAATTTACATTTGAAAATGATATAGGAAAGTGCTGATTTGACAGCCGTTTTTAAATGGGTAACGCTAAATTATTGTACTATTGATTGTTATACAGTATATAATGTTGATCTTTATATTTTTCAGGACTGATGCCCTATAACTTCTTGTGTATTCAAGCTGGAGAGATGTTGTCTGATATTCGGTCTATGGAAGATGTTTTAACATACAAGCAGATGCTTGGCCTTATAACTGTAGCTTTAATGATGATAACACTTTCTCACTTTTATCGTAAACACAAATCAACACACAGTGAATAATAATACAAAAATCAGTGTTTGAAATGGTGATATTGATCTTTATCGTCCAAAAATATTATACTGTTGTCCTTACAAAATTAGTGGGCTTTTGTGTTTGTAAATTTTTATTATCCAATATTTTTTACTTGCACTCTGGCTTTCTTACGCCAAGATCTATCTGTTTTCTGGTCATTATTTCTTGTGATATATTACAGAGACATGGTCTCTGAAACACAAGATGAACCCAAATTTGAATAAAAAAAAATTATGCAGATTTAATTTTGTATCATTCTGGGTTTCTACTTTCATAGGACTTTTAGAAACTTCTTCCCTTTCTTGGATCAAACCCAATTATCTTCTATACCTCATGTACTGCATGACCTCTGTGTTGACCTGCACTTTCCCTTGATTATTGTTATAATGTTATTGATTGCACTGCATTTCTAGCAATAACAAAGAAAACATTTTCTGCTGGATCCCTGGTCATGTTGATGTTCAGGGAAATGAGCAGGTGGACTCTGCTGTGTAGTCAATGGTACATGACTTCCCAGTTTCATATAGAGGTATTCCATTCTCAGACTATTTTACTGTAATCTCTAACTGCCTTTGCAACCGTTGGTCCAATATAACTCATTACAAATTATATTCCATCAAGCTAAGTTTAGGTTTCTGGCCTTCATCTTATCATTGATGCCAAGGTTGGGAGACTACTCTCTCCCGTCTCTGCATTGGGCACACCCGTCTCACACATGGGTATCTCAGGGAGAGGCGCCCCATTCCACTCTGTGATAATTGTCAGATTCCAGTTTCAGTTTGCCATATTCTGTTGGACTGTCCTGTCTTTCAACGAGCATGCAGAATTTACCTCCGTTGTCACCACTGCTCTAACACCCTTACTGTATCTTCCCTCCTTGGTGATGGCCCCACCTTTGACTCAGACTCCCTCTTTGACTTTTTAACAGCAACCAATTTATTACACAAACTTTGATAATACTTCCTTTAGCACTCCTCACAGCCCTTTCAAACTCTACCTCTACCTCTGTTATCCTCTCCATCCCTGGCTACTCTCTGCTCCAGCAACACCCTCTACCCTGCAGTGCTGTATGACCCTCCTGAGTTTAGCACTTGGTTTTGAGTATAATAATAATGTAATGTTATTAACCCTCATAAATTTGTAGGGATGACTGTATAGTGAGTATTGTATTTACTTAAAGTACTGTACCAAGTTTTACATTTTGTGTCAACAAGATATTATGCTCACTGTAAGTTGGGTATAATATTCTCTATTGATAAAGTTTGTTAATTAAATTATAAATAAATCTTAACTTTTATTTTCCTAATTGTACCATTTATGCTGTATATATGACATTATGCTTCATTGACATGAGTTTTCTGCTGATCAATGCATGACATCCTGCTGATGTTGATCCAGTATTTTCTCAAGCACACCTTAAAAAATATTAATGCCTAATGCTTATTGCACTATGGGCCGGCTATTGTGAATATAATAATGCTTTACAATACCGACAAGTAGATAATTAAGACAGGTGCAACAGTTAGGTATCTTTATTATGAAACGTTTCACCTACACAGTAGGTTTTATCAGTTGTACAGAGGTTGCAAATATGAAGACAACAACAGTGGAGAGGTAAAGATGATGTGGTCAGTCTATCAACTTTGATCGAGTAGTCTGAGGGGTCAATCCCTCAGCCTAAAGACATGTTCAACTTCATCTGTTGCACATGTGTTCTGTTTCTGCTATAGGTTATTGATCAGGAGTGTGCAAGGGCAGGGAAGAGTGCAAGAGTAAAATATACATCAAAGTTTATGCAACAGGCTAGTTTCTGTTAAAAAGTATAAGAGTTTGCATCAAAGTTTAGACTTTCACTGTGGAGGCCAGTTAGAGTGAGTGTGTTGGGGCAGCAGAGATGGAAGTGAATCTTGCATGTATGCTAATAGATGAGACAAGGTATTAAGATATGATGAACCAATAATGCAGTATAATAGTCCTTGCAGAGGGGAGCTGGGAGTTTTTCTATGATATTCTTGAGTATTATGACCTGCACACCTTGCTGTTAACTCTATAACGAATAAGGAATGAGCAAAGAGAGTAAATGATTGTATTGCCTTCACCAAAAACAAGCTGGTATTTATAATATGTATATAGCCTATGTACAGTATTTATAACTGTACAATGAGGTGAATGCAAGCACAAAACATGTTGAAAACTGTAGCAACCAGCTGGAAAGGTAATTCTGCTAAAGCTACTTCACAAGAGTCTGCATTGCTTCACAGCTTTGGCGGGCTTCCTTGTGATTGGCTGGTTACTATTGCTAGCAACCGTAAGCACAAGAGCAGGATCTGAAGAATACATGCCAGTCAACTTCCATATCATTTTCCAGACTGCACACAAAAGTGGTTGAACTGTCAGTGGACATGTAAACTCTCCAACAAATATGTTTCACTGTGGAAAATTTTGGATTTTCCTAAATTCAGCATATGTAAATTTGAATAATACAATAATTGTGTAATAAAATGTGATGCTGATTTGACCCTTTCAAGAAGTTTTAAGTTAGGGAGGGTGTAGAACAGCTGTTGAGTGATGGTGGGGAGGGAGAAGCCATATTGAATTTAATGTGTGAACACTGGACTGAGTTGTGCAATGTGATTGGGCATTCTCGAAGATCAGTTGGAGTTTTTCAACCTGAATTTGTAATTAGGAACTTGTGTTGATGTCCCCTGCTGAAGAATTGAGACAGGAAATTTGTAGGACCTCAAGAATCACATGTGGATGGCAGACGATAAGGGATGCAAACATCACTCACAAGGAAGTGCACCATTATTCCTTGCATTTAGATCTCTTGCTGGCCAGTGTAGGGTCTAGGTGTTAAGCACATGTTATGGTGTGATCCATCTACAGTAATTAAATGGTAAGTGTTAATATCAATTATATTTTGTGTACCCAGCAATCCTTTACTTTCAACCAGATCATTAAATTAAATTAAATTTTCACTAATTACATATCTGGTTTGAAGGACCAAAGGCTTACTGTGAAAATTATTATGCGAGCAAATCATCTGCAGGAGGTTTACAGGGCATTACCTAAATTTTTACCTGCAAGTAATTTGGGTGAGGTAAGTGGGACTTAGTCACAGCAGGTTGCCGAACTGTCACTCCCTCGAAGCCCACTCCCTACCACTCACAAAAAGCTAGAACTGACATTAACCCTTTGACTGTCGCGGCCGTATATATACGTCTTACGAGGTACCGTGTTTGACGTATATATACTCATAAATTCTAGCGGCTTCAAATCAAGGAGGAGAAAGCTGGTAGGCCCACATGTGAGAAAATGGGTCTGTGTGGTCAGTGTGCACCATATAAAAAAAATCCTGGAGCACGCAGTGCATAATGAGAAAAAAAAAACTCCGACCGTTTTTTTTAATTAAAATGCCGACTTTGTGGTCTATTTTCGTATAGTATTTATGGTTGTACAGTGGACCCCCGCTTAACGATCACCTCCAAATGCGACCAATTATGTAAGTGTATTTATGTAAGTGTGTTTGTACGTGTATGTTTGGGGGTCTGAAATGGACTAATCTACTTCACAATATTCCTTATGGGAAAAAATTCGGTCAGTACTGGCACCTGAACATACTACTGGAATGAAAAAAGTTCGTTAACCGGGGGTCCACTGTATTCTCGTTTTCTTGGTCTCATTTGATAGAATGGAAAACATATTATAGAAATAGAGGTGATTTTGATTGATATTACTATAAAAAGAACCTAGAAATGGAGCTCAAAGTAGGGGAAATGTTTGATATTTGCCAATGCTCAAAAGTAAACAAATGATGCCATTGTCCAATAAATGTCCAACTAGCCATTCTAATGTGCAGTCATGAAAGGGTTGATGTTATTTATACAATTATTACAGTATTGCAGTAGTCTGCATAATAGTAAGTCTTCTATTTTTTGTTTGAATAAAAATTCAAAATTGAAAGCAAGAGTAATATCAGAGGGGCCTGGAGACATGACTGATGAGCAAAGAAAATGTTATTTTAGAGCCAGGAATGTCTGCATTGTTCATTCTGGACCTTATTTTGAAATTGTCATATTTTTTAGTTTTCGTGAAATTGGCCAAATTGCAAATTTCTGACCACATTATTAGGTAGTTGAAATCGGTAAATGGGCAGTTTCTTGTACTCAATCGATAGAAAAAATGGAGTTCTAAAGAAATAGCTATGAGTTTGGGCGACAGGAACAAGGGAATTAGCCGAAAATAGGGCTCAAAGTGGGCGAAATCGCAGATTTGTAAACAGCGCCGAGGTCGCTAACTTCGCGTGAGCATAATTCCGTCAGTTTTCCATCAAATTTCGTTGTTTTGGTGTCATTACAATCGGGAAAAGATTCTCTATCATTTCGAAAGAAAAAATAATTTTTTTTTTAATTTTGCTACACCAGGAGACACGTCAGGATTGGGGGTTGCGACAGTCAAAGGGTTAAATTAATAATTACAATACTAAAACCAGCTACTCTGGTAAATTAAAGTTGTAGACATAGGTTTAGGGTTGTTGGGTACACAAAATATAATTGGTATTAATACTTACTCTTTAATCACTGTACATGGGTCATACCACAACACCTACCTAACACCTAGACCCTACACTGGCCATCTAGGGATCTGAATACAAGGACTAATGGTGCACTTCCCTGTGAGTAATGTTCGCAGCCCTTATCTTCCACCATCCACACATAATTTTTGAGGTCCCACAAATTTCCTGTCCCAATTCTTCAGCAGGGGACAACACAAGTTCCTAATTACAAATTCAGGTCAAAAACCCCAATTGACTTTCGAGAATGCCCGATCACATTGCACAACTCAGTTCACTGCTTACACATTAAATTCAATAAGGCATCTCCCTCCCTGGTGTCACTCAGCAGCTGTTCTACAGCCCTCTCACTCAAAATTTCTCGAAAGGGTCAAATCAGCATCACATTTTATTACACAATTATTGTATTATTCAAATTTACACATGCTGAATTTAGGAAAATTCAAAATTTTCCACACTACCCATATAACATGATGAAACGTCACCTGTTTAAAACCTGAGAACAGTCGGTAGTTGTAATGGTAGCAGCCCTCAACTGCATTCCAATTGCACAGCAATAGTACAGTCAGGAGACCACCAGGGTACACATTTCCGACAATGCAGTCCCAAGGTTTGGAGGATTGCAGTTGATGTTGCAGAAAACACAGAGGTGGTAAAAAAAAAAGTTGTAACAACTTGTCTGAAGAGGACAAAGATGATAACATGAAGAAAAAAGTATGGCATGGATAAGACACCCAGTCTGCTCACTCAGACTGCTAACGGAAATGAAGGGGTCCAAGAACTGGGATGCAGAATTTTGATGGCTAAACAAGTTATTGTGGTAATGAACTATTTACATGAAGAATTGAGACACTTATGCAACATATGGGAATCTTTACTGAAGAAACGTTTCACCACTCAGTGGCTTCATCAGTCAAATACAAAGTAGAAATGGGTAAGGAGATGAGGAGTTTGAGATAATCAGTCCCTCAGCCTGGAATCGACGTGTTCAGCCCATCACTCTTGTAGGAAGTACAGCATAGGGCCAGAGAGGTGGCTTATATACTGCAGTCAGGTGAGTCGAAGCAGGAGGAGGCGGGATCACAGTGGGACCTTCCACTAGTGTAAGTAGGTCTTCGTTCAAAGGTTTGACAAGCGTTGAAGAAGTCTTTGTACCAAGATCCTATGATGTTGCAGTGTCAAACAGATGTGATGAATGGTTTTGAAAACCGACAAGCTGAACAATTGAGACACTTATGCAGTTGAGGCACTATGTTGCATAAGTGTCGCAATTTTTCAACTTGTCGGTTTTCAAAACCATTCATCACAACTATTTACATGTTTATATCTGAATTACAGTCGTAATGAGTTATTTATGCTGACATGAATTAAGTCTACCCAGTACATCCTGTCAATTCCTCTGAGTATTTTGTACGTCATAATCATGTCACGTCTGATCCTTCTTTCCTCCAGTGTCGTCAGTTTAAGTTTCTCTAGCCTCTCCTCATAGGTCATACCCCCACCCCCCACAGCTTTGGGACTAGTCTCGTTGCAAACCATTGCACGTCTTCCAACTTCTTTACTTTCTTAACCAGATGTGGGTTCCATACTGGCGCTGAATATTCCAAGATGGGCCTATCATATGCAGTAATTACGGTCGTGAATGCCTCCTTGTTGATGTTCCTGTCAGGTATTCTCTGATTATTGAGTCACAAGGTGCTGGGGTTGTGTGACACGGGGATACCTCTCTGATCATTGAGACAAAGTGTTGGTTTTATGTGACACGGGGATACCTCTCTCTGGTTATTGAGGCACAAGGAGCTGAGACTGTGACTTGGGGATACCTCTCTCTGATCATTGAGACAGGGTGCTGGTGTTATTTGACATAGGGATACCTCTGATCATCGAGGCACAAGGAGCTGGGGTTATGTGACATGGGGGCAAGTCTCTTTAGTTACAGAAGTGTCTTACCAAGGGAGTCGAGATGTCACAACGAACTGCATCAAATTCTTGCTAATAAAATGTGATTGCCGTATTACTTTACCATAGACAACTAATTTCTAGCCTAAATAATAAGCATTAACCTCTCATCGATATATACAATAGCTTATTCAAGCAAGATGTATTTTTGCTACGTATTATTATCTATCAGTGTAGCACTGAAATGCTTGTTACTGGTGGTTCTTAATGCAATATATTTCATGGCTAATAAAAGCAGCTTAGATTTTCCTTATAGGTATTTAATTACCTAGGTGTATGCCTGGAGGGTGTTTCAGGAGTCAGTACCCCCCGCGGCTCGGTCCATGACCAGGCCTTGCGGTGGATCAGGGCCTAATCAACCAGGCTGTTACTGCTGGCTGCACACAAACCAACATATGAACCACAGCCTGGTTGGTCGGGAGCCGACTTTAGGTGCCTGTCCAGCTTCCTCATGAAGACAGTCGGGAGTCTATTGGTAATCCCCCTTATGTATACTGGGAGGTAGTTGAACAGTTTTGAGCCCCTGACATTTAGTGTGTTGTCTCTTAGCGTTCTCATGACACCCCAACTTTTCACTGGGGGTGTGTTGCACGGCCTGCCGAGTCTTTTGGTATTGCAGGGAGTGATTTCCTTGTGGAGAGTTTGATATTAGTCTCTCAAAGATTTTCCAAGTGATATTATCATGTATCTTTCTCGCTAGCGTTCTAAGGAGTACAGGTCAAGGGACTTCAGCCATTGTCATAGCAGCAAAGCAATAATGACGTGTGTGTGTGTGTGTGTGTGTGTACTCACCTATTTGTACTCACCTATTTGTGGTTGCAGGGGTCGAGTCCTAGCTCCTGGCCCCGCCTCTTCACCGGTTGCTACTAGACCCTCTCTCTCCCCGCTCCATGAGCTTTATCAAACCTCGTCTTAAAACTGTGTATGGTTCCTGCCTCCACTACGTCATTTTCTAGGCTATTCCACTGCCTTACAACTCTATGACTGAAGAAATACATACTTCCTACTATCTCTCTGACTCATTTGTGTGTGTGTGTGTGTGTGTGTGTGTGTGTGTGTGTGTGTGTGTGTGTGTGTGTGTGTGTGTGTGTAAATGGCCATTGTTCTCAGTAAGTGTGAGATACGTTATCAGGCCGCGTCCTGTGGCAATTCAACGAGAGGCGTCACATTGGTCTATCAGGTATTCTGTGCTGCATTTTTGACATCCTTTTGTGTATGTGTTTATACCTTTTTAGCTAAATGAACCTCGTATAAACGCGGGAGGGCATATATTGTAAGTATATAAAATACCTTTATTTCGGCTAATTAGTTTGATAGATTAATTATGCACGCAACATCCATCCTATGGGCGGTTGGCCAAAGATTAGAAGTGCATAACTAGTTCAGGAACCGGTCTTCAACAGTTTGTTAGCTAAGCAAGTTACAGCAGTAATGAGCTGATTACATCTTTGGGTAGTAGTGGGGTATTTAGCAATGTATATATGTGATCCCGTGTGAATGAGGGAAGCTGCCAGGTGAGGACCACAGTGTTTGTTTATAGTGTGTGTGAGGGAGGGCGGGTAGTGAGGCGGGTGTTTCCTGGTGTCTTCTTGTGATGATACACTTTCAACACTTCCACACACACGTAAGAGTGCTCTTCTCCACTCTTTACCTTTCTGGCACACGAAAACACTCGTTGGGTCTGTTAATTGTACTCTATGAGATTAATGAGGGCGTATGTCAAGCAGTAATGTGTGTAGTTGTGGTAGTGGAGGGCGGATCTCGGGCCGAAAAAAATATGTATTAGTATTATTTACTCAGGATTAGTAAGCCAGTTAGTGTGACTTACTGACATTGAATTTTTTTGTTCTCTTTCCCAAGAAGCTCGCTCTACCCGTAACGTTTGGCAGATGCCCAGGTACTTGTTTGATGCTAGGGGAACAGTGGCAACAGGTGTAAGGGAACATGCCCACCTCCATCCCCCCCCGGGATCGAATCCAGTTCCTTCCATTGTAAAGCAGAGGAACCAGCACTAAACCATTGATCATGTCTATTAATGGTTCCAGGGATCATCGCCCAGGAACCTTGTCTCAGACCAGGCCTCATAAACTGGATAAGGGATATTACAAGACTAAGAAATATTTAGAAACTAATTTATGGATAGGTACAGTACATACTGAGTGTAAGTATTATAGTTGTTTATAAGATTTACTTGCCATCTTACATGTTTGTGAGACAGATGGTTGCTGCCTACCATCCAATATCTTCTTTCGGGGGGGAAAGTGCCTTGATGCGTATGAATTAATTTATTTTTTTTCTTTCAGATTACACCTGATTACCTCCTGTGTCGCAGTCACTGTATGGTACATACGAATTTAGTACTTCCTCATGAATATGTAGCATTATAATGGTTTCAGCCTATGTGATGGTCAGTTTCTTTGATTCCTTTGTTTGGTGGTAACCTAGGACATGGTGAGCATGTGGCTTCATATACCCTTTCATTTTCATGTATGGATTCAGCCTGCTCACCTGGTTGTGGCTTAGCTGTGTGTGTGGGGAAACGAGGGGGTTTCAGTACTAGGGACAGAGTGGAAGAAATGGCAAGATATGTAATAAGAAGCTCATTAAACAGGATAGCCTGTTAAATAGTTACTGGTCAGTGCAAGGAAATTAGTCTGCAAACAGAGGTAGAGGAGAGACGCTAAGCAAAAACTTCTTGGCATCTAATGTAGGATGAATAACTAAAACTTTCTAAACAAGAGATGCCTCACTTAGCAGGAATATTGCTGTATTCTAATGGACTCCTTTAAGGCAGATAAAACTGCAATACAGGAGAATGTACAGAGAGCTTTCACAGCTCATATAACCTCGGTGAAGCACCTAAATCCTGAGATTGCTTGAGGTCTCTCGAACTGTACTTCTTAGAATTTAGGCTGAAAGATATATGGTACAGTATCTTAATCCACACATGGAATATTTTGGAGAGACAGGTTCCAAACATGCTAACCAGAATCACTCCATATGAAAGCACAAGGCTTGGCAGATGATGTGAGGTACCTTCAGTGAAAAGCAGGGCCTGTGGAGTACACTGGGAAAGAGCTCGGTAACTATAGGAATCATGACTCGACATCCTTCCTTTGTGCTTATGGGGAATTACCAATAAACCCCTAGCTGTCTTCAAGAGGAACTCAATAAATTAAAGTCAGTTCCTGATCTGCTGGGCTGTGGGGTATACTTTGGACTGTGGGCAGTGGGTACCAACACCCTGATGGATTAGACTAGAAACCATGAGGCCTGGTCTGGGACTGGGATGTGGGGGGTAAGGGATTGACCATCAGAAGTGACTGCAGGTAACCTACAGGTATACAAATAGCAGGAGCACAAGAAATAAAATAGACAAACTAAGACTAATTGTACATGGACAAAGCATAGATATTATTCCAATAACCAAAATCTGATTCAAGCTGAAAAATAGGGAACATGCCTGCTGACTACCACATACTGGGGCATAAATTATTCCACACTGATAGTCAACAGGAAAGGGGACACAGTTGCTGTGTATGTTAGGAAAAATTTAAACTGTTTCATCAGAAATGATATAGGGACAGAAGGGACAGATATGGAATTTGTTTGGCTGCTATTTCCTGAAGGGCAGCAGCCAAAACCTAAATAGCAAACTTGGTAAACTTCTGTGGGCCAAAATTACTAGGGCATCTAAATACTAAAATATATTCTAATGGGAGATTTAACTTTTGTCAAATTGATTGGAGCAATTTGATAAGAAATCTTGAATCTAGGAACTTTATAGAAATAGTCCAGGACTGCTTTTTAAAGCAGTTTGTCAGAACTAGAAGAAATAACTTGCTTGACTTGGTTCTGGCAAACAAGTAATCTGATAAATGATCCTGAGGTTAATGAAGAGCTTTTAGAAAATGATCACAAATCATTTAGTGTTACCATATCAAGGAAGTACCTTCATACTGATAACAAAGTTAAGGCTCACAATTTTTGTGCTGTAGAATATATGGGCCAAAGGGATTACTGGAGTTGTGTAGACTGGAGTAAACTGACAAAGGATTATCACGAGTGTTGTCTAAGCTCTATGTGTACTTGCCTAGTTGTGGTTGCAGGGGTCGAGTCACAGCTCCTGGCCCTGCCTCTTCACTGGCCACTATTAGGTCACTCTGCTCCACAAGCTGTATCATACCTCTTAAAGCTATGTATGGATCCTGCCTCCACTACATCACTTCCCAGACTATTCCACTTCCTGACATCTCTGTGACTGAAGAAATACTTTCTAACATCCCTGTGATTCATCTGAGTCTTCAACTTCCAGCTGTGACTCCTTGTTGCTGTGTCCCATCTCTGGAACATCCTGTCTCTGTCCACCTTGTTGATTCCTCTCGGTATTTTATGTTATATCCCCCCCCATCTCGCCTGTCCTCCAGTATTGTCAGGTCGATTTCCCTTAACCTCTCCTCATAGGACATACCCCTTAGTTCCGGGACTAGTCTTATTGGAAACCGTTGCACTTTCTCTAGTTTCCTTACTTGCTTGGCTAGATGTAAGTAAGTTTATTCAGGTATACACAAATACAGTTACATAGATTATCATACTTAGCAACTTATGTGTAAAGTACCTAGGATAACCCAAAAAAGTCAGACAGGGTAACTTATTTCCATTGGGGTCCTTTTACCTCATTATTTTAATATAAAGGAGATAATATTATTATTCAATAAAGGAGATATCATCTTACTATTATTCTATAAAAGAGATAATATATTATTATACTATCTACTGCATGAGGGTCCTTAAGACTACTACATGAGGGTCATTACAACTATCTACAATATGAGGGTCATTACTAGGAATAAGGTAAAATTACACGTGTGTTAGCTACAAAAATAAAAAATTATTCCCCTCCCTTTCTGTAGTTACATTCATCAGGCACCTTTTGGCACTCTTCTTGAACTGGTTCATGCTATGACTGGCTTTGACATGTGCAGGCAGTCTGTTCCATTCCTTTATTGCTGTACAATAAAAGGTGTTTGAAGCCTGGCCACTGACTGTGGATACTACAAAGTTGTGGTCTCTCCCTCTAGTACTATGATTGCTTTGGTTCCCAGCCTTGACAGAATTGGCAGCAAGATATTCTGGACACTGTTTGTGAGCAGTTTTATAAACTTGATTTAGCTTCAGTTATTTTACTATGTCTTCAACATTAAGCATATCCAGTTGTTGTAATTCATCCTGGCCTACATGTTCTCTTGGACCCAGGTCCATGATGAATCTTACCATTTTGTTCTGGGTGATTTGCAGTCTATCCTTCAGTTCTTTTGTCAAGGCAGAGAGCCATAAAGAGCAAGCATAGTCCATATGACACTGTATAAGGACTAGACAGAGAGTCCTGCAAGCCTCAGTAGGTAGACAATGTGCTTGTCTGTAGAGGAACTTCAGCCTGGCATTTGCTTTCTTTACTACACTTCTCTATCAATTCTCCTGACATGCATGGGTCAAAGGGGATTCCCAGATATCTTGCTGAGGAAACTGAAGTGATGGGCTCCCCATTACACTGGACATTAAAATTATTTACCCTTCTCAGTTTGTTTCATGCCAAAGAGAATAGCTTCAGTTTGGGGTTCCAAACTGGTGCTGCATACTCCAATATGGGCCTAACATGCAGAGTGTACAGGGTTCTGAACGATTCCTTTTTAAGATGTTGGAATGCTGTTCTTAGGTTTGCTAGGTGCCTGTGTGCTACAGCAGTGATATAAACAAATTCACTGATGACGTGAAGATAGATAGGATAATTGATTCAAACGTAGATGTCACAGAACTTCTGGAGGATTTAGACAAACTCAATTTGAGGTCAGAAAAGTGGCAGATGCAGTTCAATGTAGATAAGTGCAAAGTTCTAAAGCTTGGGAATTTTCATAACCCTAGTACCTATCGGCTTAATAATGTAGAACTTAGCCATACAGAATGCAATAAGGACTTGGGGGTTATGATAAGCAGCAACCTTAAACCAAGACAGCAATGTCTAAGCATGCATAATAAGGCCCCCCTAGACTACTCTGTACTCGCCTAGTTGTACTCGCCTAGTTGAGGTTGCAGGGGTTGAGTCCAAGCTTCTGGCCCCGCCTCTTCACTGGTCGCTACTAGGTCACTCTCCCTGAACCACGAGCTTTATCATACCTCTGCATCATACCTTCTTTGCCCATCCCCAGTCTTCATGACTTTGCACTTAGTGGGGTTGAACTCCACGAGCCAGTTGCTGGACCAGTCCTGCAGCATGTCCAGATCCCTTTGTAGTTCTGCCTGGTCCTCATCTGATTTGATTCTTCTCATCAACTTCACATCATCTGCAAACAGGGACACTTCGGAGTCTATTCCTTCCATCATGTCATTCACAAATACCAGAAACAGCACCGGTCCTAGGACTGACCCCTGTGGAACCCTGCTCGTCACAGGTGCCCACTTTGACACCTCGCCATGTACCTTGACTCGCTGTTGTCTTCCTGACAGGTATTCATGTGTGTGTGTGTGAGAGAGTGAGTCAGTCAGTCTCAGTCAGTCAGTCTCAGTCAGTCTCAGTCAGTCAGTCTCAGTCTCAGTCAGTCTCAGTCTGTCAGTCAGTCTCAGTCTGTCAGTCAGTCTCAGTCTGTCAGTCAGTCTCAGTCTGTCAGTCAGTCTCAGCCAGTCAGTCTCAGTCTGTCAGTCAGTCTGTCAGTCAGTCTCAGTCTGTCAGTCAGTCTCAGTCTGTCAGTCAGTCTCAGTCTGTCAGTCAGTCTCAGTCAGTCTCAGTCTGTCAGTCAGTCTCAGCCAGTCAGTCTCAGTCTGTCAGTCAGTCTCAGTCTGTCAGTCAGTCTCAGTCTGTCAGTCGTCTAGTCTGCAGCGTCAGTCTGTCAGTCAGTCTCAGTGCATCGTCAGTCAGTCAGTCCAGTCACTAGTCAGTCGTCAGTCTGTCAGTCATCTCAGTCTGTCAGTCAGTCTCAGCTGCAGTCAGTCTCAGTCTCAGTCAGTCTCAGTTGCAGTCAGTCCAGCGTCATCAGTCTCAGTCAGTCAGTCTCATTGTCAGTCAGTCCTCAGTCATCTGTCAGTCAGTCTCAGTCATGTCAGTCGTCAGTCCAGTCAGTCTGTCAGTCAGTCTCAGTCTGTCAGTCAGTCTCAGTCTGTCAGTCAGTCTTCTGCAGTCAGTCTGTCAGTCCAGTCAGTCAGCAGTCAGTCTCATCGTTCAGTCTAGTCAGTCAGTCTCAGTCTCAGTCTGTCAGTCAGTCTCAGTCTGTCAGTCAGTCTCAGTCTGTCAGTCAGTCTCAGTCTGTCAGTCAGTCTCAGTCTGTCAGTCAGTCTCAGCGTCAGTTCAAGTCTCAGTCTGTCAGTCAGTCAGTCAGTCTCAGTCTGTCAGTCAGTCTCAGTCAGTCAGTCTCAGTCTGTCAGTCAGTCTATCTCAGTCTGTCAGTCTCAGTCATCTCAGTCTGTCAGTCAGTCTCAGTCTGTCAGTCAGTCTCAGTCTGTCAGTCAGTCTCAGTCAGTCAGTCTCAGTCATCGTCAGGTCAGTCTCAGTCTGTCGCAGTCAGTCTCAGTCTGTCATCAGTCAGTCTAGTCAGTCAGTCTCAGTCTGTCAGTCAGTCTGTTCAGTCAGTCTCAGTCTGTCAGTCAGTCTGTCAGTCAGTCTCCAGTCTGTCAGCAGTCAGTCTCAGTCGTCAGTCTCAGTCAGCAGTCTCAGTCGTCATCAGTCTCAGTGTCAGTCTCAGTCTGTCTAGTCAGTCTCAGTCTGTCAGTCAGTCTCAGTCTTCAGTCAGTCTCAGTCTGTCAGTCAGTCTCAGTCTGTCTCAGTCCAGTCAGTCTGTGCCCAGTCTCAGTCTCAGTCGTCAGTCAGTCTCAGTCGTCAGTCCAGTCTGTCAGTCAGTCTCAGTCTGTCAGTCAGTCTAGTCTGTCAGTCAGTCTCAGTCGTCAGTCTGTCCAGTCGTCAGTCTTCAGTCAGTCTCACCAGTCCAGTCAGTCGTCTCAGTCTAGTCATCAGTCTCAGTCTGTCAGTCAGTCTCAGTCTGTCAGTCAGTCTCAGTCGTCAGTCGTCTCAGTCGTCAGTCACTCAGTCAGTCAGTCTCAGTCTGTCACAGTCATCCAGTCTCAGTCCTGTCAGTCAGTCTCAGTCTGTCAGTCAGTCCAGTCGTCACAGTCAGTCTGTCAGTCAGTCAGTCTGTCGTCAGTCTCAGTCTGTCTCAGTTCAGTCGTCAGTCAGTCTGTCGTCAGTCAGTCTCAGTCTGCCCAGCCCTCAGCAGTCTGTCAGCCCAGTCTCAGTCTGTCAGTCAGTCTCAGTCTCAGTCAGTCAGTCTCCAGTCGTCAGCCCTCAGTCAGTCACAGTCTCAGTCAGTTCAGTCTTCAGTCGTCAGTCTGTCAGTCAGTCTCAGTCTGTCAGTCTGTCAGTCTCAGTCTGTCAGTCAGTCTCAGTCTGTCAGTCAGTCTCAGTCTGTCAGTCAGTCTCAGTCTTCAGTCAGTCTCAGTCTCAGTTCAGTCTCAGTCAGTCAGTCTCAGTCTCAGTCATCAGTCTCATCGTCAGTCAGTCAGTCTCTCAGAGTCGCTCAGTCAGTCTAGTTCAGTCAGTCTCAGTCTCAGTCTCAGTCTCAGTCAGTCAGTGTCAGTCAGTCAGTCTCAGTCAGTCTGTCTCAGTCAGTCAGTCTCAGCCAGTCTCAGTCTGTCAGTCAGTCAGCCAGTCTCAGTCAGTTATTCTCAGTCAGTCAGTCTCAGTCAGTCTCAGTTAGTCAGTCAGTCTCAGTCAGTCAGTCTCAGTGTCAGTCAGTCAGTCAGTCAGCCAGTCTCAGTCAGTCAGCCAGTCTCAGTCAGTCAGTCTCAGTTAGTCAGTCAGTCTCAGTTAGTCAGTCAGTCTCAGTCAGTCAGTCAGTCAGTCAGTCAGTCTCAGTCAGTCAGTCAGTCAGTCAGTCAGTCAGTCAGTCAGTCTCAGTTAGTCAGTCAGTCTCAGTTAGTCAGTCAGTCTCAGTCAGTCAGTCAGTCAGTCAGTCAGTCAGTCAGTCAGTCAGTCAGTCAGTCAGTCAGTCGCCCTAAATGGATAAACAATAAACTAAAATATCTCTTGGATAAAAATAGACCAATACAATACAATATGAATTCAATTTGAGAGAAATAAAAAAAATGAGGAAAGCCAAAAGGGAACATGAAATTAAGGTTGCAAGAGAATAAGAGATCAACGTAAGAGGTTTCTTTCAGGTATATAGGGATAAGATAGGTCCTCTTAAATATAGCTCAAGTCAGCTTCCTGTTAATGACGACAAAAATATGTACCTTTTGTACCTTTTTAACACTTATTTCCTGTTCATTTTTACACGGTTCAGGGCAAGAGTAAATTATGTAAGATCAACTAGATTAATTGCAATCAAACAAGTCATCTGGCCCTAATAAGCTATTTTTAAGGGTTCTAAAGGAATGCAGAGAGGAACTTTACAAACCATTAGGTAGTCTCGTGAATAGTTCACTACAAATGGGCACTGTACTGGGTAAGTGGAAAGTGGCAAATGTGATACCCATTCATGAAGCAGGAGATAAGTCCTTACCTTCAAATTATAGACCAATCAGCTTAACCTTAAGTGTGGGGAAGGTTGATGGAATCATTAATTGTGGATGCTTAAAACTTAGATATATCTCTGTGAATGATACTACCATCAATAATGTAGATCTATGTAAGAGATAGTGACAGAATTTTTGGCTTCATATCAAGAAGTGACAATAATAGAAGTTCTCAGATTATACTTCAGCTTTCCTTTCTGCATTTGGTAGGGCCTTGTTTAGATTATGTTGCACAGTTCTGGTCTCGCATGTTACAGAATGGACATAAATGTGCATGAAAACATAGAAAGAAGGATGATGAAGTTGATTCTCTGTGTCAGCAAGACATGCTGAAGGTGCTGAAATTTCAGTCTCTGTAAAGATGTAGAATTGGAGGGAATATGACTGAAGTGTGCAAATTTCAAGTTGGAGAAATTTAGATTTAGAAGGGATACAGGAAATTACTGGTTTGACAGAGTTGTAGATGTGTGGAACAAACTTCCAAGTTACTGAAATGAGAATCTTTTGGTTGGACAAGTACATGAATGGGTGTGATTTGGACCTGCCTAGTATATGGGCCAGTAGGCCTATTATAGTGTTCCTCCATAATAATAACTTATTGTTATTCTTAGGCACCTGTCTTTCAAGAAATTCACAAGTGCTCACCCATCAAAAAGATCTGTATGTGACATGATAAAGTTCATTGCTTGGGGGAAATGTTACCAATAAAGGTTCCATAGCTATAATGGCGTGTCTGTCCTTCCCACCCTGCTTGGACATTGAAAGTGGTTCCGATAAGACTTGGAGTGGGCTCCAGAGTCCTAGCATATCTCTACCATCTCTGGATGGTTGACTCTTGCATGTACATGTATGTGGTTTCTTAACGAGCCTGATAAGGTGTTCCATGTTACACTTGGCTTGAACATTGCTTTCATGTGTGGAGCTTCTTATTTCTGCTTCTCCTGGATAGGGCTGGCTATGATCCTTTGGTTTGTCATGTCATGCTCTAAAACATTTGCTTTTCTGCACCTGGTGTGGAGCTTGCTAGTTCTAGGTAGCCTCCTGCATAGCTTGCTGCTTTCAAATCCAAATCTACAGCATCCAGGGTCATTTGCTTTCTTATTTCTGTAAAATGCCTAAACCCCCTACATGCCCTACCTTGATATAAAACCTTTATCCTTCCCAGGATTTTGGAAATAGGGCTGAATACAGATTGCTCTGCGGAGTCCCTTAGCAATCCAAACAATTGCTGTACTATGTTAGTTCTAGTCTGGTGGCAAATTTCTAGACTTTCAAGCTTTTATTCTATTAGGATGATGTGGCTGAACATTAACCTTAATGAATCTTTTTTGAGGTTCATAATACTTTCAGCACTGTGTGTAATCTCCAAGTTGCACTTAAGAGGGAGAGTTTTGGCTTGTGTGTTGGCAATATACAATATACTAATGCATTTCTGAAAGGAATGGTGATGATTTACATAAATCTGAATTATACTGAGTCAAATGTTGTAAAGCACTTATGAATTATATTAAATTTCAGGCTAAGGATGTTGGAGGAAGGCTCACTGTCAGGCATGTCATCTGGAGCATCAACTCCTGAGCCTCAGGAACCATTCACACCAAAGTACAGTGTTCGCTTGAGTGACCGTGTCACGAAAGATGGTGACAGTGTCAAATTTACTCTTCAAGTTTCACAGGTATGATATTTGTATGTTAATATTTTATGTTTATGGATTATTGTGATTGCTTTTACGATGTGAAAAGGCAATAATTTGGGTCCAAGGGCACAGTTAAGAAGTTTGAATTACTGTGTATACAATATTATTACATTAGAGGAAATATTTCATAATAAACAAGATAAGTTAGAACTTACTGCTTGATAACAAAATGATGCTCAGTGAGGATAGGTTTCATTTACTCCATTATGGAAAGATTGAGGAAATAGACTAGAACAAAGTATAAAACAAAGTCAAATCACTTTATAGACCGTAAGACTAATGTGAGAGATATGGGAGTGATTATGTCTGAGCTCACATTCATGGATCATAACAGTGTTACTATCACACCTGCAAGGAAAAATGATAGACTGGATAATTAGAACCCTCAAAACAAAGTATGCCAAGCTAATGATACTCTTCAAGTCACTTGTTTTCTCTAGGCTGGAGTACTGCTCTACTGTAAAAATCACGTTCAAGGCAGAAAAAAAATTACAGACCTGGAGAATGTGTGGAGAATCTTCACTGCTTGGATAGAATTGGTTAAACGCCTAAATTACTGGGAACATTTAAAGCCTCTTGATCTGTACTCCTTGGAATGTAGGTGAGAGAGGTACATTATAATTTACTCCTGGAAAATTCTAGAAGGATTGGTCCCAAATCTGCATATACAAATCGTTCTTCATGAAAGTAAGAGGCTTGGCAGACAGTGTAAAATACCCCCAGTGAAAAGCAGGGATGCAGTGAGTGCACTAAAAGAAAACTTACTGAGCATGAAGGGACCCAGTCTTTTTCTATGCCTGTCCTTCACACATAAGGGGGGATTACTAACAGCCACTTTGTCTTCAAGTAGGAACTGGGCAAGTTTCTGAAGTTAGTGCCTGATCAGCCAGGCTGTGATGCTTATATTGCATGGGGTACTTTGGAGATATGACGGTTGGAGTAATACACACTAGGTTGGTTGATAACACTTATATTGGCAGAGTCATGAGAGGAAGGATAGCCCAGCCTACCTGTCGAATCTACGCCTGCAGTCTTAGTGAGGGAGTGAGCCTCTCACACCACTCACATGAGCATAGCCGAGTGATGTCACAAGCTAGCCAGAGAGCCTAACTTAATAGGGATCTTATATATATAATATAGGAGATACTAGCTAAAATATACTACACAAGTATATTACATAGGAATTCAGTAACACTACTGACACTTATGGTGGACTTCATGCATCTAGCACTGACAGCCTGGTTGATCAGGCCATCCATCAGGAGGCTTGGTCTGGGACTGGGCCGTGGGGGCCATTGACCCTTGGAACACTCCAGGTATATTCCAGGTAGAATTAAAGGTTCCATGTCATTATGTCAAATTTATGTATATACATGTACGTACAGTGTATTTGGAGGTGGGAAATACATTGCCTGCACTTTGAAGGAGGGGTGAGGATATTTGCAGTTTTGAGCTGTAGCATCAGCACACCTCTGGCAAGACAGTAATGGAGTGATGATTTTTTTTTATGTTGTTGGTGTAGGTAGTAGGTTGGTAGACAGCAACTGCCCAGGGAGATACTACCGTCCTGCCAGGTGAGTGTAAAGCAGAAGCCTGTAGTTGTTTTACATGATGGTAGGATTGCTGGTGTCTTTTTTCTGTCTCATAAACATGCAAGATTTCAGGTACATCTTGCTACTTCTACTTACATTTAGGTCACACTACACATACATGTACAAGCATATATATACACACCCCTCTGGGTTTTCTTCTATTTTCTTTCTTGTTCTTGTTTATTTCCTCTTATCTCCATGGGGAAGTGGAACAGAATTCTTCCTCCGTAACCCATGCGTGTTGTAAGAGGCGACTAAAATGCTGGGAGCAAGGGCCTAGTAACCCCTTCTCCTGTATAAATTACTAAATTTAAAAAGAGAAACTTTCGTTTTTCTTTTTGGGCCACCCTGTCTTGGTGGGATATGGCTGGTTTGTTGAAAAAAAAAAAATTCTAAATGAATGTTAGCCATAGTACTATTCATTACGTCACATGTTATAAAAAAAAAGGGCTTCAGAAATTAAGAAATTGGTTAGTTAAAGCTTTTTTAAGTTGTTGGAGACTTGTTAGTGTTGGACAGAAAACATATTGACTCAAAAAAAAAACTTTTGTCAACTTCTTTCATACTTTCTGGAACCTGTGAGTACTTGTCATATTCCTGAATTATCTTCTTTAGAATATTGTTTAAACACAATTTTTATGTAGTAGCTTTAAATTCTGCCTGAAACCTGGAGTTTACCTGGAGAGAGTTCTGGGGGTCAACGCCCCCGCGGCCCGGTCTGTGACCAGGTCTCCTGGTGGATCAGAGTCTGATCAACCAGGCTGTTGCTGCTGGCTGCACGCAAACCAACGTACGAGCCACAGCCCGGCTGGTCAGGAACCGACTTTAGGTGCTTGTCTAGTGCCAGCTTGAAGACTGCCAGGGGTCTGTTGGTAATCCCCCCTTATGTATGCTGGGAGGCAGTTGAACAGTCTCGGGCCCCTGACACTTATTGTTTGGTCTCTTAACGTGCTAGTGACACCCCTGCTTTTCATTGGGGGGATGTTGCATCGTCTGCCAAGTCTTTTGCTTTCGTAGTGAGTGATTTTCGTGTGCAAGTTCGGTACCAGTCCCTCTAGGATTTTCCAGGTGTATATAATCATGTATCTCTCCCGCCTGCATTCCAGGGAATACAGGTTCAGGAACCTCAAGCGCTCCCAGTAATTGAGGTGTTTTATCTCCGTTATGCGCGCCGTGAAGGTTCTCTGTACATTTTCTAGGTCAGCAATTCCACCTGCCTTGAAAGGTGCTGTTAGTGTGCAGCAATATTCCAGCCTAGATAGAACAAGTGGGCTTTCATTACAGGTATTACCACACTTCATAAATTGCAATGCTTTGAGCTTACATTTTTATTGTATGTCATTAGCAATTCAAAAAACCATAATTTAAATGCATTTGTAGTACAAAATACGTACTGTACAGTACTATCCTATAATTATTTTCCATGATTTTCAGAATGGCTTTACAATTCATGTGCTGGAAAGAGAGTATGAGGACTTTGAATATCTAGATCACTGTGTGACAACAAGCCAACCCTTGCACGGTCTAATCATTCCACCTATTCCACAACGGTCTGCAATAGGTTTGTATATTTTACATTGACCATCCGAAAAATTGGTCCCTCCTTCACAAGGATGTGCAAATTTTTGATATGTCATTTTTTTATTTTGGAATATAACTTAATTCAACCTTGCTAAAATTTACATCAGATATCATAATTTACCTAACCCATCCAAGAATTTGCATATTGTAACTATTAGTTTTTCATAGCAAAAGGGTAAAACACAAATCTTCTCTTTTGCACCACTATTAAGTGTTACAAAAAATGCAATATCTAATAATGATAGAGATCTCCAGTGAATACTAGAAAAGACTGCCCTTCTAGTATCCAGCCTGTTACTGGGATTTTGTAACAAGTAGTCAGTATCCTGGTCCAATTATCCATTAGAATTTAGTAAGATTCAGTAGTGCTTCAAGATTACAACTGGTAGGCTACTAACTAAAGAAATTAAAATTTAATAAGTTTATTAATAACAATAAATTTGTCTAGGCATATAATATCAAAGTAAATTATAGTAATGAATTGAATATAATATAGGATACAAGTTCCTACACATCTCTCGTGTACAGTAGTATTGTGCTGAAGGCACATATCACATCTTTATGACTTTTAAGTACCCTCTGGTACATTGTTAGCATTTAATAACATAATACATATACATGTATATACAAGTAAGTTTGTGTGTATGTGTGTTAGTGCTCTAAGTAGTTCGCTATGTCTCAAGACTCGACTAGACTTAACCAGTGACTGACTAAAAGTCCTCACATAAACTAACTTCTTGACCAACCTGCTAATCAGAACAGCTTGCTTGAACAATAAAACGACTGATAAGCCGAACAGCAAATTAACAAGCAACAGCGACACAGAATCAGGAACAAGGAGATAATATAATGACACCAAGTAGGGACCATCTGCAGATCCTCCACAAAAGTCACAAAACTCCCATACTACTGAATCTAAGTTCAGCATTAGAAAATCCCCAACTGTGACAGTGCACAGATACCAGTACAAATTAGGTCAGAAGCTACAGGACTCGAGTTTCTCAGAGTGTCTATGTGACGCACATCCTCGGTACAATGTCGAAAATCACTAAGTCTAGACCATGTTCTGTGAACAGAGTTATACAGAACCAACAACAAGAAAGTAACAGAGACGATCTTCCAACAAGGGCCCACAAGGGAGAGCAGTAGAGGGACCTCTTGTTAGAAGCAACGTCCAACCGACAATAATCAGCACAGGCCAGGCCAACCCTCGCTCCTGGTGAGGTATGATCACCCCACCCTGATCACGTGACTCTCCGTGGACTGCTGCTGCCCAGCAACACAGAGAAGCCGGCAGGAAAACAAGCGGAGCGATAGTTAAGCAATGCTGTCAGCTACTTAACACTCGAACTATGAGCACTGAATAATATATAAATGTTACATCCTACCTAATAATATAACTAAGTCAAATAATAATATAAAGCAATATATTTATGATTTAGCTAATATTGCAAATATAAGCAATATAAAATTATATGAACAGGTAATATATATTATATACATTGTGATCCATTCAGGGATCACAATATTAAGCAGTTGTATGCAGTTTTTATTAATACAGTAATTGAGTTAATTGGTAGGCAGAAATACTGAGAAATGGGGCACAGTTGACTATCAGTTAACACTGTAGTTACAGCCATGAAAAGGGTGTGTATACTTGGAGTATTCCAGGGAGGGGGTTTTGGGGGTCAACACCCCCATGGCCCAGTCTGTGACTAGGCCTTACAATAAAAAATCACAAATTGAACTGAAGAACTTGTGTTTAAAATAGAAAACATTTCTAAGACCCCCTAAAAAGGTGCCCAACTTTTTTGTAGTCTTGTAATTGTAAAAACAATGATAATAACGTAATTGTAGATTGATATAGTGATGCGCGTTAATCAAAGATTCCACGTCTCTGCTAGCAGATGGAGGTGTATGGGGGGGTTATAAATGTTGGATTATAATAGTTGCAGTGTTGTTAGGGTTGAGTTACACAACAGGGGTAAGAGGAGTTAGGATGAAGGGATTGGAATGGGGGTGGGGACCAGGGGGGTTTAGGATTGTGGGACTTCTGATGTGGGAGGTGGAGACAGATCTGTGGAAGGGGCAGGGGCTGCAGGCTGGTGTTTGGAGGTGGAGGATACTGGGCAGTGGTGGGGTGGAAGCTGGAAACAATGAGGTGGTGTGATGGTGACCATGTGTGTGGCAGTGTGGATGATGGGTAACTGGGTGACAGTGGCAAGACAGTGATTGAATGAATCATGGTGGAGTTCTTTTCTTTTGGCCACTGCCTAGGCAGGAGATTGCAGTTGAGGTAAAAAAAAAATGCATGTATATATATAATATATATATATATATATATATATATATATATATATATATATATATCCTAGGTAGTAGGTTGGTAGACAGCAACCGCCCAGGGAGGTACTACCGTCCTGCCAAGTGAGTGTAACACGAAAGCCTGTAATTGTTTTACATGATGGTAGGATTGCTGGTGTCCTTTTTTCTGTTTCATGAACATGCAAAATTTCAGGTACGTCTTGCTACTTCTACTTACACTCAGGTCACACTACACATACATGTACAAGCGTATATATACATACCCCTCTGGGTTTTCTTCGATTTTCTTTCTAGTTCTTGTTCTTGTTTATTTCCTCTTATCTCCATGGGGAAGTGGAACAGAATTCTTCCTCCGTAAGCCATGCGTGTTGTAAGAGGCGACTAAAATGCCGGGAGCAAGGGGCTAGTAACCTCTTCTCCTGTATATATTACTAAATGTAAAAGGAGAAACTTTCGTTTTTCCTTTTGGGCCACCCTGCCTCGGTGGGATACGGTCGGTGTGTTGAAAGAAAGAAGAAAGATATATATATAATATATATATATATATATATATATAATATATATATATATATATATATATATACACACACATACTTATACAGTGGACCCCGGTTAACGATATTTTTTCACTTCAGAAGTATGTTCAGGTGCCAGTACTGACCGAATTTGTTCCCATAAGGAATATTGAGAAGTAGATTAGTTCATTTCAGACCCCCAAACATACACGCACAAATGCACTTACATAAATACACTTACATAATTCGTCGCATTCGGAGGTGATCGTTATGCGGGGGCCCACTGTATATACATATATACAGTGGACCCTCGACCAACATTGGCATCATCTAACGTTAAATCTGACTAGCGATACATTTTAACGCAAAAATTTTGCCTCGACTAGCGCTAAAAAACTCGACCAATACGATTCGTTCCGTCTGAGACGCATCCACTTCTGGCCAGTGTTTACAAGCCAGCCAGCCACCGCGGTCCCATCCAAACATACAATCAGAACATTTCGTATTATCACAGCGTTTTTAGTGATTGCACCTGCAAAATAAGTCACCATGGGCCCCAAGAAAGCTTCTAGTGCCAACCCTACAGCAAATAGGGTGAGAATTACTATGGATATGAAGAAAGAGATCATTGCTAAGTATGAAAGTGGAGTGTGTGTCTCCGAACTGGCCAAGTTGTACACAAAACCCCAATCAACCATCGCTACTATTGTGGCCTAGAGAACTGCAATTAAGGAAGCTGTTCTTGCCAAAGGTGCAACTATGTTTTTGAAACTGAGATCGCAGGTGATAGAAGATGTTGAGAGACTGTTATTGGTGTGGATAAATGAAAAACAGATAGCAGGAGATAGCATCTCTCAAGCGATCATATGTGAAAAGGCTAGGAAGTTGCATGAGGATTTAATTAGAAAAATGCCAGCAACTAGTGGTGATGTGAGTGAATTTAAGGCCAGCAAAGGTTGGTTTGAGAGATTTAAGAATCGTAGTGGCATACATAGTGTGATAAGGCATGGTGAGGCTGCCAGTTTGGACCAAAAAGCAGCTGAAAAATATGTGCAGGAATTCAAGGAGTACATAGACAGTGAAGAATTGAAACCTGAACAAGTGTTTAATTGTGACACTGACAATGTTGTGAAACACTTTAGGAATGTCATAAAGGAACGGGAGGTACAGGCCTCTATGGACAGATATGTTGTGCGACAGAGGTCCAGTGACTCTCAAGCTGGTCCTAGTGGCATTAAAAGAAGGGAAGTAACCCCAGAAAAGGACTTGACAACTCAAGTCCTAATGGAAGGGGATTCCCCTTCTAAACACTTAACACCATCCACAGTCTCCCCTCCTCCCATCCCATCAATCATCACCAGATCTTCAATAAAGGTAAGTGTCATGTAATTGTACATGTCTTCTTCAGTTTGTGTGTATTAAAATTAATATTTCATGTGGTAAATTTTTTTTTTTTTCAATACTTTTGGGTGTCTTGCATGGATTAATTTGATTTCCATTATTTCTTATGGGGAAAATTAACTTGACTAACGATAATTTCGATTAACGATGAGCTCTCAGGAACAGATTAATAGCGTTGGTCGAGGGTCCACTATACATATATTTTTTTTTTCCAACAAGTCGGCCGTCTCCCACCGAGGCACAGTGACCCAAAAAAGAAAGAAAATCCCCAAAAAGAAAATACTTTCATCATTCAACATTTTTACCACACTCACACATTATCACTGTTTTTGCAGAGGTGCTCAGAATACAACAGTTTAGAAGCATATACATATAAAGATACACAACATATCCCTCCAAACTGCCAATATCCCAAACCCCTCCTTTAAAGTGCAGGCATCGTACTTCCCATTTCCAGGACTCAAGTCCGACTATATGAAAATAACCGGTTTCCCTGAATCCCTTCACTAAATATTACCCTGCTCACACTCCAACAGACCATCAGGTCCCAAGTACCATTCATCTCCATTCACTCCTATCTAACACGCTCATGCACGCTTGCTGGAAGTCCAAGTCCCTCGCCCACAAAACCTCCTTTACCCCCCTCTTGCCAACCCTTTCGAGGACGACCCCTCCCCGCCTTCCTTCCCCTATAGATTTATATGCTTTCCATGTCATTCTACTTTGATCCATTCTCTCTAAATGACCAAACCACCTCAACAACCCCTCTTCTGCCCTCTGACTAATACTTTTATTAACTCCACACCTTTTCCTAATTTCCACACTCCGAATTTTCTGCATAATATTTACACCACACATTGCCCTTAAACAGGACATCTCCACTGCCTCCAACCATCTCCTTGCTGCTGCATTTACCGCCCAAGCTTCACACCCATATAAGAGTGTTGGTACTACTATACTTTCATACATTCCCTTCTTTGCCTCCATAGATAACGTTTTTTGACTCCACATATACCTCAACGCACCACTCACCTTTTTTCCCTCATCAATTCTATGATTAACCTCATCCTTCATTAATCCATCCGCCGACACGTCAACTCCCAAGTATCTGAAAACATTCACTTCTTCCATACTCCTCCTCCCCAATTTGATATCCAATTTTTCTTTATCTAAATCATTTGATACCCTCATCACCTTACTCTTTTCTATGTTCACTTTCAACTTTCTACCTTTACACACATTCTCAAACTCATCCACTAACCTTTGCAATTTTTCTTTAGAATCTCCCATAAGCACAGTATCATCAGCAAAAAGTAACTGTGTCAATTCCCATTTTGAATTTGATTCCCCATAATTTAATCCCACCCCTCTCCCGAACACCCTAGCATTTACTTCTTTTACAACCCCATCTATAAATATATTAAACAACCATGGTGACATTACACATCCCTGTCTAAGACCTACTTTTACCGGGAAGTATTCTCCCTCTCTTCTACACACCCTAACCTGAGCCTCACTATCCTCATAAAAGCTCTTTACAGCATTTAGTAACTTACCACCTATTCCATATACTTGCAACATCTGCCACATTGCTCCTCTATCCACTCTATCATATGCCTTTTCTAAATCCATAAATGCAATAAAAACTTCCCTACCTTTATCTAAATACTGTTCACATATATGCTTCAATGTAAACACTTGATCTACACATCCCCTACCCACTCTGAAACCTCCTTGCTCGTCCGCAATTCTACATTCTGTCTTACCTCTAATTCTTTCAATTATAACCCTACCGTATACTTTTCCTGGTATACTCAGTAAACTTATTCCTCTATAATTTTTACAATCTCTTTTGTCCCCTTTCCCTTTATATAAAGGGACTATACATGCTCTCTGCCAATCCCTAGGTACCTTCCCCTCTTTCATACATTTATTAAACAAAAGTACCAACCACTCCAACACTATATCCCCCCCTGCTTTTAACATTTCTGTCATGATCCCATCAGTTCCAGCTGCTTTACCCCCTTTCATTCTACGTAATGCCTCACGTACCTCCACCACACTTACATTCTGCTCTTCTTCACTCCTAAAAGATGGTATACCTCCCTGGCCAGTGCACGAAATTACCGCCTCCGTTTCTTCCTTAACATTTAAAAGTTCCTCAAAATATTCTCGCCATCTACCTAATACCTCCCTCTCCCCATCTACTAACTCCCCTACTCTGTTTTTAACTGACAAATCCATAATTTCCCTAGGCTTTCTTAACTTGTTTAACTCACTCCAAAATTTTTTCTTATTTTCATTAAAATTTCTTGACAGTGCCTCTCCCACTCTTTCATCTGCTCTCCTTTTGCACTCTCTCACCATTCTCTTCACCTTTCTTTTACTCTCCATATACTCTGCTCTTCTTATAACACTTCTGCTTTGTAAAAACCTCTCGTAAGCTACCTTTTTCTCTTTTATCACACCCTTTACTTCATCATTCCACCAATGACTCCTCTTTCCTCCTGCCCCCACCCTCCTATAACCACAAACTTCTGCCTCACATTCTAAGACTGCATTTTTAAAACTATTCCAACCCTCTTCAACCCCCCCCCCCCCACTACTCATCTTTGCACTAGCCCACCTTTCTGCCAATAGTCGCTTATATCTCGCCTGAACTTCCTCCTTCCTTAGTTTATACACTTTCACCTCCCTCTTACTTGTTGCCACCTTCCTCTTTTCCCATCTACCTCTTACTCTAACTGTAGCTATAACTTAATAATGATCCGATATATCAGTTGCCCCTCTATAAACATGTACATCCTGGAGCCTACCCATCAACCTTTTATCCACCAATACATAATCTAACCAACTACTTTCATTACGTGCTACATCATACCTTTTATATTTATTTATCCTCTTTTTCATAAATATGTATTACTTATTACCAAATTTCTTTCTACACATAGCTCAATTAAAGGCTCCCCATTTACATTTACCCCTGGCATCCCAAATTTACCTACTACTCTCTCTATAACATTTTTACCCACTTTAGCATTGAAATCCCCAACCACCATTACTCGCACTTGATTCAAAACTGCCCACGCATTCACTCAACATTTCCCAGAATCTTTCTCTCTCCTCTACAGTTCTCTCTTATATATATTTATATCTTTCTTCTTTCAACACACTGGCTGTATCCCACCGAGGCGGGGTGGCCCAAAAGGAAAAACAAAAGTTTCTCCTTTTACATTTAGTAATATATACAGGAGAAGGGGTTACTAGCCCCTTGCTCCCGGCATTTTAGTCGCCTCTTACAACACGCATGGCTTACGGAGGAAGAATTCTGTTCCACTTCCCCATGGAGGTAAGAGGAAATAAACAAGAACAAGAACTAGAAAGAAAATAGAAGAAAATCCAAAGGGGTGTGTATATATATGCTTGTACATGTATGTGTAGTGTGACCTAAGTGTAAGTAGAAGTAGCAAGACGTACCTGAAATCTTGCATGTGTATGAGACAAAAAAAAAAAGACACCAGCAATCCTACCATCGTGTAAAACAATTACAGGCTTCAGTTTTACACTCACCTGGCAGGACGGTAGTACCTCCCTGGGCGGTATATATTTATATATATATTTATATTTATATATTTTTTTTTTTTTTTTCAACAAGTCGGCCGTCTCCCACCTTATTTTAATTAAGGATATATACTTACCTTACATAATCTGTGCACTACCTTGACTGGCTAAAGTGTAGCATCAGTATTCAGTGTTGCAGACTGTTAAAAATGTATCACTTTCATCCTCAGATCCTTACAATGCAGAAATACAGTCGAAGAGATTGATGGGAAAAGGCTCTAAGACACTGATAGCAGACGAGTTTCATAAAGACTGCCACCAGCTACAAAAGTGAGTGACAGGAGCTTTAAAAATTTAATAGAAGTAAAATAATTTTTAGTTAATATATATGGGTATTTCCATGGAGCGAGATTAACAAGTTAAGAAAGCCTAGAGAATGAATGGATTTGTCAGTTAAAAACAGAGTATGGGAGGTAGTAGATGGGAAGCTGGAGGTATTGGGTAGATGGCGGGAATATTTTGAGGAACTTTTAAATGCTCATGAAGAAAGGCAGGTGGTAATTTCATGCACTGGCCAGGGAGTTATAACATCTTTGAGGAGTGAAGAAGAGCAGGATGTGAGTGTGGGGGAGGTGTGTGAGGCATTACGTAGAATGAAAGGGGGGGTAAAGCAGCTGGAACTGACGGGATCATGACAGAAATGTTAAAAGCAGGGAGGGATATAGTGTTGGAGTGGTTGGTATTTTTGTTTTATAAATGTATGAAAGAGGGGAAGGTACCTAGGGATTGGCAGAAAGCATGTATAGTTCCTTTACATAAAGGAGAGGGGGGGGCAAAAGAGATTGTAAAAAATATAGGGGAATAAGTTTACTGAGTACGTATACCAGGAAAAGTGTATGGTAGGGTTATTATTGAAAGAATTAGAGTTAAAAGAGAGTAGGATTGCGGATGAGCAAGTAGGCTTTAGAGTGGGTAGGAGATGTGTAGATCAAGTGTTTACATTGAAGCATATATGTGAACAGCACTTAGATAAAGGTAGGGAAGTTTTCATTGCATTTATGGATTTGGAAAAGGCATATGATAGTGGATAGGGGAGCAATGTGGCAGATGTTGCAAGTGTGTGGAATAGGCAGTAAGTTACTAAATGCTGTAAAGAGTAATTATGAGGATAATGAGGCTCAGGTTAGGGTGTGTAGAAGAGAGGGAAATTATTTCCTGGTAAAAGTAGGTCTTAGACAGGTATGTGTAATGTCACCATGGTTGTTTAATGTATTTATAGATAATTTATAGATAGGGTTGTAAAAGAAGTAAATGCTAGGGTGTTGGAGAGAGGGGTGGGATTAAATTATGGGGAATCAAATACAAAATGGGAGTTGACACAGTTTCTTTTTGCTGATGATACGGTGCTTATGGGAGATTCTAAGAAAAAGTTGCATAGGTTAGCAGATGAGTTTGGGAAGGTGTGTAAAGGTTGAAAGTTGAAAGTGAACATAGATAAGAGTAAGGTGATGAGGGTATCAAATGATTTAGGTAAAGAAAAATTGGATATCACATTGGAGAGAGGGAATATGGAAGAAGTGAATGGTTTTAGATATTTAGGAGTTGATGTGTCACCGGATGGGTTTATGAAGGATGAGGTTAACCATAGAATTGATGAAGGAAAAAAAGTGAGTTGTGCATTGAGGTATATGTAGACACAAAAAACATTATCTATGGAGGCAAAGAAGGGAATGTATGGAAATATAGTGGTACCAACACTCTTATATGGATGCGAAGCTTGGGTTGTAAATACTGCAGCAAGGAGGCAGTTGGAGGCAGTGGAGATGTCTTGTCTAAGGACAAAAATGTGTGGTGTAAATATTATGCAGAAAATTCGGAGTGTGGAAATTAGGAGGTGTGGAGTTAATAAAAGTATTAGTCAGAGGGCTGAAGAGGGGTTATTGAGGTGGTTTGGCCATTTAGAGAGAATGAATCATAGTAGAACGACATGGAGAGCATATAAATCTGTAGGGGAAGGAAAGTGGGGTAGGGGTCGTCCTCGAAAAGGTTGGAGGGAAGGGGGTAAAGGAGGTTTTGTGGGCGGGGGGCTTGGACTTCCAGCAAGTGTGTGTGAGCAAGTTAGATAGGAGTGAATCGAGATGTATTGTTTTTGGGACCTGACTAGCTGTTGGAGTGTGAGCAGGGTAATATTTAATGAAGAAATTCAGGGAAACCAGTTATTTTTATATAGCTGGACTTGAGTACTGGAAATGGGAAGTACAATGCCTGCACTATATTGGCAGTTTGGAGGGATATGTTATGTATCATTATACATATATGCTTCTAAACTGTTGTATTCTGAGCACCTCTGCAAAAACGGTGATTATGTGTGAGTGAGGTGAAAGTGTTGAATGATGATGAAAATATTTTCTTTTTGGGTCACCCTGCCTCGGAGATGGCCGACTTGTTGAAAAAAAAAATTAAATGGGGAAATGGAACAGAATTCTTCCTCCCTAAGTCATGCATGTCATAAGAGGCTACTAAAATGCCAGGAGCAAGGGGCTAGTAACCCCTTCTCCTATATACATTACTAAAGATAGAAAGGAAAACTTTTGTTTTTCTTTTTGGGACACCCTGCCTCGGTGGGTTATGGCCAGTTTGTTGGAAGAAAGAATATACAGGTATGTTTTAGCTTCCTGCATTTGCTTTTGTCATTAGTTTGTTTTTACCTGAAAGTTCTTATTGGCCTTTATATAAAGAATAAGTCACAGTACCATGTCTGAAAAAAATATATAATCAATGTACATGTACAAATTGGAGATTAATCTTTAGAAGATATTTGATCTGTCCTGAACCATTATGACTGACAAACATTTTATTTCTTTGTGCAGTATACAAAATGTAGTTTACATGTAATAAAATATTAAGTACAAAAGAAAGCCACTAGCATGCATGTGCATTTCGGGCAGACTAATCCTAATGCTTACACACTACTTAAGACTAGACATAGGTATTGAGTGGTACAGTTTTAAGTATGCATTATTACAAAAAAAGAGAGGTAGCAAAAATAGTACAAATGGAAGTATGTATTAATGTTTTAAACCAATCAATGATGGAAAAAGGCAGTAAGCAAGAAGTTTGATCAGGTGAAATGGTTGAGACATCTGAGGTTTTAGGCAAGGTGAGGGGAAAGCTGAAGTTGAGTCACTAGTATTATGAAGAATATAGCATTTGACAATGTAGCATCTACAAAGAAACCCAGTACTAAAAGTCGTGTTAGAGATGGTATGTGAAAGCTGCAAGAGGGATAAAAAGTTATGACAGAGGGGGAACTATAGAATGACTCCACGTAATCCTTGAATTTATACATTTATATTCCTTCTTTTCCTGCCATAATTTATCCTTCAACATTATTGCTACTCCTTCCTTAGCTCAAACTCTTTTAGAAACCCCTGACCTAATCCCATTTATTTCACCCCACTGAAACTGTCCTACCCCTTTCCTACCCCATAATCATCTCTTTCTTATCATTTGCAATACATCCATGCACATTCAAACATCCCACTTTGACAGTTTTCTTCATTTTCTTTTTAGTAGGTTGTATGGGAAAAGGCATTACTAGCCCATTGCTCCCAGCATTTTAGTTGACTTTTTCAACATGTATGGCTTATGGAGGAAAGATTCTTATTTCACTTCCCTATGGATATGAAAGGAAAAGTAATAAGAACAAGAACTATTAATAAATTAGACACATGTGCAACTCTTGGGTATCTTTATTGAGGAAATGTTTCGCCACACAGTGGTTTCATCAGTCCACACATAGGAGAAACTTGAAGAACAGGAGGAGAATGAGGTAATCAGTCCCTCAACCTTGAGTCGATGTGTTCAGTCCATCGACAGTCCATCGACTCAAGGTTGAGGGACTGATTACCTCATTCTCCTCCTGTTCAAGTTTCTCCTACGTATGGACTGATGAAGCCACTGTGTGTCGAAACGTTTCCTCAATAAAGATACCCAAGAGTTGCACATGTGTCTAATTTATCAACATGTCGGTTCTCTGAACCATTCATCTACAAAGAACTATTAAGATAAAATCAAAGAAAACTCAAATGAGTGTGCATGCATGTGTAGTGTGACCCAAGTGCAAGTAGAAGTAGCAAGACGTACCTGAAATCTTGCATGTTTATAAGACAGAAAAAAGGCACCAGCAATCCTACCATCATGTAAAACAAATAGAGGCTTCCGTTTTACACTCGCTTGGCAGAACGGTAGTACCTCCCTGGGCGGGTGCTGTCTACCAACCTACTACCTTTTAATTGTTTTTTTTTATATCGAAGTCCAGGGTTTATTTCCTGGACCTCAGCAGATATAATGATGAAAAATTCACTATTCATTTTGATTTGGAATGTTGCTTATAATATTCCCCTTAGATAGCACAATAGTTCTAGGGATGAATATGAGAGGGAATAACCTTTATACTGTACCGTTCTATAATTGGGGTACTGTACTACAAAGTGTTGTATTTGTTGGTGAATGTGTATTAGAAAGAATGTGGTCGCAGCTAGTTAACATATTTGCACCTGACTTTTTTTTTCATAATCAATATTTTTTCCAGGTACCTCGAGTTGCTCTTATCACATCCTGTCCTAGGAAAAAATGAAAAGTTGCATGATTTCTTGACAACCAAGGATGCTCCTCCTAGGACAAAGGTATGTGCTGTGAAGATCACTAATTGGAAGTAAAAAGAGAATTAAAACAAATTGGTGTTATATGCATTTTAAATTTATTTTGAGTTTTAGAATTGTTTTGTCATTCGGATTGAGAACACTGCTACTGTCATTGTTTGTAAGTAAACCAAAATGCGGAAGTGGTCTTCACAGACTTCACTAAGGCATTCGACAAATGTGATCATGGCGTTATAACACATAAAATATGTGAAAGTTAACAGGCATGGTATGAAGTGCAGAAAAGCGAGTATTCAGTTTTCTGATGAATATAACATGAAGTAGTAATAAATTAAATAAAGAAAAGTATAAACAAGTTTAGTACTCCAATGCATGGGCTTGATCCTTTACTGTTTCTCATCCTTATAGCAGATGGATAACAATACTAGCCATTGCTTCATAGCATTCTTTACTAATGATACCAAAATAAGCATGAATGTTGCCTTGGTGAAGACACAAAAAAACTGCAAACACATATCGATAATCTTTTTGTGGGTAATGGAAAATAATATGAATGTTCAGTGGTGACAAGATTCCAACTGCTCAGATATGGAAAGAATGAAGAACTCGAAAGGAGCACTGCATATCAGACAGAGGAGAACCATCTAGTGCAAAAAGAACATGTAAAGGACTTGGCTTTAATGGCAAGTAACCTGTCATTTAGAGAGCCAAATAATTCAAATGCCATGTAGTCAGAAAAATAACAAGAAAGATAAAGAGAATTTTCAAAAAAACAAATAGCACCATCATGACAATATTAAAATCACTTGTGCTTTCTCATTTAAAATGTTGTTTGATGTTGACGGCTCTGTTTAAGGCATTATCAGAGCTGAATAAGGTACAGAGATTTACTACCCATGCAGATGTGATGAAAGTTTTAGACTACTGGGAATATGTTTTAGACTACTTGGAATGTGATTTCTGGAGTGAAGGAGAGAGGTATCTGGTAATGAATATTGTAAAGCTTTAATAATAATCAGGTAATCTACAGTGCATTTTGTCAATATTTTTGGTCTCTGGTATAAATATCCATATTCAGTTTCTCATTTTATAATTAATCTGATAATGTACTGTATTTATACAAATCTTGTACAGTATTTATAAATGAACACAATTTACCAACTCTTAAGTGCAAATCTTTTGTACCATGTTAAATTCATTGGAATTCTAATAATTTTCAGGTCAAGAAGGGCTTAATAAGCCGACTGTCTGATAGCCTTGAGTCTCGGAAGTCATCTTACCCTGACAGTGAAGAGTTCTTCCAAAGGGAACGTGATTGGGTTGCTAAATATCAACCAGCAGTTGCCAATGCCAGTGATGCCTTTAACAAGATAATCTATGCTCAGCTTAGTAAGTATATTTGCACTTTATCAAGCTACTCTATTTGTAGCAGTATTTGGCATCTGCCATTGATGAAAATATGAGTCATTTTTAGTTTCATTCTTACCTCAGAATTAATAATTTTTACTCTATAATTTTACAGAGTAGGGGAGTTAGTAGATGGGGAGCTGGAGGTATTGGGAAACATGGCAAGAATATCTTGAGGAACTTTTAAATGTTGATGAAGAAAGGGAGGCAGTAATTTCATGCACTGGCCAGGGAGGTACAGCATCTTTTAGGAGTGAAGAAGAGCAGGATGTGAGCGTGGGGGAGGTGCGTGGGGCATCATGTAGAACGAAAGAGGGTAAAGCAGCTGGAACTGACAGGATCATGACAGAAATGTTAAAAGCAGGAGGGAATATTGTGTTGCAGTGGTTGGTATTTTTGTTTAATAAATGTATGAAAGAGGGGAAGGTACCTAGGAATTGGCAGAGAGCACATATAGGGGGACAAAAGAGATTGTAAAAATTATACAGGAATAATTTTACTGAGTCTCCATGGGGAAGTGGAACAGAATTCTTCCTCCGTAAGCCATGTGTGTCGTAAGAGTCGACTGATGTGCCAGAAACAAGGGGCTAGTAACCCCTTCTCCTGTATACATTACAAAATTTAAAAAGAGAAACCTTAGCTTTTCTTTTTAGGTCACCTGCCTCGGTGAGATATGGCCTGGTCATTAAAAAAAGAAAGTTTACCGAATATACCAGGTGAAGTGCATGGTAGGGTTATTACTGAAAGAATTAGAGGCAAGACAGAGAGTAGGATTGCAGATGAACAAGGAGATTTTAAAATGGGTAGGGGGTGTGTAGAGCTAAGTGTTTATATTGAAGCATATATGTGAACTGTATTTAGATGAAGGTAGGGAAGTTTTCATTGCATTTATGGATTTAAAAATGGCATATGATAGTGCATAGGGGAGCATTGTGGCAGATGTTGCAAGTGTATGGAATAGGTAGTAAGTTACTAAATGATTTAAAAAGTTTTTATGAGGATAGCAAGGCTCAGGTTAGGGTGTGGAGGAGAGAATGGGATTACTTACCAGTAAAATTAGGTCTTAGACAGGGATGTGTAATGTCACCATGGTTGTTTAACATTTATAGATGTGGTTGTATAAGAAGTAAATATTAGGATGTTGGGGAGAGGAGTGGGATTAAATTATGGGGAATCAAATACAAAATGGGAGTTGACACAATTACTTTCGGCTGATGATACTGTGCTTTGGGGGATTCTAAAGAAAAGTTGCAAAGGTTAGTGGATGAGTTTGGAAGTGTGTGTAAAGGTAGAAAGTTGAAAGTGATCATAGATAAGAGTAAGATGATGAGGGTATCAAACGATTTAGATAAGGAAAAATTAGATATCGCACTGGAGGGAGTATGGAAGAAGTGAATGTGTTCAGATATTTGGGAGTTGATTTGTCAGCAGATGGGTTTATGAAGGATGAAGTTAACCATAAAACTGATGAAGGAAAAAAGTTTAATAGTGCATTGAGGTATCTGTGGAGACAAAAAATGTTATCCATGGAGGCAAAGAAGGGAATGTATGAGAGAATAGCGGTACCAACACTCTTATATGGGTGTGAAGCATGGGTTGTAAATGCTGCAGTGAGGAGAAGGCTGGAGGCAGTGGAGATGTTGTGTCTAAGGGCAATATGTGGTGTAAATATTATGCAGAAAATTCGTATGTGGAAATTCAGAGGTGTGGAGTTACTAAAAGTATTAGTCAGAGGGCTGATGAAGGGTTGTTGAGGTGGTTTGGTCATTTAGAGAGACTGGAACAAAGTAGAATGACCTGAAGAGCATATGAATCTGTAGGGGAAGGAAGGTGGGGTAGGAGTCATCCTTGGAAAGGTTGGAGGGAGGGGGCAAAGGGGGTTGTGTGGGCGAAGGGTTTGAACTTCCATGAAGCATGCACGAGTATGTTTGATAGGAGTGAATGGAGACGAAAGGTTTTTGGGCCCTGATGAGCTGTTGGAGTGTGAGCAGGGTAATATTTTGTGAAGGGATTTAGGAAAGCTAGTTAGCCAGACTTGAGTCCTGGAAATAGGAAATACAATGCCGGACTTTAACCTGTAAACGGTCCAAACGTATATATACGTTTTTTCAACATTTGAAAGTATGTAAAAAAAGTAGATCTTCTTTTTGTTTTTTACACTTGAAAATGTGTAAAAAACTTTGATCTACTTTTTTTTTTGTTACGTTTGAAAATCTGTAAAAAAAAAAATGTAGATCTACTTTTGTAGCACTACACATGTGAACGTAGATCTGCTTGGACCGTTTACGGGTTAAAGGAGGGGTTTGGGATATTAACAGTTTGGAGGGATGTCTAAACTCTTGTATCTGAGCGCCTCTGCAAAGACAGTGATTATATGTGAGTGATAGTGACAATGTTAAATTATGAAAGTTTTTTCTTTCTTTTTAGGTTTTTCTTTCTTTTTGGGTCACCCTGCCTTGGTGGGAAATGGCTGACATATTAAAAAAAAATTAAAGATCATAGAAATAAACTGCCTAAAGAGATGTAGCTAAGAAAGGGATACTGTTTTCAGTATGTGCACAAAAGTAAATAGCTAGGTGGTGAGAGTGGAAGAGGAAGGGATGTACAGTTGGCTAAATGGATGTTCTGCAGAAGATAAATGAAAAAAAATTGTAATTTTTAAGTTTTTAACCATGGTGTAGAAGAGGACTGTTTCTAGTGATTTAAACTATATGGCAAGGTATAAATGCTTTCATAAGCTGTTTTTGATTTGGTATAGTATTTTAAAAGATCACATTATTGTTACCTTCAATGATATTCTAAATTTGTCCATATATAAGAGTTTAATTAAGTACAGTATTGTCATTTTGATTGCAGGGATAGGTCACCAGCTGGAACAAATGGTCACAGCCCTAAAACTAAGTAGCTGCCCTAATGATGTGGTCCATAACAAACAGTTCAACATAATAAATATTCTCTTCCTTGAGTGTATGGATAGCATAAAGGTTAGTTTTGTACCTTTAGCATAAACATATTATCATATTTTACCATGCTACCTTCGTACTTTTTAACAATCTCTTTTTTCACCTCCATGGTGATCTTAACCATGATCCATTTTCTTCGTTGCTTGCCACTTCTCATTAACTTTCGTAGAACTCATGGTTAATGAATTTTACTAAAAATTTATATGAAAAAACACAAAATCAACTGAAAAATTCAAGAGTTACAGCGTGGGTTGTTCACTGAATAGTAGCAACGGGCGTACTGACGCTAGTGGGCAGTCTTGGCTTTGTCTTGAGAGAGAGATAAACAAGGGTAGCACACAGTGTTGTGACTCATTTTGACCCATACAAGTTCTAGCATGCGAGTCGTATTCCAAACAAAGGTCGTATACCAAGCAAAAATTTTCGCGTCCAAACAGGTCGTATACCAAGGTACCACTGTATACTATATGCATATTTTAAACACACTGGTTGTCTTTCACGAATGTACGATTACCAAAAAAGAGGAAACACATTCAGTATCACTCATTCAATAACTCTTACCATAAGTGTGCAGACATCACAGCTCAAATTACTCTCCAAATTGCAACATTCCCATGTATAACTAATCATGTGTATGCACAGTTGTTAATGTGCCTTTTGTGATTGCAATGAGCCTGCTAATTTTCACTTTTTCAGTTCAAATATCTTGAAAGCTCTGAATGTTGTGCAGGCACAAAACATATATGCACTAATCAAGAGTATTATATGTCCTATCACTGCATAAGTGTTGTTTACCTACAACTTCTTGGCATTACCATGTCTGTTTTCCCACCTTTCAGTTTGGTGCAAGAATTTTTTTTCATAGCTTCTGATTCCTTTTATTTCATTTTCAATTTTTAGAGTGAAATTGAGGATAAGGCTAGCAAGGAAGACATTATGCTGGGCACAGTGCAAACACTATGGCTTCGCTACATCCAGGCAGAAAGTGCCATGCTCCTAGATCGTACCTGTTTGATGGTGGACTATCAGTCTTGCAATCGTGCACTGGATAAGGCTAAACCTAATAGGAAGGAAGCGGTAAGTACCCCACATTAAAAACATAATATACTTTTTTGTAGGTAATACTTTTAAAGTGCATGAGATAATTTGTGGTAGCAGAATTTCACTTAACCCTTAAACGGTCCAAACAGATCAATGTTCAAATTCGCAGTGCTACAAAAGTAGATCTACTTTTTTTTACATATTTTCAAATATAACAAAAAAAAATGTAGATAAAAATTTTTTTTTACACGTTTGCACATGTAAAAAAAAAAATCTACATTTTTTTACATACTTTCAGATGTTGAAAAAACGTATATATACGTTTGGACCATTTAAGGGTTAAATCTCTAAATGGAGCACAAGGTAAATATACTGATGTGTGGGCAACTTGGTGCAGTGTAAATTTGTGCATAAATTGGAGCAGGTGTAAAGGAAATTCCGCGTGACTTTATGCATAGTAAACATCTTAGCATTTCTGCACCAAATTTATATCGAGTCACAGAAGAGTGTGTCATTGATAATACAATGGAGTGGGGGCTTGGTAGCTTTCTAGGGAACATGGGGTCAGAAGGCATTTTTGGTGGTAACAGAGTAATGAATTTATCATACAGGTATGTACATGAAGTACTTTATTCCAGATTGCAGCAACATTAATACAGGTGATACAGTATACAACATGTACACATAATACAAATGAAACATAAGTTACATTTATGTGTGGACCAAACTGTAAGGTGCTTTTCTTGCATACTCAATATTAGTTTTTGCATGTCAGTGTTTTTTGCAATACTACTGACAATGATACTGATGGTGCTATTTACAAAATATGTTTTGTGAGAGTAAATCAGAATTTGTAAATCGATTGGACTATGTTGGGCATGTTGGGAAGAAGTCACTGGCAAAAGAAAGAATTATTTTTATTGCAACTTGCTTAACAGACTATTACAGCAAAATGCATATCAGATGATTACTATCAACCATTGTGTTCAGTTGAGCTCTGTAACTCATGGGTTAGGTTCCTGACTCCAGCTTCATGCGAGTGCTTAGTATGGGCCAACAGGTCTACTGCAATGTTCCTCCTTTCTTATGTTCTTATGAGTACTGTGCACTCTGTCTCTTCTCTCTCTCTCTCTCCCTCTTTTTCTGTCTCTCTTTGTCTCTCCCTCTCTTTTTCTGTGTTTTTCTTCTGCCTAGGCTGCCTGCCTGGCTGCCTGTCTTCCATCCTGCCCAAGGTGTCACAGGCAGCCTTCCCCAGAACTCGAATTGAACACTGTTTCTACAACCATAAACTGATCTTTATCTCATTCTCCCCCTCTCATGTAAGAGGGACGGGGAGGAGGAGAGAGATGGAGAGGGGAGAGAGAGAGAAGGGGGGAGAGAGAGAGAGAGAAGGGGGAGAGAGAGAGAGAGAGAGAGAGAAGGGGGAGAGAGAGAAGGGGGGGAGAGAGAGAGAGAGAGAGAGAGAGAAGGGGGAGAGAGAGAGAGAAGGGGGAGAGAGAGGAGAAGGGAGAGAGAGAGAGAGAGAGAGGAGAGAGAGAGAAGGAGAGAGAGAGAGAGGAGAGAGAGAGAGAGAGAGAGAGAGAGAAGGAGAGAGAGAGAGAGAGAGAGAGAGAGAGAGAGAGAAGGGGGAGAGAGAGAGAGAGAAGGGGGAGAGAGAGAGAGAAGGGGGAGAGAGAGAGAGAAGGGGGAGAGAGAGAGAGAAAGGGGGAGAGAAAGTTTATTTAGGTATACATAAATACAGTTACATAGATTATCATACATAGCAGCATGCATGTAGAGAACTTAGGATAACCCCAAAAAGTCAGACAAAGTGACTTATTTCCAATGGGGTCCTGTTAATATCTTATTATACTATAAAGGAGATATACTAGGAATAAGGTAAAATGAGTTTTTTTTTTTTCCAACAAGTCGGCCATCTCCCACCGAGGCAGGGTGACCCAAAAAAGAAAAAAAAAATCCCCAAAAAAGAAAATGCTTTCATCATCATTCAACACTTTCACCACACTCACACATAATCACTGTTTTTGCAGAGGTGCTCAGAATACAACAGTTTAGAAGCATATACGTATAAAGATACACAACATATCCCTCCAAACTGCCAATATCCCAAACCCCTCCTTTAAAGTGCAGGCATTGTACTTCCCATTTCCAGGACTCAAGTCCGACTATATGAAAACAACCGGTTTCCCTGAATCCCTTCGCTAAATATTACCCTGCTCACACTCCAACAGATCGTCAGGTCCCAAGTACCATTCGTCTCCATTCACTCCTATCTAACACGCTCACGCACGCATGCTGGAAGTCCAAGCCTCTCACTTACAAAACCTCCTTTACCCCCTCTCTCCAACCCTTTCGAGGACGACCCCTACCTCGCCTTCCTTCTCCTATAGATTTATATGCTTTCCATGTCATTCTGCTTTGATCTGTTCTCTCTAAATGACCAAACCACCTCAACAACCCCTCTTCTGCCCTCTGACTAATACTTTTATTAACTCCACACCTTTTCCTAATTTCCACACTCCGAATTTTCTGCATAATATTTACACCACACATTGCCCTTAGACAGGACATCTCCACTGCCTCCAACCGTCTCCTCGCTGCTGCATTTACCACCCAAGCTTCACACCCATATAAGAGTGTTGATACTACTATACTTTCATACATTGCCTTCTTTGCCTCCATAGATAATGTTTTTTGACTCCACATATACCTCAATGCACCACTCACCTTTTTTCCCTCATCAATTCTATGATTAACCTCATCCTTCATAAATCCATCCGCCGACATGTCAACTCCCAAGTATCTGAAAACATTCACTTCTATACTCCTCCTCCCCAATTTGATATCCAATTTTTCTTTATCTAAATCATTTGATACCCTCGTCACCTTGCTCTTTTCTATGTTCACTTTCAACTTTCTACTTTTACACACATTCCCAAACTCATCCACTAACCTTTGCAATTTTTCTTTAGAATCTCCCATAAGCACAGTATCATCAGCAAAAAGTAACTGTGTTAATTCCCATTTTGAATTTGATTCCCCATAATTTAATCCCACCCCTCTTCCGAACACCCTAGCATTTACTTCTTTTACAACCCCATCTATAAATATATTAAACAACCATGGTGACATTACACATCCCTGTCTAAGACCTACTTTTACCGGGAAGTAGTCTCCCTCTCTTCTACACACCCTAACCTGAGCCTCACTATCCTCATAAAAACTCTACAGCATTTAGTAACTTACCACCTATTCCATATACTTGCAACATCTGCCACATTGCTCCTCTATCCACTCTATCATATGCCTTTTCTAAATCCATAAATGCAATAAAAACTTCCCTACCTTTATCTAAATACTGTTCACATATATGCTTCAATGTAAACACTTGATCTACACATCCCCTACCCACTCTGAAACCTCCTTGCTCATCCGCAATCCTACATTCTGTCTTATCTCTAATTCTTTCAATTATAACCCTACCGTACACTTTTCCTGGTATACTCAATAAACTTAATATACTCAAACTTATGGTAGTAGGTTGGTAGACAGCAACCACCCAGGGAGGTACTACCGTCCTGCCAAGCGAGTGTAAAATGAAAGCCTGTAATTGTTTTACATGATGGTAGGATTGTTGGTGTCTTTTGTCTGTCTCATAAATACGCAAGATTACAGGTATGTCTTGCTACTTCTACTTACACTTAGGTCACACTACACATACATGTACACGTTTATTTATGCACACTCATCTGAGTTTTCTTTGATTTTGTCTTAATAGTTCTTGGTCTTATTACTTTTCCTTTTATATCCATGGGGAAGTGGAATAAGAATCTTTCCTCCGTAAGCCATGCGTGTTGTAAAAGTCAACTAAAATGCCGGGAACAATGGGCTAGTAACCCCTTTTCCTGTGAAGATTACTAAAAAGAATAAGAAGAAGAAAATTGTCAAAGTGGGAAGTCTGAATGTGCGTGGATGTTGTGCAAATGATAAGAAAGAGATGATTGTGGATATTATGAATGAGAAGAAGCTGGATGTCCTGGCTTTAAGTGAAACAAAGCTGAAGGGGGTGGGAGAGTTTCAATGGAGAGGAATAAATGGGATTAGGTCAGGGTTTCAAATAGAGTTAGAGCTAAAGAAGGAGTAGCAATAATGTTGAAGGATAAGCTATGGCAGGAAAAGAGGGACTATAAATGTATTAATTCAAGGATTATGTGAAGTAAAATAAAGATTGGATGTGAAAAGTGGGTTATAGTAAGTGTGTATGCACCTGGAGAAGAAAGAAGTGTAGAGGAGAGAGAGAGATTTTGGGAAATGTTGAGTGAATGCATGGGGAGTTTTGAATCAAGTGTGTAAGTAATGGTGGTTGGGGATTTCAATGCTAAAGTGGGTAAAAATGTTATGGAGGGAGTAGTAGGTAAATTTGGGGTGCCAGGGGTAAATGTAAATGGGGAGCCTTTAATTGAGCTATGTGTAGAAAGAGATTTGGTAATAAGTAATACATATTTTATGAAAAAGAGGATAAATAAATATACAAGGTATGATGTAGCACGTAATGAAAGTTTTAGATTATGTATTGGTGGATAAAAGGTTGATGGGTAGGCTCCAGGATGTACATGTTTATAGAGGGGCAACTGATACATCGGATCATTATTTAGTTGTAGCTACAGTTAGAGTAAGAGGTAGATGGGAAAAGAGGAAGGTGGCAACAAGTAAGAGGGAGGTGAAAGTGTATAAACTAAGGGAGGAGGAAGTTCGGGTGAGATATGAGCGACTATTGGCAGAAAGGTGGGCTAGTGCAAAGATGAGTAGTGGGGGGGTTGAAGAGGGTTGGAATAGTTTTAAAAATGCAGTATTAGAATGTGGGGCAGAAGTTTGTGGTTATAGGAGGATGGGGGCAGGAGGAAAGAGGAGTGATTGGTGGAATGATGAAGTAAAGGGTGTGATAAAAGAGAAAAAGTTAGCTTATGAGAGGTTTTTACAAAGCAGAAGTGTTATAAGAAGAGCAGAGTATATGGAGAGTAAAAGAAAGGTGAAGA